CTTGTGTTCATGTCATCAAAATTACTTACAATTAACCAATGTTTTGTAAACAATTTCCTGTTCTATGCAAACGCTTAAATGAAATTACTTTTTAGAAATTTATTTTTTTATAGTGCTAATCTCTGCACATAAGATTGAACATTTTTGTAGAAAAAATACGAAAAGATTGTCGCCGCTGTGAGAATCGAACGCACGTCTTCGGCATTCGCGGCCTGACGCTCTAGCCACTAAGCTAAACGGCTGATTGCTACACCGACGAAAATCTTAACGCGAATGCCGAAGACGTGGGTTCGATTTCCACAGCGGCGACAATCTTATCGTACTTTTTCTATAAATTTAATGAAATTACTTTTATTTAAATCGTTAACACTGTTATATTCGTATAGCCGATATTATGGGTTTCGATACGGCACGACGGCACAGAAATAAAGTAGAATGTAGCCGCTTCAAAAAAAACTAAGATCATTGCCGTTCCGACCGTATGTATACTTTTCATCACTTGGCTTATTTATAATCCCGTCTTGACAACGTGCGATGAAATTATTGCGGACGTTTTCGAATACGGTTTGAGTTTCCCGCCATTATACCAATTAGTTGAGTGAGATGTCCGCTGCCGGGTGGACGCATTACGGTTTTTATGGGATTGTCATTTTTATATATGGCCAGAATGTGTGCTGTTCAGAAAAAAAAAAAACGTGAAGTGCATAAAACGGTGTACTAAAGTGTACTGTTGTGGTTTCAACGTAAAATCATTTGTGAACACATGAAGAATGTATAGTGAATTTGTCTCTGTAGTGTTTTGCAATATACTGATTTTAATTTAATATATTGCAATATGCCGACTTCGTGAATGAATTGTCTACAATGAGAAGATTTTTTTTCTGCAGATGTGGCTCTCAAAATGATGTATGTTGTTTATCATTCAATATGAATGGCTTGTTTTATTTATAGAATAGTAATGACTTTTACAACAACAAACGGCTGAAATTTAATTTGCTGTAAGTCTTAGTAGTAAAGAAATCACAAAATTATCGTAATAGTATACGTTGTACGTATACCTTAATCGGAAAAATATGCCATTACTCTACAAAATATTTTGTCATCATCGTAAAATTTATAAATTATTTGTTGTAGGTATTAATACTTGACTAATATTTTTTAAATCTGAATCTTTTCTATCCCCGTAATTTATTTTGTATTCTTCTTACTAGCGGTCACATAACTATTTCTGAGTAAAAATCACGTGGGTAGGACCCACTTACATATTGAAATATCTTTGATTTCAACTTGATCGTGTCGATCGTGCGTTTCAAATACTCTGCAATTTTTTTTAAATACTTTTTTATCAACTTGGGAAACTTCGCAAGGGCGTACTTGGTTATGACGAATGGATAGAGACTTACGCCCGGTTTTTGAAATCTGATCTTCTTCTTCTTCTTCTTAATAATGGCTTGCTTTGTGAGTTATTGAAATCTGATCACTTATCATTGTAGTAATTAACAAATCAGGTGTCAAATGGCTTTTCAAATGTCACGTGAGTTGCCAAAAGGATCGTTAAACTGCTGTTGTTGTTGTTTTGATAATGAAGAAGATCATTCTTATCAATTCAGAGAGTTTAACCATTTGAAAAGCCACATGACAGCTGATTAGTAAACACCTACGATGATCAGTCGTTCAGAAACCGAGCGTTAGACAAAAAAATATTAACCTTTTAGAACCACTACGAGATAGAGGTACAGTATAACTACACTATTTTGATAAAATGCAAGATTAATAAATGTCGTTGGGTTAATAACTAGAGCCGTTCAATCATCTCTCAATAGGCTGAGCTAAGTAATTTAGTGGAAACTAATGAGTGTTAAAAAGACTCGAACCGAACTTCATTAGTGTTTCGATGTCGTAACCAGCTTATTTAAAGCTTACTGTCCAACAAATAAGATTTCTCAACGTGGGCTGGTTTTAGAACGTTGCAAACCTTAATAATATAACGTAAAAAAGATTTCAGATTGATTTATTTTAAGATCTTTTAAAAGTTTTTGAAACTGTTTCACTGCTAAGCACTATTGGTGGCTATAAAGCAACGATTTGTTTAAAATGAAAAACCACTAACTTTACAGAATATGTTTACTAACTCGCGCTTTACTTGATGAAGTCAGGATAAGCCATTATTAATATTAACTCGTACCTCTTCTTCTCAGACATTTTTTGAATAGGCATAAAACATTTTTTTAAACTTAATGCAAAAATCGCTGTACATAGCCAGACTTAATGCTGACATTAATTTGCTGAATTTATAGCAATGTTACGAAAAATTTAATTCCAATATGGAAGCTCGAACATTGGTCTTTTTCAGTTTTTTCGGAAATTTTGACGCATTTTGATTTACCAAATACGGGGCGTCGATGAAAAGCATGGGACAGAAATTAATTTTTATATTCATTTCATGAAATTATTTATGAGATTGTTAATTTTGAATCTTAGGATGCTTTGTAGAATACCTAGATCTAATATCTCTTCTATACTTCTTTCTTACAGAGGTCTTTGCCCAGCAGTGGGCAATGTAGGTGTTTGTTATACGAGAAAATTCGGAGAATTACTGTATACTTGTATAGTAACAAAGTAAAATTTCTCTTTTTCGTCTGTTATCCTGTCATATTTTAGATAATATTACGTCTTAGCCACGTAGCATGTACTTATAAATACTCGTTAGTTTACTCAATTAATATTGATCATCCTTCTCGATCATACAATTATTATCTAAATATTAGGATACAAATATAATCAACTAGTTGGTAACCGCGGATTCGCCCGTGCGGTCAAAGGGAATTAAATATGTTTTTATTAAATACCAGAATAGCCCGCCAATGGCAGAATTTTTACCTACTTACTCGACGCTTATCGTTATATTTTGGACAATTCATACAATATCTTTATAAATGATAGCCTACATGTTATTCTGATGTATAAGCTATATTATTGTAAGGTTTCATTAATATCCATTTAGTAGATTTGGCGTGAAAGAGTAACAAGCATCCATATATATATAAAATTTCGCGTCTATAATATTACTAAGGAAGTAAGGATAACGATAAGGATGCAATACTTGTAAATACAATTAAGATTACCGATTACCATAAACGATCGCTTTGTATACTCACCTGCAAGCCCTTTATTTCCTTATTGAATTGTACGAAGAGTTAAGAGTAAGTATTGTGAGTAAGTCTGTAAAGAGTGGCACTTTTAATCTCTGAAAAAATCCCTATATGTCAATGAAAGTAATATCAAAGTCTGTTTATCTGATTTTTAGGCAAGTATAATGTATATAATAATGTGTTCAGATCGGAGTGAAATTTGGTATAAGTGTAAATAAAGTGTAGTATTGGATAATCCTCTGTGTTGTTTTGAGGAATTTCGTAAAATACGATAAATTCTTAGCTGACCTCTACTCGGCGAAAGGAATATTCCTACCTAATTTCAAGTCTCTACGCCTATGGTTCCAGAGATATCGTGATGAGTCAATTATCGGTGGAAATGTCTTATGTATATAATATAGATTTAATTTGTATGGATCATTTTACGCATAACCGTTTGTTGTTTCATAATATACGATAATGTTATCCGAACAGTTTTCGCAGGCATTTCGATTGACAGAGCATCATCTTCTAAAGATGAGATAAAAAAATACAGAGTAGTACTTTGTTAAGGGAAGGAGCAGACGCAGTTGGAATTGTTTTATACTTATAGTCGCGACTGGTGAAAAGAGGGTTGCTTTTTTATTCCTCAAAGGTTAAGTATAACTGTTAGGCGAGGACATGCAGCTAGCGTTATTGGCACCATACCGCTTGGGATAGGCTTGTTAGATACCTAGTTTCTGTTTATTTTATTATACTTTTTTGTTAATAAAAATGTTTAAAAACGTCTCTTCCAAATATGCTCAATTTACATTAAACTCTATCTACAGTAGGGTAAAATTATCTTAATATGGGTAGCAGTTTATATAAAACAAGTATGCGTTGTAAGTAGAGTAAAGTAACAGCCTATATATTTATTATATGTCCCACCGCTGGACAAAGGCCTCCTCTGCGCGGACGGTATTAAGGCATAGTCCACCACGCGAACCCAATGCGGATTGGTGTACTTCATCGGTCTTCGAAATATCTTTTTTTTTGTTATTACTTCAAAGATGTGCAGGGTTCCTCAAGATGTTTTCCTCACCGCTGGGCACGTGATAATTCAGCACTTAAAATTAACAATATCATTGCTGTCGCCACTAGTAATGGAACTCGGGTTGTTTGAGTATATTGAGCTCAAAGCGACTAGTAAGCTATCACGGCTCAAGTACGCGGTTTACGTGTGTAATTTGCGGCCATGACTAGTACACCCTGCCACAATCATTAAGATTGCCAAAACTATTTCCGAAAAAGACCTTTCTTTATCACGCAACAGTCTTCTCTGTTGCATGAACTGTCAGCCGTCCAGGTGAGTACCGCTACCTCACAGAAGACTGGCGTGAAGTGGAAGTGTTATACTTCTGCGTTTCTTCTGGTGATTGAGCTAGTCGGGGCCCACTTCATTAAAACGTGGAAATGCATTTGTAAACCTACGGATGTTGAAAATGTCAACGGGCGGCAGTTATCACTCAACATCAGGTGAACTGCCAGCTCGCTTGCTACCAACTCACATAAAAAAGACAAAATCTTCTTTTTAACAAACGGTTAACTGTGGTAGGGCCACGCAGCAGCCTTGGCTGTTGCACGAATGGGCAGGCTCGTCCGGATAAGTACCACGACCTCACAGAAGACCGGCGTAAAGTGGAATTATAATACTTTCGCGGTTCGTCTGGCGAATGAGGTAGCCGGAGCCCAATTTTCAAAAGTTTGTCAACGCATCTGCAACCCTAGGGTGTAGCAGATGTCCATGGGCGGCGGTGTTCACTTAGCATCAGGTGGACCGACAGCTCGCTTGGCTAGTTTTCACATAAAACCTATTTTTGTTCGCAGGCGGCTTGGTGAACGGTCACTGTCCACGGAGCAGCTTCCTGCAGCAGACAATCGCTGATCGGGTGGGGCGCGATCCCGACCAGATACCGGCTCTGCCTCCTCTCCATCACTCTATTGGCGACGTGAGTTTCAACGCGTTCTTTTTATTTAATCATATTTTCAAACTAATGTATATGAAGTCGTCAAAAATAATTCAGCCCATAAAACCAAAGAGAAAGCCGATAATCCTTACTTCCTTACTAATATATAAAGTCAAAAGTTTGTATGTATGGATGGATGTTTGTTACTCTTTCACGCAAATACTACTGAATGGATTCTAATGAAACTTTACAATAATATAGCTTATACATCAGAACAACACAGGCTATAATTTATATACATATTTTGATGTATATATGTCTTTTTGGCTGAATGTTCCGCCTTCAGCCTATTCTACGCAGACGTAGTCGCGGGCAGCAGCTAGTCCTTACTAATATTTTAAACGCGAAAGTTTGTATGTATGGATGGATGTTTGTTACTCTTTCACGCAAATACTACTGAATGGATTTTAATGAAAGTTTACAATAATATAGCTTATACATCAGAATAAGACATAGGCTATAATTTATATACATATTTTATGTATATCTGTCTTTCTGTCTGAATGTTACGCCTTCAGCCTATTCTACGCAAATGTAGTCGCGGGAAGCAGCTAGTAAGTTATAAATATTAATGCTTTGGCTATGCTTTTTAATCGAGACTATAATAGTAATTCTCTGCGAATGCACTCACCTTGTTGCTATAGCCTCGACCGATCTCGACCGATCTTGGTGTTGATATATTGAGCTTCATTTAGTTTCAGGATCTATTAAAAAGCCAAGTTTATTTAAAAAAAACTAATCGAAAGGGTCTTGCACTACTTAATGCAAGACCCTCCCGATTAGTTTTCATCATATTATAAGAAAGGATATTATTGCTAGAAAGTGCTTTTAGTAATTTAAAATGTAATACATGCCTGCACCAGCACTTCTGTAAAACTCGGCTGTCCCTTGCGTTCCACATAGAGTTACTCGAGTCATCGACGACCAAGTCTTTTCCGATCACCTCGAATTAAGACTAAAGGTGGAAAGCAACGGACTCAACGAGTCTTCCCAAACCCGCCTTTACCCCGGGATATGCTTTGAGCAACTGTTTTTAATTACGGTTGAGTTTTATCGTCGTACAAAGCAAGCTATCAAAATTGTCACTATAAACACTAACACCTTCATAGTTGGCATCAATCACCATTCCCTTTTATTATATTAAGCCGTTCATAAGGAGAGAGTTTGCTTCGGAAAGATTATAATTTTTAACTAAAATTTCCTGAAGATAATGATTTTAACACGATTTTCAATAGGGATGGCCCCAGAAATAATAAAATCTTAAAGTAAATCATATTAACACATACAAATAACCAATGATGGGTTTCGCTTTGCACTTAAGTACTTATTGTAAAGTAAATAAATCAAATACATTATAATTTATTGTTTTTGAACCTTTGGAGTTATTAAATTAATTTATTCAACTCTGCTAAGCGATAGTATCTAACGGTTTCGCGATTGAGTCGTGCAAAAAAAGATTAATATATCATATATATTTAAATTGCTAAAACTACTAGCAATAATACTGAAAAGGAGAAGAAAACATCAATTTCAAATAAATGATTAATAGGATGACTTCGATTTTGAAAGATAATAAAGGAACTACTAAAGTAACTACGTAACAAATCTATAGCAAGCTAACTGGACGATAACGGTGACATATTTTTCCTATCAGAATTCGGTATGTTCGCGGAGCACGTATTCGCCGTTGCAAGCCCTCAGCGAGAGCACCTGCAGGGATCATGGCGCTCAGCATGCACCCCCGCCACAGCCACCGCCTCCACGTATCCAGGTAAATGCGACCTTCATCGATGAGGAAGCAAACAGGAAAGCTGACCAGATAAGTTGCAAAGACGCTGTCGACCTTATAGGGGTGTCTGTGTTCTTTAATAATCATATTAGCGAAGTAGTGGTAGAGAGTAGAGTAGAGGAAAATTAACGTCGCATGAAAATTTGCGTTTCATTATGGGATCACTTCTTAAAGAAATGTGGAAGGATTCGATGAAAGGTAAATGCAACCTTCATCGATGAGGAAACAAACAGAAGACGTTGTCTATCTTATAGGCGTGTTTGTGTTCTTTAATAATCATATGAGCGAAGTAGTGGTAGAGAGTAGCGCAGAGGAAAATTAACGTCGCATGAAAATTTGCGTTTCATTATGGGATCACTTCTTAAAGAAATGTGGAAGGATTCGATGAAAGGTAAATGCAACCTTCATCGATGAGGAAACAAACAGAAGACGTTGTCTATCTAATAGGCGTGTTTGTGTTCTTTAATAATCATATGAGCGAAGTAGTGGTAGAGAGTAGCGCAGAGGAAAATTAACGTCGCATGAAAATTTGCGTTTCATTATGGGATCACTTCTCAAAGAAATGTGGAGGGATTCGATGAAAGGTATAATGACAACTTTCACGGATCCACATAAAAGCTGACTAGAGAAGTCGAAGACGCTGCCGATGTCTTATAGGCTTGCGGTCTGTGTTGTTTAATAATCGTATCAAGAAGTAGTGGCAGATAGGATTCGATGAAAGGAATAATGTATTATAATGACAGCTTCCATGACCACCGGACGTATGGAATGATGTAGTGTTAGGAAAGTCGGTTATTTGAGTTTGAACAAATCCTTAAAAAACGCATTTAATGATGTCATTGTTCGCGTGAATATCAGACGTTTTAGTGTATCACTATGATTTCTGTTATATTAACTCATTGCTAATTTATTTTTTCGAGACTGTAGTATAGTAGACTGTAGTCCTCGTAAATGCCGGTTTCTGCCAGGGTGCCCTACCACCATTGAATTTTTTTTTTAAATTAAGAGAAAAGGAAGCCTTGGCTCACTTTTCAAGTCGCTTTCCAAGGTTCCGACGCAGAACGTAACACTGCACCCAGCGGTGGCGCGTTGCACTGCCACCCTAGAGTTGGCGGCGCTCTGGCGGAGCTTTCACGAGCTCGGCACTGAGATGATCGTAACGAAGGCGGGCAGGCGGATGTTCCCGGCGCTCCAGGCCCGCTTGTCCGGCCTTCTGCCCAACGCCGACTACCTGTTGCTGGTGGACTTCGTGCCGCTAGACGACAAGAGATACCGCTACGCCTTCCACAGGTTCGGCGATTTTCAGCTCTAGAGATCACGTTACCGTTTAGTCTAAGGATCAAACGAACAAAAAATTAACAGTGGACAGTCACCGACCGAACAGTGGGTGACGTCTAAGGATTTTTATTGAATTTAGATAAAAACCGATAAGCCGAAAGCAAAAGCAAACTAAGCATAATGCAAAATATCAAATGCTAAGGATAAAGGCCCTATCAGAAATGAATTTTTATTTGATGGCTCTAATAAAAATATTTATTTATTTCTTATAACGGGTAATTTATATCAGTTAATTAATTATGAACTTCGGTCGATAAAATTACCGTCAAAAATATGAAAGAACAAATAGGCACAGCTGAGCTTACAGTAGAAAAGAAAAGTAAGAAAGATACTTTCTCTTTTTCTCCCACAGCAAACGGTAAAGTGTACAGTTAACTTCAATTGAATAAATGTTACAAAGAATACTTAAGAACAAACCTTGTTTCACAGAAAATTAAGTTAGACGAATTCAATACGAAATTAAAAACCATACCATAATGGACGATTTGTTTATACAAAATTAAAAGGGGTAGAGTTTATTAAGTGATCAAATGGGTGATTGCGTATTGACATCGCTATGAGCCGAGGGGATTGTGCCGCTCTAGTCCTGAGCTCAACAGCGTCATGCCCCAACCGTGTGTCGTACCAGCTCCAGTTGGGTAGTGGCGGGCAAGGCGGATCCCGTCTCACCGCCGCGCATCCACGTGCACCCCGACTCGCCGGCCGCCGGCGCGCACTGGATGCGCCAGCTGGTCTCCTTCGACAAGCTCAAGCTGACCAACAACCAGCTCGACGACAACGGACACGTACGTAGACTGTTGCACAGGAGAAATGAATGAATTAGTTCGACAGATAACTTCTTTTTTCAACTTATGTTTGCTGCCAGAGCTTCGTCATTTATGAAAACAGATATTAAAAACTTTTGCGTTGGTCTCAGTGTAGCTTCCATACTATAGTATTAGACTCATCAGATATCAGGGAAACCGAATAGAAAAACAACCTCAAATAGAAAATGTATAGGGAGATTTTTGAAAGCGACATCATGAACTTTGTTGCAATGTGACAAGCAAAAGCAACTTTTTGACATTTACCTGTAATTCCATAATTAAACCGTTATCAATTGCATTTTAACGTCTTTTTCACAATTATATTTCCTTAGTTACGCCAAGGAAGTATAACTTCTTGCGTGCATACAAAAGTACAAACATAATTTTTATTGTTCGTAAAAATGTACTTGTAATATGAGAGTAGCTGGCAAACTAGCGGCGTTACGTTAAGTAATTGCCGCCAGTAATATACGCCGATGGCATCCGTTGGGCTGCAACTCCATTCCAATCGATTGCCAGTTTTTTATTAAAAGGTCAGGACAAATGAAAGGGATGTTTCCAGATAATCTTGAACTCGATGCACCGCTACCAGCCGCGGCTGCACGTGGTCTACCTGCCCGCTGAAGGAGCCCGCACCGCCCCCTCCACCGTTCCCTACCGCACCTTCGTCTTCCCAGAAACGGGATTCACGGCCGTCACCGCCTACCAGAACCACAGGGTTAGTTGAAATTTTTAATAAGTACATAAACTCGTAACGTAGCTTAAGTGATTTAACACGGGTTTTTCTTATTTATCGCATGGCATGAAACGAGAAATGTGTACCAATTTGTTCGAATTAAGCGAACGGTGCGAACGGAATTAGTAAAAATTCAACGTAAACTCTAATTTAAGTCTACACGATAGAAGGCCTATATACCTATTTTGCGGCAGACCTGGGTAGTCTGTCGAAAGTATATACTTTCTACTGAAGTTTGAAGAAGTTGTTGAAAGTGCAAGAATTGATATCAAAAACATTCTTCACAAGAAACTGTCAACTGTTACTTCGTTTACTGCAATTACTTAATTATTCATTTATTTTTAATGGACATGGGCATTTGCAATTCCCGTAGGGTTGCAGATGCGTTGTCACGGTACAATTATATAGGTAATTGTGGATAATTTCATGTGTGATGTGTTATTTGTAACACACTGGTAATGTATCTAGGTGTGTGTTTGGAGAAAATATAATAAAATGGTACTTATTGAATATTTTTAATTTTTTCCTTTTTAGATTACGCAGTTGAAGATAGCCAGTAATCCTTTCGCAAAGGGTTTCAGAGATTGCGACCCGGACGATTGGTAAGGCAAAAAAATCCAAATCTTACGGAACTAACTTTGTAGTTTGGACGCAGCGACATTCCCGGTGTCACAAAAATTGCCCATGAATCAGGTGGCGTGTGTGAATGATTAAATTTTATGCGTAAACTCATTTGAGCCGCGAGGGCCGTTCGAGGCAGCCGGTGACAATTACTTTTACGACCCGTCGTAGGTAAAGAGTTACGTTTGACAGTTATGGCGGACACGCCGCGTTGAATTCCCGCCAAAATAAAAACGTGGCTCAAATTAGCGTACGGTTAAACGGGAACGCATGGACGCATGTAAAACTGTAAAATCATACGAGAGAGGAATGTTCAAAGTTTTTTATTTCTTGTTTTTATTTCTTATATGTAATTTTTTTTAAATATTAACAAAGTTGTCTTTGATTTTGCAAATTAGAATTAAGTCAAATAACCTAAATGATTATTAGGACAAATTAATTTCTATGAAAACTATAATAGGTTTAGTGGAATGTTGCGAAAATATGAAGTTAAGAATTCTAATATTTTTCTACGATTAGGATTTTTTAGGATATGTTTAGAGAACTAAACGACATTACTCTTATTGCCTTAAATGATAGATATTAATAAACATATGCTTATAAAATTGTTACGTGTTGACTCGAATGGAGTTTGATAATAATTGTTCATAATGAACGTTTATTTAGTTTTGCTTATAAACAAATGCAGTATCTTCCTGACAGTAGCAAATTGCTAGACTTAGCTACACCACGAGCTATTACACGTTCAAAAGCAACATAGCAGTCGTATTGTTTACGTCGTCCAGTTTCTGGATTGGTCGTCTGTCTGTCGAATAAATCTTGTTCTCCCCGCGTATTCCCACGCCCGCCGTGGATTTTGTTTATTTTACAGTTTCATGACGGAACACTAAGACATCCACGGTGAATATTTCAACCCAGTTGCAACAGATATGATTATATTAAAGTATCCCTTTGATTAAAAAGAATAACCGTAAAAAAAAAAAACGTTTGATTCTTTTGACAAGAAAGAATCAAACATTTTATAATAAGCTTGGATTTTTTACCTTCTATTTATATATTGACATACAAATTATGTTAACATTAAAAGGGAATGTACCTAATAGATAATTGTTATCAATCAATTTGTAAATATTAAGAGATTCAGTTCTTATTGTAATCTTATCTATTAACAAAAGCTTTTTCAAGAGCCACGGATTTCATGATTTGATATTCGCTATTAATTTAGTATACTCGAGCTGCCAGCGAACTTTTACTAATGACAATAATTGCTAATATACATTATATAAAGAAGATTTTTTTTGCGGTGACTTATTATAAATTGCAATTAATATTGATTTATTGAATATTGGGCGGTAAAGGAAATGTTTCATAAGAAAATATATCATAGAAATAAAATAAAGAATAATATCGAAAACATATGAAGTCGCTCAATTCACATTGGTGTCGTAGGCTATCTTGATACTCTCTATCTACAGAAGGCTTTAGTCCAGTATCACATATTCAGTATCACAATTCCAATAGGAATATTTTACATTATATGTTAGTTTACTTTAATCATGTTTTATCCGAAAATTGATGGGCCAAAGATTGTATAAAATTATTATTTATAAACGAAATGGAATTTACCAAAGCGCCTTTTAAATTATAATATCAATGCTTTGAAAATAAAACTTTGGCTGTGGCCACGTAACAGACTTCGCTGGAATGGGCAGGAATGAATAATTTATTAAAATATATTTATAATTTTGGCTATCGAATAAAATTGCATTAAAATAAGCAAAAACTGTAGCTAATAAAAGGTATGGGAAAAAAGTCGAAGTCAAAGTGCGACAAAGTAGTCAGTTATGTGCATTCTATCATGTATTAAAAGAGATGAAAGATATAACGTACACAGTCATTAAAATCTATAGATAATGTACATTTTTTTTTGTCACACAAAGAACTGGAATAGATATTTAGTTGAGTGACTTTTTCTTTTAACGATGATCTTCCGGCTTTACGTAGCAGTGTTGCGGCGTGTAGTCTCGATTTCGTTGGTACGAACAAGACCGTTAATCGAACTAAATTATCCTCTAAATTTTTAATTAATGCGAAAATATTCATCATGTAGAACGATTTAGGTGACACATCAACGTATTATAAACAAATCTGGTCATTAATTACTCGGAAACTTAAAAAAAATACGCCATGTGCGCAAGCGGCCAGAGCGAGACAAAAAATGCCGATCCAAATTTTTTGTCCCTCTCGAATGTCTTTCAGTACGACTTCCCGGTACACGGGAATATTAATGTAGACGAAATAAGTTATGAACGCCATTTGTCGTTTGTTGTCAAAATAGAGGATTATCTTGGAGTAATTTGACTCCGCCTTCTGGACAGAGGCTGCCATATTAATATGTCTCAAACGCGAAAAAAGCTTTATGTTTTCAATGAGTCGCGTTGTTAATGACCCTGACTAAAGAAATAATGACGCTACGGATAATTCTTTATCTGTTACGTGTAATGTGAGAGTAACGAGTAGTATTTGGTTTCTTGTTGGTAACTTTCGTTTCTTGGCGTATTGTAACACTAAGGGATTTTTAAGAATCGTCATAAAAAGTGAAGTAACAGTTTGTACATGTTCCACAGGATATGACTGCCATGCTCGATGCCCAGTTTACAGGTGGCCGGAGTTTAGGTGGACTTTCTTTCTCTTTTTTCACAGTGGGGCATACATGGTCTATTTTTAACATTTTCACTTCCAACACATCCCTTGTCACGGCCCGAGTGTTGGGATGAGACACCGTTTGTAAACTCTGGTGCTATGCCCTAGCCCGCCGGAGCAAAGCCAGCAGCGGGCGGCGGCGAGGCGTCGGGAAGTGGCGGCGTCCGAACCTGGACCAACTCTGGCGCAGCCCTACGCGGCAGATCCCAGCGCATGCGGCCCTCTCTACGCGGCGCACGCTCACACCGTGCGGTAAGAATGAATATATCTACTACTACTACTACTACAAGAGCCGTGGTAGCTCAGTGACCGGGCGCTCGCCTTTAACTCTATATACTCGAGCGACCTGAGTTCGATCCCCGGTGGCGGCACAAATGAAGTTTTTAACTTAAGTGCTGACTTATCACGTGCTCCGCGGTGAAGGAAAACATCGTGAACATACCTGCATATTTTCGAAATAATAAGAAAAAGAAATATTTTTCGAAGATATGTGAAGTTCGCCACTCCGCAGTTGGGCCACGTGGTGGACTATGCCCTGATACCCTCCGTATAGAGGAGGCCTTTGCTCATCATTGGGACATGTATAGACTGTTACTTTACTTTTTACTACTACTACTAATACTACCACTACTACCACTACTACTACTACCACCACTACCACTACTACTACCACTACTACTACTACTACTACTACTACTAATAATAATAATTCATAACCGATATCGGTCACGGCGACTGCTCAACTCAGGTGTTTAATGCGTCCATGCGCTCTAGCGTGGCTCGCATAACCAATTTTGTTGAACAATGTCCTCCCGCATAATGGACGTGTGAGCACACAACTAACATAATTGTAGCTTATTATCGGGCTTTCGGCTCGTCCCGTCTTCTAATTCAGTACATCGACGGGACTTAAATTGAGATGTCTCTTTTATTAACAACTAGATTTTCGCCCGCGGCTTCGGTCGAGTTGAGGCCTTTAAATAAATATCTTTCTTTAAAAAATAGCCTATGTCCTTTCCCAGGCTCTAGACTATCTGTGTACTAAATTTCATTTAGATCGGTTTAATAGTTTTGACTTGAAAGCGAGACGGACAGACCGAGTTACTTTCGCATTTATAATATTAGTATGGATGAATGAATATATCAACAAGATATTAAAAGATGGGACTATCACATGTTTAAAATCAGGGAGGTCCACAGAAATAGTCCATACCTACTATGCACGTTTCACGTCTGTTAAGTCGCAAACTTAGATGTTTTCAGCATTGTCAACTGTGGTAGGGCCACGCAACAGTTCGCTGTTGCACGAATGGGCAGTTTCAACCGGGAATCACCACAGAAGACCAGCGTGAAGTGGAAGTGTTACACTTGAGCGTTTCGTCTGGGGAGTGAGGTTGCCGGGGACCACTTTATTTAAAAGGTTGCAACGCATCTGCATCCCTTCAGGTGTTGCAAATGTCCGTGGCCGGCGGTTATCACTTAACAACAGGTGAACCGCCAGCTTGCTTGCGGCCTTCTCACTTAAAAAAAAATGTTAACTCATGCACCAGGCTTTATGCTAGGCATTTGCTTGTGAGACATCTTAAAACTATGTAGACTTTCATACGAAAACATTCTTCCATGTTAACTGTGCTAATTGAAATTGCAGTTTCATCCCAGAAAATATGGTAAAGTAGGTAGGTAATAGTAATATTTTATAATAAAGTAGGTCTCGGTTACCTTCCACTTCACGTCGGTCCCGTACGGGCCTGCCCATACATGTAACCTCGAATATTGCTGCGTGGTCCTACCACAATTTACCACATCCTTTGTTTGACATTTTTAGATTTACTTGGTGTTTGTACAAACTAGCTTCTTTTAACCGTTTGCATATGCATAAATTCCGTACCACTGTTGTACAACCATCGATAGTTTGACTATCGATAGTAGACCTCGAAAACTATTCAAGATATCGATTGTACTATCGATAATATCGTCTAAGTCAATATTGTCGATACTATCGATAGAATCGATGGCTCTCCAAGTGCTAATACTATTATATATAACAGTATCGATAGTAATGCATGCGATAGTATCGATGGTATCGATAGTATTTGCAATTGCCACTAGTTTTTGACAAAAACTATCGTTACTATCGATAGCCTCTATAGCTTTGTACTATCGATAACCAGTAAAAGGTTATTGATAGTACAAAATCATCGATATTATAGATAGTATCGATAGTATCCTTACTGATAGGAAGAGTAGTATAGATTACGTATATGTACGATAGTATCCCCTTTGCATTAATCAATTAATTTGTCTTTGTTTTGTTAGCTATCACTAAGATATTTATAATTTTTCATTGAAATAGAAACATTATTTCCCTTCCTTTCAGATATCAGCCACACGCGGGTCCCAACGGAGCTTACACTGCTTATTACGCACATAGATAGATGTGAGATTTGAACCGCAGAAGAGGTTTGTGATATAGTGTATTATAAATATCAACAGTCATCAGTCCCATCCGTAACGAGGGAGAGGTTGAAGTAATAAAACCTTTACATATACGGTAATTTCAAATCTAAACCTTGTGGTGACACCTCAAAACGATGTATTGGCTTAACGTTTCCAAGAAAGCGGCAAAAAGTCATTCGCAATGCACTTTCGGTATTAAATTTATGGTGACGCAGTGCGGTGACATTACGACCTTGGCCCGTTTCCAGTAGAAGGGAAAATTCGCTGATTTTTTAAATAAAATCGCGCAATTCGCTGGTATCCGTTTGATGCGACGCGTTCGAATATAACGATAATTAAATTTTATTCCTCGAAAAAACAAATTAACGATTCGCGTACAATGAAGTTACCAAACAATTCGCTCTCTTTGTCTCTCCCTGTATCGCCATCCCTTTTCTTCGGAGTTGTTTTTAAAAAAGTTCGACAGCATAAGTTTTGGAAAATAACAGTGTTGTATTACGTGTCGTATGATTTAAATAGTATTCGTAAGGACGCAATAGAAATATTAAAATTAACGTCATGATTTAGATATGTCACGTACAACTTACGATAATTAAGTTATTTTTACTTCTTTCTTTATAAATATGAAGAAACGTTGCTTTATCTGTGGCGCCATTAATTTAGTAATATGTTTACAAAGATTGAAATTTATATGAGTATTATTGGTTGAGGTGAAGTAACGTTTCTTTATATAATGTTACCAATGTATTTGTATAAACTATATTCTAGGAGTAACTTCATAAGATGCTCTCAACTTTGTTTTATAGAAAAACGAACTTGAGTGCAATCAAGTCAACGTACCAAATGTAACCAAAGGATATTATGATTTAACAAGATTTAGTAAATATGAATGTATATTTATTGAAATCTATGAAATATACTAGAATTAAAAACGAAAAGTCTTTTATTGTAATCATGTTTTGTATACATACATTATCTATTTCTATATAACAACTTATCTAAGAATATTTCTTTATCCTTATAATTAAAGAAAGACTTTAAATACTGACATTAGGTTTCACATTAAAAAGAAGTAGTATTGCATTTGCTGAGGCAGATTTTCAATTTGTGGTGTTCTGAAGTGGGTTTTCTCCGAAATTGTGTAAGTCATTACGTGATTGACCGTCGCAGAGCCTGGTTCGAGGTCATGGTCTACGAAGACCTTGGAAGAGATAGTCTCCTCGAACTCCTCACCGACCAATTCTGGTTCAGGCTGCATGAGGTCGTCTATTGGTAAGATGTAAGTAGTCGACATCGGCTCCATAGAGCAATAAGGTCCGTAGTATTCTGATGTCGGGTTAAAGGACACCGCGTCGTAGAAACTCTGCTTTGGCGAAACGGAGGGACTGTACTGGTCTTTAGCTACGGGGGATGGGATTTGAGTCTCGAATGGTTGGTTGTAGTAAAAATTGTAGTTCGCGTAGGGGTCGGCATAATGTACGTGATTAAATTCCGCGTAAGGCGAATTGTCGTTGGTTAGAGACGCACTCTTATTAGGTTTCGTTTCTTTATCCGGTATTGGAATTGAGTGTATGGGGCAAGTTAGATTATCGGATTTCGCGGTCTGCATTTCTGGTTCTTGGTATTCGTCTGTGTTCAAGTCTATTCGAGTGTTATTCTTCAAATCGCAAGCGTCCTTAAGAATACTCGTTAGCTCTTTCGCCTGTTCGTTGGCGGCTACAGCCAGTTCCGACAAAATCTCCGTGTCGGGAGTAAATTCGATACCGTACTTATCGGCAATCTCTTGGGCCGACATCATCTTTTCAATAGCAATGTTTTGGTATTCGTTGTTAGATTTTATATGCTTTAGAAGTCTCCATACGAGCTTAGTGCTGTCCATAGGCGAATCGACAGACCGTTTCTTTCTTCGGCTGCTATCTTCATTGTCCTTATCGGTGATACTTAACGCGTACGTTAGGAGATTGGCCATTTCACTTTGTATAGCGTTTGTTATAGATGTTGCCATTTCTTTGATTTCCTCCAACTGATCTTCTGGCGATTTGTCCGTATTTATGACGGTAGCCATCGATGCGGTCGAGGATGAGGGATATAAAGCTGTGTCAGGCCCCAAGAACAGGTCCATCCAGTCTTCTTTGGCGTCCTGAGAATCTTTAACGTCGTCTTCAATTTTCGGTAAACTTAATAAAGCCTCCGTTTTATTTTTATTTTCGTCTATGTCTATTTCTGCATAAGTTAATGCGCTCTGTAAAATAAAAACGACTTTTTAATAATATTGACACGAGAACATAATGAAGATGACTACAACTAACTACAGACTCCACATTAAATTTTATACATTTCCAAATTTGAGGGCTTTTACTGCGCCCAAAAATGGTTATATCAATTTACTCTGAGCAATTACTCTTCAAATATTCAGGAATAGTTTTGGAAAATAGGACAAAGTGACGGAAGGTAATGTTATTCACTTGTTTCTGGATAATCGATAACTAAAAAATATAATAAAAAGTCAGTTTATAGCAGGGAACATTGGGAAAGATTAAATGGAGAGATTCGAAAAATGTTTAGTTACCTGTGCTAACAACACTAGAATAAAGTGTAAGAGCGCCATGCTGGATACAATGTGATGTTTACGAATTTTACACGAACGCTTTATATATATGATTATCGATTAATTAAGAAATGTTTTTTTTGTAAATGTGTTAGCAACGGTAGTTGCTTCATTTGATAGGACATGCCTGCTTCTGTCAAATCTTGCGTAAAATTACTTAAGCTCCGTCATAATATTATTTTTAAAATGCAGCACGTAATGACACACAGCACTACAACATAAAAGGTAGCATATTGTGAAATTACTCAGAGAAAGCGATAAAATTAAATGAAAATTGAACGAAGAGCCTAAGGCGATCAATAGCTTATTCTTTTGTAAAGCAATGCAGCGTGACTGAGGCGGTCATAAATGCATAATAAGTCGAAACATATATAAACATCGTGAACAATTAAATTACCAATGAATTTATTTATTTCATTTAATTACTAGTGGTATCCGTTTTGATAGTTATTGTGTATCTGTTTGTTTATATGTGTTTTTCACCAGAACGTAGACTCTTTCCAAATTACCATCAAAGATTCTGTGGGTATAATCAATTTTGATTTCCGTTAGTGGATGCTAATGTTACGAGCACTAAACCATTTATTATAAAACAGACTTTGCAAACAGTAACTTAGTTACATTTATAAAAATTCCTGCGTTCCAAGACTTTACATACACACATAATTCACGTGATAGTAAAGTGAGATCTGTCGTGTTGATAAAAACATGAATAAAATTATAAAATTAAAAAAAAAAAAGACAGGTGGGTAGAGCGACGTATGGCTAGAATACTGCGCAAACATTCATATTTTTTTCGTAATACGTAAATTACCGTAGCTGAGGAAATATGTAGTTTATAAAACTGCATAATATACGTTGGCACAAAGGTTAAATTAACGGGGCACATCGTTACAATAAAATAATTTATGTGCTTATTTAACTGAGTCATCGACATGAGTTGGATAAATAATTTATTAAAGTAAATGAATAACAAAACAAATTAAATATATTTCGACGATGGCATAAATTAGACGTATCTTGCATATGGTGGAGGTGGAACGTAGTAAGAAGGTGTAGGGGGCGGCGGTGGCGGGTACTCTTGTACTGGGACATAATGCGGTTGCGATGGCACGGGAGATTTAGGTGTACTGGGAACTGGTGCGGGGGGATACTCCGTGGGATATGTGTATTTGTATTCGTACGGTCGTGGGGGAGATTGATACTGGGGTGTATATGTTACGGACGGGGGCGGGGAAAAGTGTACAGGCGGTGCCTGTGGTGGTTGGGGATACGGATGCTCGTACGCGTGTGGAGGCGCCCAGGAGTATCGAACTGTTTGAGGGTACGCGTACTCTGGAGGCGGAACCGGTTCTGGTGGGTAATGAGCAGGGACGGTTGGCGGGAGGGACGGCGCGGTGTAAGGTGGAGGAGGGGCGTATGCTATAGAGGGTGGTGAGGGGGATACGTAGATTATATGCGGCGATGCTGCAGTAGGAAAGGAGTATGCTGGTGAATAGTATGACATCTCGTAGGGAGCTGCATTCGGTGTGTAATCGTGGCCCGTTGTCGACTCCGAACTGCTATCAGCTGGTTCACTGGACGTTTTCGGCTTCGCGAGAATTGCTGAAACATCAACAACAACGTGTACTAATCAAGACCAAAACGTAAAAACTTGATTGTTCGACAACGTTCCCGAAATAATTCTTAGTTTGAGGCATTTAATTAATTCCAATGCCCATAGTTTGTATGGTACGGCTAAAATTATGCATTACGAAAAAAATACTTTGGAACAAATGGAGAGTTGACTATGTGATGAATTGAAATCAGGTGACCTCAGTTATACGAGGTATCATCTAAATTTCTGTGTTAGGGCTACGCAATGGTTTTGTGAATGGTTGCATGAATGGGTAAGTCCGTCCGGGGAAGTACCGCGACGGCACAGAATACCAGCGTGAAGTGGAAGTGTTACATTTCTGCGTTTCGTAAGGTAACCAGGGCATAGTTAACAAAAAGGTGGCAACGCATATACAACCCTACGGGTGTAAATGTCCACGGGCATCACTTGACATCAGATGAACTCACAGCTATCTTACAATCTTAATACATTCACAATTACTACATACAAACGAAACAATTCACAAATGAATTACAATAAACAATATGTTCAAACGTGTCAAGTGACACACTATACGATACTCCGAAAATCGAATCAGGGTATTTTACTTCCAGGTACAGAAATCTAACTCGTTTCTGAACTGCACTACAAACTGGTCATTACTCGTTGGCATTACATTACAATGTAATAGGAGCCGTACATGATTATTGTTTATGTTACTTTATTGTAAATATGAAGAAGATCAACTTACACGACGAATAAAGCGCTTCGATCATCTGATTCATTCGTTCGTTGAGGGACGTCAGCTGAAATGAGTAACTGTAATTACTTATAATGCTTGCGCAATTATACGCAGCCGCAACATTTTATTTTTTAAATTTATCTATGTTTCATTCATTTTTAAACTCTATAGTTTGATTTTCATTGTTCACGACGGAGCTTTGCCGTTTTTGAACCCAGCTTACCGCATAGTGAAATTATTACACCACATCAAATATGATAGGAGATAAAACTTATTCTCATAATTTTTTGAGTTAACATTGTAAATTAAATGTTCAAATTATTAAGCTACTAATATTGATTGCTGTTTCATAATACAGTTAGTATTATACTATCTACAATTGATCCTTACACTGTATAGCCAAATTCTGTCCGAATGTGTCATCTTATTTGACATATCTGGTGATACAGAGCCCTTGATGGATTCGAGGGTCAAAATTAATAAAATAACTTGCCTGCGTCTGTTGTAATTTCTGGCATGTTGTCGGCGGTGTCGCGTAGCAGAGACCTATGCTCAACGCGCCTAGTTTTATGATCCAATCAACATTTTCTCGTCCTATAGAACTTGTTCGTTCACTTGGTCACTCTATGCTGTTTCCACCATTGCGCTCCGCTAGTTTGGACTTGGTATTATTTAAATACAATAAAAAATCTAATCAGATCGTATACGTGATGGGTGTGATGAATTAATCGAGAGATGCTTCAAGATAAGAACGGTTATCGATATAGATTCGTCGATAAGGACCGTCTGTTAGTCGTGAGGATAGCAATGAGTCCTAATCTTATAACAGTTCATTAAGATTTTCCACGCATACATATTTTTTCTTTGATAATACCGGCCCATGTATCTCATTTATATATGTCAGATATATTTAAGTTTTATTACAAGCCTTATCGTCATCATGCTCGTCTTTATATGACCTATCTGGAGAACAACAGTCAGAACAACATGTGAGTCATGTTGTTCTGACCAGGTTTTTTACGCCCGGCCGCCTGCGTGACGTCAACACTTCTTGGGAATCAACGCCCAGATCCGGAATAACTATTTGTGGGTCACACAAATACTTGTCCCGTGTGGAAATCGAGCCCACAACCCGCGGCGCCGAGGCCAATAGCTTAGCAAATGCTCTATCGAGTCATAAACATTACAGGTATATTAAATTAAATGTAGAAAATATTTACATTAGCCAAAATCACATAGCGTGATGTTCGAATAGAATTGAATTAGTTCGAATAGATTGTTGTTGTAAGCTCGTCTAATGATGTTCAATTCTATTCCAGTGTATCAGCATATTACATCCTATTAAATGAAACTACTTTACGGATTTTATCGCGTTTTTTATTTTAATTTAAATTCCCGACGTTTCGAACCCTTTCCAGCGTTCGCGTTCTGTCCCGTGACCATGAACGCTGGAAAGGGTTCGAAACGTCGGGAATTTAAATTAAAATAAAAAAACGCGATAAAATCCGTAAAGTAGTTTCATTTAATATGTATAATATTCGCGTAAAATCAAGAAAACAATAATACATCCTATTTGCATACTGGACATGTCTTGGAAAATTTTTTTTTCTTAGATATTGGCTACGGCATCGAAGGTCATGGTTTCGATAACCGTTCGATTCAGTAACAGGGAAAACCGGTTATTTCTTTGCCTACGAAGATTCCTTCGCCTGTTTCTTCTCCGTTAGAGGAATCACATACGAAACGAATCGTTTCGTAAGTGATTCCTCAATCTACCAAGATTAATAATAATTACTATCAATAGATAAAATGTATGTTTCATATGTCCATGAATAAATTATTTTACGTGAGTGGAACGATCGTATTAAGGCGGAACAAATAATAACAAATACATATATTCTTATACTTTATTTTCAAATTTTTAATCAGTACATCTGATATGCCTTTAAAATTCACATCATTCGGAGTGCAGTGTTACTCCTTGATCTATTTGCGAGAACTTGTCAATGGCTATCTCTTTTCTATTTATTTATATGTTAATGGTTGTATGTTAGCTGTAAGTTTTCCATACATAATAAAATAAAAATAAAACACGCGCTTTTCTTACGTGAAAATTTAGCAAGCCGGTGGGCAGTTATAACACCTAAAGGGATGCAAATATGCTGCAGACCTTTGAAAACAGTGGGCGCCGGTCATCTCACTGATCAGATGAAACGCAAAACAAAACAATTCGCGCCGCAGCGTAACAACACCACGATAAAAACATCCGATAAATCTATTACTTCAACACTGGCAAATTGCGCCTCTGCAGCTTAGCGAAAATAGCCTCTATGACAAGTATCATTAAGGACAGTAGTACACCGACGGCCGATAGCTGTAGAGCTGGAAGGATGTCCCCGAAGTTGACCCTTTCAGCCAACAAAGCGGACCTGCATGGGGGCGCGGGTATCTTGAAGCGCGAGAGCAGCTGTCGAGCGAGCCCCGTTTCGTAGAGCCAAGCCCCCTTGGACCGGAGGAAGTCGATCCATTGTCCACGGCGAGTCGTCGTCGTCCACGACAAGATCTGGAATGCGCGATGACGTCACAAACTAGTGGATTTTTTTTTCCATTTTCTTTTGAGATTAATTAGCCGCATTCAAAATGTTACTTCGCCTTGATAGATTAGCATTTTAGATATTCGTAACAGTTTTGGTGAGATTTCGAATCTTTCTTTATACTGACTATATGTACAAAAAGAAAGAATAAGTTCGTCTAGTCTCTGTGAGCACGGACCCAAATAGATATTTCCGGAATAATTTAATCTTCTGAAAATATTTGAATGTAACTACGAAATTGTTTTATTTGTACATCTGAGAAATGCGCAGACAAAAACTATTTTGTACGCATCTCTTATTGGTAATAAGAATGATCCAATGTCACATTAGCTTATACAATTTATATGTTATATCTAAATCCGTCAGATAACCGCAGGCAGAAGAATCAGGTTCAAATACTGGCAGCTTCGAACACTTTTATTAGTCACATGTCAATTTCATTTAGATGCACTCAGGCTTGCATAAAAACAAAAAAATCGGAAATTCCAATAGCAGAGGCGCCCCTCCTCATTCAAATATCCATTGTGCAGATCGTTGTATACTGTAGTTGCTCACCGGGTGGCGCAACATTGCTATAGATGAATACAAAACTAGATTGTTAGCAGATGAACTATCTCTCCCATAAAATGTAACGGCAGTATCACCTTAGGTATTGTGTCCACTTGTTGCAATTTGCACAGCTGGTCGTCGGTAAATGTCCTCAAATTGGGATACAAATGGTTGTACTCTGTGTGGAAAGCCGCGTCCCCTGACCTGAGGAGCTCAATACCCCGTTCAAGGCTGACGTAGAAGAGGGACGTCTTTTTTTTCCTCTTCAAATACTCCAAATCCGCCCAGTTAGTTTCGACCTTAGGCGTATACAAAATTTAACTCATTATTTAACTTATTACGTGTTATTAACCGATTACACATTACTAAATGAAGCTATGTCTACGGATTTATCGCCTTAAGTCTATCCCGTGAACATGATGCTGTAAAGACGGAAATTAAAACTGAAGAAAAAAACTAAGCAGTGGTAAAGTAAAATAGTTTCATTTAATTGTTTCAAACAATTACGACTTACAATAAAAACGCCATGATTATATAACCTTAAAATAATAACTTGCAATGTTTTATGAACTATCATATAAAACGTGTAGAAAAAGTACGAGATTGTCGCCGCTGTGGGAATCGAACCCACGTCTTCGGCATTCGCGGCCTGGCGCTCTAGCCACTGAGCTTAACGGCTGATAGCCACAGCGACGAAAATCTTAACGCCTTCTTTCTACATTGTGGCGCATCTTATGTTCTATCCTTTCCAGCATACAAACAATTTCAAATATCATTTTACAACAACAATTCGAACGAGAGATGTCGCCATTTTTTTAATGTGCTAATCTCTACACTTAAGACTGAACATTTCTACGAACTTTTTCTACACGTTTTAATGTTCAGTGTTAAGTGCAGAGATTAGCACATTGTTATACATAATATAAATATATATATATTTTTATAACCTTTTAATAAAGTGGGCCCCGGTTACCTCACTCACTAGAATAATCGCAGAAGTATTACACTTCCATTAAATTTTGTTGAGGAAAGGACGAAAAGTTTCTCCCCGTTGCGCCGCGGGAAACGAATCACATGTTTTAACCACTATCGTTATATTTTTCAATATTATAAACGATCAATAAAAAAGATTTTTGTCGCATGGGCATCTTATTTTATTTCTCTGAAATTTTTATATACAAATTAATTATGACCTGAGATACACAGAGGTTCAGTAGAGAAATTGAGTAACATTTTTTTATTTTTATTCAATAACAAAAGGAATCTGGCACTTTCAGTGAGTTAAAACATTTTCACTAGCTGTACTCATTCATATATTAAATGTTAAATGTTATTTGAAAGTGATAGCGTAGCCTTAAAGTTGCTCATTAGGTAGCGGCGAGCATTGCTATAATGAAAAAATAAGATGGTGACAGTTTCGCGTCATTATGATATCAGGGGCTTAGTTCAGCTGCCTAGAGCAATAAAATGCTCAGGTTCAGGTTCGAATACTGACATATACGATAACTTATCTACTAAAACGAATGTTCAAGTATAGACAGGTAGATTTCAACAAGCGCTAAAAATACAAATAAAATATTATTATAAGTTAGACAGAAAGGCCAGGTCCCTTGAGCAGCCCGGAAACATAAACTAAAGTAACAGTCTGTCCCACTGCTGGGCAAAGGCCTTCACTTTAAAGAGGGTATCAGGGTATAGTCCACCACGCGGCCCCAATGCGGATTGGCAGTCACATATCTTCGAAATATTTTTTTTGTTAATATTTCAAAAATACGCAGGCTTCCCCACAATGTTCTTCAAAGGTGAATACGTGATAAGTCAGCACTTAAAAGAAACAATTTAATTGGCGCCGGCACCGGGGATCGAGCTCGGGTCGCTCGAGTAAATTGAATTAGGGGCGAGCGCCCGGACACTTAGCTATCACGGCCTGGCACACTCACATCAAACATCAGATATCGCATGTAATCGTAATCTTCGGACGCTATCGCGTATCTGGAGTCCGCCAGCGCGCGGAGGGAGTCCGGGCCGCTGCGTCCGCTGTTCATCAGATCCGACACAAATACGCGTGTATCATCATCGACGACACGGAGAGCACCAGGAAGGTCCACCGGCCGGACATCCCCGCCGGAACCGCACTGGCATCTGATAAAGATTTAACGGTGGTAGGGCCTCGCAACAGCCTCGGCTGTTGCACGAATGGGCAGGCCCGTCCGGGTTAGTACTACGACCTCACAGAAGACCAGCATAAAGTGGAAGTATGACAAATACTTTCGCGTTTCGTCTGGTGAATGAGGTAGCCGGAGCCCAATTTTCAAAAGGTTGTCAACGCTTCTGTAACCCTCGGGTGTAGCAGATGTCCATGGGCGGCGGTATTCACTTACCATCAGGTGAACCGTCTGCTCGTTTGACAACTTTTCACATATAAAAAAAATAAAAATAACCGTCATGATTAAGAATAAAACGTCTAAGTTGCGGCAATACAAGTCCATTTTTTTTAGTAACGAAAAACGAAACCGACTTCAAATATCTCGTTATGTATTCGTTTTATATTTGACTAGCTGACCCAGCAAACGTTGTTTTGCCATATAAATTATTTGTAGGGTAGAAGAAAATGTTTCGGGTGGACCACTCTTAACATTTTGGAGGATGAAAAATAGATGTTGTCCGATTCTCCACCCTGGCCGATATGCACACAAAATTTCCTGAAAATCGCTCGAGCCGTTTCGGAGGAGTTCACACAACAAACACGGTGACACGAGAATTTTGTACATTAGATTTTCAGGAGCTCCCTACGTATCTCCGGAGCCCAAGATCCAATACCAAAGAAATTAATATGGGACCACATGGGAAGCACCAGCTTTCAAATAAAAGAAGAATCATCAAAATCGGTTCACTCAGCCGAAAGTTCTGAGGTAACAATAAAAAAAAATACAGTCGAATTGAGACCATCCTCCTTTTTTGAAGTCGGCTGAATGTGCTGGTTAGTTTTAGCGATGAGTTGATCAACCAAATGTGCCATAAGAGATGTATTCTTATGTCACATTTGGTTTTTAGTATGTGAAATAATACATGGCTAATAATACATGCTATGGCTATAACGTGAATGCGTGGATTTTATTACGTTTGAAGGATTAATGTAGGAAACATGTACCGCGGATAATTTTGTGTATAATCCGATTTTGTCGACAAAATAAACTGTTCACAAGGAATGTTTATGAAACTTTGTATAGTAACATGAAGAATACGTATTATAAAAATACCTTGTTGCAAGTAAGTTGCCAGCACGGCCATGAAAGCACCTTCTTTTTCGACCGGCTTCTTAGCTGTAATCCTCTGTGCCAAAGCCATGATGATAACAAATCCGATGCACGTCCACCACACTCCTGGGGCGAAGGGCTGAACGAACAGATTGCTGCTACTCTCGCGCTCCGACACATAGGAGAATCCGACCCTGAAGTTAGACTATAGCTTAATTACCGTTTTGTGGTGAGCTCTCCTAAGTAGCTTCTTGTAGGGCGAAAAGGCCCTGGTAAAATATGTGTGTAAAAGGCGTGGTACATAAAAGTCTATATTTTAGTTTATTGTTTTCAACTATATGATGCAGAACAATATAACCGGGTGTTTAAAACCGATGAATCCTTTTTCACTGTGGTAGAACCACACAACAGTCCCCGCTGTTGCACGAATGGGCGGACCTCACAGAAGACCGCCGTAAAGTGGAAGTATTATAGTTCTGCGTTTCATCTGGTGAGTCAGGTAGCCGGGGCCCACTAAATTATAAGGTAGCAACGCATCTGCAACCCTACGGGTGTAACGTATGTCAACGGGCGGCGGGTATCACTTAACATCAGGTGAACCGCCAGCTCGTTTGCTGCTTTTTCACATAAAAAAACCCGGATATTAATTATGAGTCTTTAAAAATGGTGGAATAGATTTTTTTTAAATACATGTATTTTTTTATCAATAAGAAAATATTAGTCATCACAAAATTACGTAATATAATAATCCGTGATAGTCCGGAAGTACATGGGGGAGGCCTATGTTCAGCAGTGGACTCAAACAGGCTGAAATGATGATGATGAGTCCGGAAGTACACTCAACGTTATTTCAAATCTTCTTGCCGGCTCATAATAAATGAATGAATCAGTTGACACTACACGTTTTGGCAATGATAATAAATAAATGATTCGAAGCTATGTGTTGTCCATCGATCTGCAGTGGGGCCGTATGGTGGACTATGCTCTAATACCCTCTGTACAAAGGAGGCCTTTACCCAACTGTGAGACAAACATACGCTGATACTTTTTTTTTAATTAACCGACTTCAAACAAGGGGGAGGTTTCTCAATGCGTTCTCAAATATTTTTTTTTATGTGTGTTCGCGGATAACTTCGTCGCTTATGAGCCGATTTTGATGATTCTTTTTTTGTCAGAAAGGAGATATCCCAAGGGTGGTACCACGATAAGGAAACCCGGATGGCATCCCAGAGAAATCGAGGGCCATCTTTGAAGGTATTAACAATGTTTTTTTAATTATCTGATTGAAGTCGGTTTTTTTGTTAAAAATTATTATTCTCTACGTCGTTTTTATTGCATTTTTAACATTGATTAGCGCCAATTTATCGACACGCTTTATGTTATTGAAAATGATTTAACTCACTGAAAGTGCCAGATTCCTAAGGCGTAGTCCAAGTATTTTATACGTTCCGGTAGCATTCTCAACACTGCGCCTGCGAGGTCCGCTGTACCGTACTTCAACATGAGGAGCATGCTGCTATTATTAATTTCGGTGCTCCACAACCTTGTCGGCACTAGGATGTGTCTAAAACGAAACAAATCCCCCTCACTTAGAAACCTTGATACTTCCGAAAGCCGTGCGCGGTCTCTTGGATTAAGGCCCATTTACACGGTGCCAGTTTCTTGCCTGTTGTATACAATTAAATTGAAGCAATAAATAAGTTGCATGGTCTAAACAACAAATGGTCTAACCAATTATTGCGCGGAATTTATTGCATTCAATTATTGCTCTTGCATGTACAAGAAAATGGCATAGTGTAAATGGGCCTTAACTCTAACAAACAATCAACCGTTGTGCGTGCATCATATAAAAAATAACGGATATATTTCAATTGGCACGCAACAACTGTGGTTGGGCCATAGTTGATGCATGACGTACACTTTCTGGAATTTAACTGAATATTTTCAGTTAATTAATATTAGTTAATTATCAAATAATTAATAATTATAAAATAATTAATAATTTTAATTTAAAAATAACTGTTTCACGGTTAGCTATGCAGCTAGATGCTACGAGCCATGGGCGCTGCCATATTGGTTTTGGTTGCTCTGTAGGGCGTTTTTTATTTACCCCTACTACGCAGGCGGCTGTAATGCAACATGCTATAGATGGAAGAAAAATTCGATGCAATGGAAAAAATGTTTTAATTTTATTTTTGTTTTACTTCAATCGCCGTCTTGTTGGTCGCCTGTTGGCGTTCATGTTGAAATATTGTCATAAATAAAAATCTCTTCATTTGTGTTGTACGCAATTTCTTTCAAGTGTATAAGATAAATCAGTGTAAGTATATAATACTAAAGTATTCAATATACAAATGCGACTAACTCGGCGTTGAGTGCCTCGGTCAGAAGTACCGACGAAGCGTACGTGCAGCGAATGCCGGCATCACGTTCCCTCGCAACTGTCATATCCGCCAAGTAATCACCGAAGCTGCCATTGTACCAATCCTCCGAAAAGTAGCCCATCTAAAAGCGTAAAGTTAAAATGCAATCTGTGAACACTTTATTGTGTACTGGTACAGTTAATGCTAATATTATAAAAGTAAAAAGTAAAGTAACAGCCTATACATGTCCCACTGCTGGGCAAAGGCCTCCTCTATATAGAGGGTATCAGGGCATAGTCCACCACGCGGCCCCACTGCGGATTGGTGGACTTCACATATCTTCGAATATTTTTTTTTGTTATTATTTCGAAAATATGCAGGTTTCCTCACGATGTTTTCCTTCACCGCGGAGCACGTGATAAGACAGCACTTAAAGTTAAAAAACTTCATTGGTGCCGGCAGCGGGGATCGAACTCAGGTTGCTCGAGTATATTGAATTAAAGACGAGCGCCCTGACACTGAGCTATCACGGCTCGTTATTATAAACAAGAGGTAAATTTGTTTGATTTTTAGTGTGTTTATTTGCTTGCGTGTATGTAATAGGTAATATTTAATAGTTTCAGTAGTAAATTAAAGTTGTTACTTTACATGTCCCAGCAGTGGCTGGACAAAGGCCTCCTCTGTACGGAGGGTATCAGGGCATAGTCCACCACGCGACCCCACTGTGGATTGGCGGACTTACTATTTTGGAAATATTTTTTGTTGTTAGCATTGCGAAAATATGTAGGTTTCCTCGCGATGTTTCCCTTTACCTTGTAGCACGTGATAGGCGTGCAGGCACCGGGGATCGCACTCAGTTAAAAGCAAGCGCCCGGACAATAAGCTATCACAGCTCTTACTTTGTGATACTTAGTTAAAATCATATTATAATCAACAAAATTGTTTATTTCTGTCATAAGAGACCTCAGACTAGGTCGTGATTTCACAAGTAATATCGTTACGTAATTATTTTTTCGATATAAACAACAAAGTCAGAGAATAAGAATTGGCATCATTAGGATGGCATATGATTAATATCATGAAAATACATACCGGAGTAGCGATTTTCAAAGGGTATTTTTTGAAGTCAAATCGCCGCAAAACTCTCTCACGTTCATGAAGTAGTTGCAATCCAAAAGGCTCGCTCCAATACGCCCAAGTATGGAGAGACGGACCATCACGCGGGTGTACGTATAAATCGTCAAAGAATACTAATGTTTTCGGAGCTGTGGAAATAGGTTCTGTGAACAATTTTTGAACACAAAATCTAGATGTCGTAATGTCTGATGTTACAGGTGACGGGAATAACTCATATTCACCGACTTCCCGCACATTTGTACAGGTTGTCACTCCATCTAGTCGCGGGTCCTACACTACGATGCCCAGGACGAGGTTGCCACTCAAGAGCCTTTTTTCGGCCCCAATTGTTATCGGTTCTACGAGCTATATGGCCGGGCTTTCGCCACTTCAGCTTATTAATCTTCTCAGCAATGTCGCTTATCTTTGTTCTACTGCGGATGTCTTCGTTGCGAACTTTATAACGCAGAGAAATACCCAGCATAGCTCGCTGAGTAACTTTGACCTTCCTCATACGGCTAGCAGTGAAAGACCTACCATCTCTGTTCCATAGGTCATCACTGGCAACACACATTGATTAGTCTTTGACCTTCTAACATTGAGGGATTCTAGATGAGAAGAGGTGCCGAAGTTCCGGAACGCCTTCCGAGTTGGTAACGTTAATATAACATTACGTTGAACACATTACGTTAATATAACATTACGTTAAAAAATGTTCACATTACCGTTCGAAACTTCTCCATTCCCATTTTCAGTGCGTAACAAAACTATGTCTGCGTCGTATCGGCAGCTTTTGATGTATTCGGGTATTTCATTTATTAGCAGCCATTTGTACCAGTGAGAGGAGTGTTTCAAACGGACCTAGATAGAGAGGAGCATTTTATATGATGGTTTTGTGTTGTGAAATACTTTTTAAATACTGTAGTGTTGTTTAGATAAGTGAATTGAAGTTGCTATGCTGTTGTTTTTGAAGAGTATAGCTACCAAAGCTAGCTAGTATAGCTACTTTTTTTACAATGCTTTAAATTTTAAACTTTATAACCTGTATCGATATGAATTTGGCCCGTGTGCAGTCTTACGCTACCCTAAGGACACTCGAGATGCTAGTGCGATGACTTGATGCCATTACTAGCAACCGACAGCCTCTATAGGCTTGTGAAGCAACTATGAATAAAGTTGCGTCCTTGATTTCTATTACTGTTTGGAGAGCTGTGCCCAGCTGTATCAGTGATCTTGTCTCCGAATGGTATCTGTCTTTAAATTGTAAATTTTTTAGACTTAAATGAATAAAAACTTTCAAAAAACCAACAACTTTTAAAATCTCATCTTGAGTGCAAAGACTGTAAAAGAAAAGTAAAAGACGTACAAAGACAAAGGGAGGTAAGGGGTCCGGAATAACATCTAATCGACCCTAATGTCAACCACACCTGCTCGCGTTCGATGGCGGCGGCGGCCAAAAGGACGCCGTGGTACCCCCTGCTATGGCGGGATAACCATTTCCCCAACCGGCTCACACCGGTTGGAAGAGGCCTAGCAAGCCTTGAGGTCTAAAAAACTTGATAAAGCCGCAGTACAGAAAGACGAAAGCTGCTACAGCATAAAACAAGACCCTAAGAATAACACCGCACGGGAGAAAAAAGTTCCGTGTGGTGGTCGCCGACATCCGATAGGATAGGGCACCCCAGAGGAGGAGGCAAAGACTAAAAATAAAAGTTAATCTTAAAAATGGTATCTGTCTACTATATAATCATGAGCATCGCCTTTAGAACCGCTAGCAGAAGGTAGTTCCGCACCCATGCTCGGATTCAATCAATCTGTACAATGCGGAATCGCGATCCTTTCATCAAAATGAAAGGGACGCGCCATCTCCAATCTAAATCGTCAAATAACACGCACCCTCATTGTACAGCGATAACAGTTATCAAAACAGTTCAGCGCGGTTAAAATAAAAAATTGTTTATTTGAATCGTGAAATTAAGTTGCAATTTTCACAAAAATTAGAATTTTGTGGTTATCGCACCCAACTACCGGTGGCGCCGCATTCAATAAATTAGCAACTACGCCAATGCATTTATATCTCATAAATGCATACAACATACCCAATGTGTTCTGGGTACATACAACTTTTGATACCTTTTTGCAATATGCCTTTAGGATACGTTACTATGCCATATAGTGTTGCCAACCACCGTGAGTTTGGTCTTCCCATTGATGCGTTGCTAAAGACCAAGATTCTTTCTCGCATGACGAAGCACATAAGTATAAATACTTTTGCTTCCTTTCTGTGTAGCCGCGACACTTTTTCGGTCGAGCTATCAGTACATGCAGAGGGGGCTGATTTGGTAAGCAACTGTTGGCCTACATCAGTAAAAGTTATGAAATTATCAAAAACAGACCTCTTTTAGAGAATTATGAGGTGATGGAATATACAACACGCCATTGTAGGGCTCTTCGTGAATGCGTTCTAGTATCGAAGAGTTGCAGGAGAACGCTACCGTCATTCCGTAAAGTGAAAAACTTTTAGCTAAGTTCAAACGATCTGTGAAAGTAAGAGATAATTTTCGCTTAAAGATGATTAGGAAGCTGGGAAAACTTAATCATAATCAAGTGTAAACTGGTAGAGAATACCGCATTAAGTCCGCCCTTAGTTTAAGGGGTATCAATAAATTTTTAATAAATAAATAAATAATAACAAAATAATCTTTTCCAGAATCTTACCAAAAGCTGAACAACATGTTAAGATAATTATACCACCCACAAACTTATGCTTGAACAGATCAACTATGGCCGGAATCAACATTTTTTTGGTATTGCCAGTTCAAGACTTTATACTTTCGTTATAAAACCGCTTATATAGCATACAGGTGTTAGAGTTACAAGAGTAATGATGCCACTCGATGAATATTCTATTCGATAATGTGTCAGTAATTTGTTTACAGTTAGAAAATTAAACTGGAAATGAGAAACGTACAACGAAATGTTTTGTATAATAAATGAAATTACAGGTTCTTTGCAATGCAATTAAGCGTTGCGGCGTATCGTAGAGTTTTGTCGAGTGTTGTAATTTCTAGGCTATATCATTATGCATTTTAGCTATGGTAGGGCAACGAAGCAGCTTCTACTGTTGTAGTAAATATGTTTAATTTTATTTTATGTATTTGTATACATGGTGCATATAAAAGTAATATGTATGTGATGCGCTCCTTTTACATTTAAAATTTTATTAATAGTTCACATCTCTATGTGCGCGTTATTTTTAAAAAAAGTTTCTGTTGCACGTATTAATATAAAGATTCATAAAGACTTATGCTTGTGAAATCTCAATCAAAGCAGCAATCTCATAAAATTATGTTAAAAATGATCAGCTGGTAATCCCTAGTTAAGTTGCCTTGAGTTTTTGAAAGGTTCATTGGAGAAAAACTAGCTAATCACTCCATAACTAATGATAAATGACTTAACGAATATTATTCTCTTTTTCTATTGTATTGCTGCTGTATTATGTATATTTATTTATAGATATATTTATGTTTATAAATAACTGTGCATATTTATGTATAGCATATCTGTGTGCACTAAACACATTTACAGCTACCACATATTTTTCTCACCAGGTTAACTGGCAGAGAACCCATGCGTTGAGTTAAGCTTATCTTTTGTACAATATTTACATTTTTAATTTTTTGTTAATCTTGTGTTTTATGTACAATAAATATATAAATAAATAAATATGTTGTCTGGCACCGTGTCAGTGTCGACGTTAAAACTTTATTATTTAATATATCGCTTCAATTGGCAGTCTGTGTGGGCGTTAATTTATAAAAAGAAAAACATATTAAAATAATCCCACATTATGTCAACGGCCATCGGGTGTTACGTTCCGTACATTGATGACTCGTATGTGCGTAGGGACATTGATTCGGTTTAAAACAACGCTTGCATGGGGACAAACGCGGCCCACACACAACCGCGGAGGACCGAAGCGAATATTTATTTGGTTTTTTCTTGCTTTATAATCAATAATGCTTAATAATATAGATGATGATGCATGTCTATACAGCACGGCGTTTAAAAATGGTTCCGCTTTGCATAATATGACATAGGTATATGAGTGAATCTAAAAGTGATGACATATAATGTGGAAAGAGAGAGAAAACCTATTGGTGTAATTTGAGTGACTTAATTTCGATGCGGTAGTGTCATATCTTTTTGTATAATAATTAATGGTTATAATTGAAACTAATTTTACGGATTCATCGCGTTTATTTTTAATTTTAATTCCCGACGTTTCGAACCTTTTACAGCGTTCATGGTCACAATTAAAAATATAAACATTTGTAAATTCGTCACAATTAAAATTTCATTACCATCCATACTCTAAAAATTAACTCCATGTACGTGATTAATGCGTTTACTGAGAAGGTGCCAAACACAAAGTATATTATACCAATCATTCGGCCGAGGCCACTGAGCGAGGTGGAAGTATGTCTATTGCTGTCAAAATTATTGACGATCTTTACATTGTTTTAAATGCTTCGTCCATAAATCGCTTCATCACATTCCTTCGATTCCACAAGGTAATGTAAAATATAAATCATTAATTTTTCAAAAAATACGTTTTTTATTAGTTTTGATCTATATTACAATCCACTGTCTATTTATGTAAACTTTTATGAAGATAACACAGCAAATAGTTGAAAATTTTCATTCATCTCCATTTCATTTCTATCCGTACCGTCCATTTTATTGTTGGAAGGTAATGAAGTCCTTTAGAAGGAAATGAAAAATATTCATTTAATTTTAACCAACGTCAAAAATTAAAAGTAACTCGTAGTTATTTTTCAGTTTTTAAGCGTACATTTATAATAATTATAGCCTATGTAACTATACCTTATACAATATTATTACTTTAACTTTTTTTAGTATCAAAATGGCCAAAACGAGTAAAAAATTAACTAGAGAAGAAAAATTAGCAAAAGACAGATTACGTAAAAGAGAAAGATATAAAAAAATAAAAAACGACCCAGAGCTGTATTCTATACATAAAGAAAACGAGAGAACAAGATATTTAGCACGAAAAGAAAAGAAAAAAGTTTGTAGTATCAAAGAAAACCCCTAGAGCACAACGAGAACAAAGAAGACGTTGGAGAAAAAACTCTAGAAATTATTTAAAAAGGAAGGAAGAAAAAAACGAAATACATAAAATATTAATAGAAAACTTACCTCCAGAGAGTGAATTGAAGATTAATGTTGACCCAGACCCTCCTAGTTCAGATCCCTTAATGCTTGCTGAACCGGGACCATCTTCAACTCCGAGTATTAAAAACGTAAGATTACTTAAGTTCAACAGCGCAATAAGACGTTTGCGGTATACTCATTCAAAGATGGTGAAGAAATTAAAAGATGAAATTAATAAACTAAAGAGGGAAAAGGATGCTTTTCGGAAACAAATTTATATAGGTCAACCAGAACATGATTCTGTCGAAAAAAGAATTGAAGAAGTTTTAACGGTAATACGACCCGAAAATAAAGAAGAAGTTAAAAAACAACTGCCTTTTAGTGTAAGTATATCACAGAACGTACAAGACATCTATAAAACAATGACTAAAAAGGAAAAGAGACATTTTGCAGGACAGATAATTCATAATGAAGAAAGATTGAGGAAATATAAGCTACTTCATAAGTTGCCATTTGTTAGAAGAAAGAAAAACATCACAATAGAAAAAAAAACAATCATTGATAAATGACATTCATTCCTTTTTCGAAGAAGACACAAATAGTAGAGTTGCTGCGGGGAAGAAAGAATTTATAAAAAACCGAGGCCTGAAAAAACAGAAGCGGTACCTGACTGATAATTTAAAAAAATTGCATGAAAAGTTTTTGAAGGAGCAAAGTAGCATAAGCTATTCAACATTTTGCAAATATAGACCCTTTTGGGTGGTTTTTCCTAATAAAGATCGAGAGACTTGTCAGTGCAAACTACATTCCAACGTAAATCTTTTAATCAGGGCTTTAAAAAGTGCAGAAATCATTACCGAAACTACTGGTACAGACGTTATTAAAACTGTCTGTTGTGATATAAAGCAAAACTGTCTTGAACGCACATGCACAGCATGCGTAAGTAAAGTTTTAAGTTACCGTGAATTCAAAAATAACAAAAAAAATAAAGTTTTATCAATGGATTGCTGAGAAAAAACCATATACAGTGAAGAATGGGAAACAAAAGATTAAAATTGTTACCATAAAAAAAAGACTTGAAGATTATCCGCGCGATATTATTTACAAATTAGAGTCAATGTTAATTCCATTTCTTAAGCACAACCTACACATTACAGTACAGTACGAGGTTATCAAACAACTAAAACAAAATTTGAAAGATGATGAGATACTTATACACATAGATTTTAGTGAGAATTACTGCTTAAAATACAATCAGGAGATACAATCCTACCACTTCGGAGGAAGTCGTCAACAGGTATCCTTACATACAGGAGTTATTTACTATAAAAACATACAGGGTACCTTTCAAACAAAATCGTTTTGTACAATAAGTGATTGCCTAAAACATGACGCTGGAGCTATATGGGCTCACTTATGCCCCATTTTAAAGTTGGTTTATGAGCTAGTTTCGTTTAATACTGTACATTTTTTATCTGATTCGCCGTCTAGCTAATACAGAAATAAGAATATTTTTTATATGATTACAAAATTGAAAAACACTATCCCCAGTATTAATAGAGTGACATGGAATTTCCAAGAATCTGACCATGGCAAAGGTGCCCCAGATAGCATTGGCGCTGTTGTTAAACGGACTGCTGATAATTTCGTGAAATATGGTGGAGATGTTGGTTCATTCGAAGATTTTGCGACTTTGATAATTAAAAATATAAAAAATGTACATTTTGAGATAGTTACAGAGAGTGACATCGTAGAAAAAGAATTCCCACCCAATGTTCCAGGATTTAAAGGTACGATGCAAGTTCATCAAGTCGTTTGGACTACTGATCATAGTAAGATCATCGCTTTACGCCGCCTTAGCTGCTTTGGCTGTCAAGATTGTAGCATTCCTTGTCTACATAACAAACATTTAGGCTTCCTTTATTTTACAAATATCGGTGTAACACTTTCAGATTCAAATGAAACCCTTGAAGCCCATAACGATCAGTCACTAAGCATAGATACTTCCATAATTTTAAATAATATACACGAATCTGTTATTTTTGATGACTTGGGACCTCTCTCAGGCCCAATCGACTTACAGCTCTCATCCATGACAAATGCTAGTACAACAAAGACAAGATCTCCAAAAGTCAAGATTTTATCCGATATCCGTTTGAGTTGGGAAAATCGTAAATTTTATGAGACGCAAATAGAAATTTAATTCCAAAAAAACTCTATTTAAATAATAATGATCACCAGCTTCAATTCGAAGCATTTATTCAGTCAAATAAATCAGAAAAAGAAAACAATGCCAATAATTTTTTTGATTCAGATGACAGTGACGAATTTAATATTTTTTGAGTTGTATTATGTAGTTACTTGTTGATTTCTTTTACATATTGTGATTTTACTTCCAAAGAATAATGAGACTTGAAATTATAATCCTATTAGTTTTTTTTTTATTTTGCATTTTTATTTTGAGTATGACTGATTTTATTCTCAAAAATAGAACAAATTATTTAATTTGAACACGCATCTAATTAAAATTATTGTTTACCTACCTAAATATAAATAAATCACTAATAATTACAGTCATGAATTTTTTTCTACTAAATTAACGTATTTCATTACCATTCCAGCCTTTTTACTTACCATCCCCCCTGATTTCATTACAATCTTTCTCCTTTTCATTACCATCCATTCGTTAAATTTCAAGGATTATTTTCTCAATAATTAAATGAGATAAAAAGTGCCTCTCACTTTTTATGAATCTAGTGACCAACCTAACTTGTTAATATACAAATAAAACGTGAAAATACGACTTTTTTTTCATCCACGGAACGTTAAAATTTGCACGAAACGGCGGAATGAGCCACGTATACATAATATACATAATCCTCAATATCGAAGTCCGCAATTCACTCAGACATTTTTTTAAAGAGGTTAATATACTCACTGTTGCTTCTCAATACATTTATTGTAATATTTTGTATATACGTCATAACCATAACCTTAATTATTACCTAAAGAATAGTGACAGACATAAAATAAATACTAGAAATAAGGAGAAACTTACTACGTCATTGTTTCGTTTACAAAAAGTAAATAGATCGTTCGTGGGGCAAAACTGCATGTATAATAAAATCCCACAGTCGATATTAAGTCTGCCGCTTGACCAATTTAAATGTAAAATTAAAATTCAAATTATGGTTAAAGCATATTATACCATTGCGGAATATCTCGACGACGCCAATGTGTGGAGTTAATACTGTTGATACTCACGTAGGCTAGAATAAGACAACTATACCTGTATATTATATTGTAAACTGATATCTTTGAAAAAGAGCAACTGTTGAGTATCGTGCCGGTCTCATTTCAACAGAAACTGCTTTCCGAACCGGTGGTACCTTACGAACCTATATACATAATTTTTGATTTAAAATTTCACGATTCATAACAGCGCGCAAGCGTCTATTAGAATAAATATATATTTGATTTTGATTCTGATACATTAATGTGATAAATTCAAGGCTAAGTCAGCCTTATCAATTAAAAGACACCGTGAATATGAGAAACTTTTATTGACACTTGCTATGATTTCAGAAGTACAATAAATATTAAATTAAATTATTCGATAAATACACTTGCATTAATTTAAGTTAGTAAAATAGTTTTAAATAGGCACCTGTAAGGTACATTAGCAGTAATGGCACCCGCAAGAGCATGGGGGTGGCAGTTCCAAGGGTTTCGGCTCTAGCGTTACGGGAACAGGTGGTGGGACCATGAAGGCCGTCATGGGTATACCTGGCGGCGGTGGGGCGCAACAAGGCGGTGGTGGTGGGGGAACCAAAGATATTACCAGGGGCGAAGGAGCTGGCGGCAACGGTGGGGGCAAGCAAAGAGGTGAAGGGGGAGGGGCGGGTAAATATATAGGTGCCGGAGGGGGTGCAGGTAAGAAGAGAGGCGCGGGTGGGGGTGCAGGTAAGAAGAGAGGCGCTGGCGGAGGTGCAGGTAAGAAGAGAGGTGCTGGAGGAGGTGCAGGTAGGAAAATGGGTGCGGGTGCCGGTGCGGGGAGAATAAGAGGCGGTTGGGGCGGTAAGCAAGGAGGTGGTGATGCGGATAATATGATCGGTGGCAGTGACGGCAGCTGTGGCGGCGGTGGTGGCAGAATCAGTGGAGGCGGCGCCGGTGGGAGGCAGCCCGGTGGAGGTGCTGCGGGCATCAGAACTAGCGTCGGCGGAGGCGGCGGCGGTGCACCACATTTACTACATGGTGGCTCTTTTTTCTCTGTAAAAGCAGTTTTTTTTTATTTTACTATATGTAAATTGTGTCACTTTTCGGTAAGGGAACTTATGTTGTTTAGTCGGGTTAACTTTTTTGTTGAGGGCTTGAACAACAATTGTTAAATAAATTAAAAAAAAACTCTGTTGCAATGTTACAGCTTAAGGGTATAATGTAATATAACGGCCTTACCGAGCTTCGCGGCAAGAAGAGGTTTCAATAATCTGAAATAATAAGAACATTTTAATATAGTATAATTGATATGTCTTAGAAAATTATATTATCAATAAATACTTACGAGGCTAGCACTGCTTTCTTACACTCTTTCATCTCCTTTAACGCCTCCAGCTGTGTAATAATAAAAAGCAATGATTAATAATAACGTCGATTATTATGTTAAAGAAAATCGATAACATTTTCCCTGCAAACATTTTTCGAAGAACAAATATAAGACTATGCTCAGATCCATTCAGTCTGTTCTGGGGAAATTGATGGCAAAACATGAATAAAATCGAAGGTATGCTTCATTCATCCACTACAAAGGCAATTACGTACCAAGCACAGTCCTTTTTCATCGCAAGCTTTCACATACATCGACGTGACCAACAGAAGGCTTAGGGAGGACCAAAAAATCTTTTGACCCCCCATTTCGGCTCAAATGAGAAAGGAATTGTGAATATTGAAAATATCGATTCGTATTTATGTAGCGTCTTACCGCATTTCCAATATTCGTGTGATAAGTTACATGATAAACTGTTAAGAAATATACAAGACTTTGTACGATGAGATCGGACGTGTTGATAGTAGAAAAATGAAAAAGTAAACATGGCATATGTCTTCACATGATTATCTTTTCATGTGTAATTGATTACTATTTTATCAGTTCAAATAATAATAAATGTTTTCCTTGTATGTATTAATTATTTTGCAATAAAAGAAGAAATTTGAAATATAAGAATTGCGCACTATATTTATTGTATTTTTCTTTTTTTTGGTGCAATGACTAATACGAATACTATATACCGGGCTGTTTCATCGCATTATAACAAATGCATTTGTTTAGGAATAAAAAAAGTGTTTGATGAGATGCTTATCGAAGATAAGTCTTCAATTGTTGTTTTGTAATTCGCGGTATATAAATCGTGTCCGAATGACGAATGGGTTTAAAACAGTAAGATCAAATTTAAAGATGGTGGCTTTGTCCGTCACAATGTTTAAGTGCTATGCATTTTACGCTTTTTTATCCGTAAGTGACAGTTTTTTTCATATTTTTTTTAAATACCCAAAAGTGTCAACTTATTCTTGAATATTTTAAAATATTTTACAGATACAACAAGCATATGGATTACATTACGAATCGAAGATAGTCAAAAGTTGTATGCGACGCTTACCTTTCAAGGTACAAATGGAACCGAAAACATTAGACACTAATATATGTCCTTCTATAAATCTTTCAAAATCTCTAACGCAGACGAACCCTGCAGGAAGCACGGGATCTGTATTAACAAGGTCTCAAAGAAGACGAAGGTCTTTAATCTTGCCAAGACTTCCATTATTGCCTATACTTCCACCTATCATACCCAAATTGCCGCTCCTACCATTACCTCTGCTTCCGCCACCCTTACTCCCAATGCCATTGCCAAAAATAAAGAAGTCTCTCAAGCCTCTAAAAGTTCCGATATTAGGAAAGCGATCGGTGTTGTCAAAACCTGCACATTCCAAGCTCAAGCCTATTAAGATTCCGGGCTTGGACATAAAGTCTGGGAAAAGAAGAGTGTTGGAACATTTGCTTAAACTGAAAAGGAAAGGTTCGTTGACTACAAAGGAGTTCATACGATTTAGGAAACTTTTACTTAAATAAATCTCTTGTCCACTAACTCTATATGAAAATGTAAAATCATAAAATTGTTATTATTGTTGTGTGATAAAGTTGTAACAATTGTCAATATAATAATATCATCTTAATATTTATTAAATATCTATAAAAAAATATACAGCAAAATCGTAATAATGTCTTGCACTCAAATTTTGTCAAATGGAGTACCAGTGTCTTTGTGGAAGTAAATTAATGAATTCATTTTCGTATCAACAGGGGTAAGAGACCAAGTTGAATAAATACTTGTTTAAGTTAAAATAAGTTATTTAAATAAATTATCATTAAATTATTGTGAATTTTGCAATTTTTATTTTTGTTATAATGGTTAGTAATAAAAAAGTTTACCGTTAAACATTTATATCACTAATCATTTTTATTAGACATTTAAAAGGTACTATGTTTCATGTCACAGTCTGGCCGTAATCGAAATTTGGCGCCAACATAGCGTATTTGAAATTAAACTCTAAAAGAATGTTATTGCAAATCAATCGAATTTATTTCAATGTTGTACTTTTTTATATTTTTATTGTTATGTATTTAATAATATTATATCGCAAAATATTGTGAAAGGTTCTTAGAAAACATCCCTCAAAGCATCTTAGGCGATTTGTAATTGGCTAGATTGTGCTAAAAATATAGACTTCGTTGTTATGTGCAATGAAAACTAAGTAATAAAACCATTAAAGATTACGTCTATAATTCCATTTATGAAAATAACCTTACTTAATATATTTTAATCGACTTCAAAAAGGAAGAGCTTTCTCAATTCAACCATATATATATAATATATATATATTTTTTATATGTGTTCGCGGATAACTTCGTCGTTTATGAACCGATTTTGATGATTCTTTTTTTGTTGGAAAGGAGATATCGCAAGGGTGGTTCCATAAGAAAGAAACCCAGATCTGATGATGGCATCCCAGAGAAATCGAGGGCAATCCTCAAATGTTATAAGTATCAACAATGTTTTTTAATTTCGGTTTGAAGTCGCTACAAATTATTGTTAAGTCAATACTTTAATACAAAAATCTACCAAACATTCTATTTGGTAAAACATCTATATTCAATAAAGGCAAACAGACATATATTTACATAATATTATTTACACCGTGATACATCACTTACATTATTTTGTCTTAGTTTATTATACACTATAATTATACACACTAATTATATTCACTATAAATTCATTAAAACAGTCTTCAAAATAAAAGCCAAACGCAAGTTTTCGTTCTGTAGATTATCTTTTGATTATGTCACTTCTAAGATATCTTCTGTTGTTTAGCGTTCGCCGCCAGGAAGTTGACGGCCCGCGACAACATATCCTTGAACTTGCCAAAGAACGCGAGGAGGGAGTGTGACCAGGGCTTATCTTCAGCTCGACAGGTGAAGCATGGTTCCATTCCATTCGGCCGAAGCAGAGACTGCCTCACCAGCAGACTTCCCTGCGGGGAACCATTGTTTCGACATTTAAAGACATTCATTCCGTCACCTTATATATAATAATATAAAACATAAACATTACAATAACAAAAATGAAACAAACACAAAGAAAAATATTTATAAAAAGAAGCAGTACAAAAGAGAACAAAAGATTTGTTATAAATACTTATAATTTGTTATAAATACTTATAATAACAACTTAAAACGTATGTTGTGATAATGTGGCGGTAGGAACCGTCTCAGCATAAGCCGTAGGAATGTAGTACTGTTTTTCAGGTCATCTGCAGGCTATTGTTTACCATGTGTATTGTTAAATATGCATATGCACCGGTAAACAGGGCTTATTGACGATTTTCGATCGAAGCGGTCACGTATTAAGAAATTTAAACAATAGCAAATGGTTCCTGATATAGAAGTTCGCACCAACGAGGTCAGATCTCAAAACCATATACCAAGGCCCCCGCTGCATGTTTGGAATTACTTAGAATGAAATCAAAATAAGTGAAATATGTGCATAATACGTACTTACGGACTACCTATATGAATATGAGAAAATCCAGCGCGTTATGTTAAATGTACTCCGTATGGAAGGTTACATTTTCCTACGTTAACATCATGCGTTACTTCGTCATTATATGTCACTTTTCACATAAAGTTTTTAGATATTCACAAATTAGATAAATTGTTACACGTTTCTGATTTTTTTCTGTTTCTATAATTACGGGCAAAAATAAAATATACGTCATGAAAGAAGCTGTGCGAGGAGGTGTAAATGTTTATACAGGGATTTCCGTCTGTTTGGAAGAAGAACGCGGTCATTCGCTAAAACGGCGGCCGTTACGACACTACAAAAGAGTTGCAAAACCAGACCTGCACAGACGCGACAGCGGCAGCCACGAGCATAAGCCCGATTATACGCGCGCCCAATCTCATTCTCGTAATAGAACTTGACCAGAAGGTACAGGAGTAAGCCGCCCGCGCAGCAGCCGTTCGCCAACCACCGCATGCTGGACAGATCGTCGCGTCTAATAGCCGACGCGGGACTATCCAATCACGTACACAGATAAGCCTCGACTGCCTCTGGGCGCCGCGCCGCTTAAACGCTGCCTTGCGCACGATCTGGGTCGCGCGGCGATCGCTGAGTCGGCGTTCCTGCGCCTTAGCGGGACGTGATTGGCGGAGGACGTGTTTAATACGGCACGATGCCGCACTGACCAAGCATGCCTCGATACGTGACGGTGATAGCCCTGGTGCTCGTGGTTAGTTCCCGTCAGAAACGGCCGCGGTCAATTTTGCCGCTGAAGCGTTGCGCTTCATGTTCCGTTTTTGAACGGCCTTTGGTTTTTTCTATTTTATTCGTATGAGTTAAATAGTTGGATTTTGGGCGTATCAATGTATTATTTGTCGTTCGTTTTAACTGTTCATTGTTGTCGATTGAACGTTTTTGTACGCGTTCCAGATGGAGCGTTTTCATGAATGCGCGCCGCCGCCGCTACGTTTGACGATCGATTGCGGATCTGAGGAAGAGGTGAGCTCTAGTAGTAATTATTTCCAAAATCGAACCTCTAACTGAACATTATACTATGAATGTTGTTTCTTTAAATAATCAAAAAAATAATATCTCGAACAAAACGAAGTAAAGATTAAAATCAAAGGTTCTTTCCGACTGCTTCTTAACGTAATTAAGTGTTTTATTACTCTCATACTGTGTATTTATATAACCAGAATACATAAAATTACCATTCCATTCCTATCGGTGTATCAGATTGATTATTGATTTCTTAAATTTAAATATTGTTAAATGAATCAATTTTTTGTATGGTTTCTACTCTTACTTGAATTTTAATTCTTAACAAGAAGTTAATGCCTTGTAGTATTCACTTCTTTTTTAACGTGTCTTTCATGGTTACAGATGAACTCTAGCTTTGTTTATCACAAGATAACATATACCATAACCGACTTATAAACAAATGGAGATGGAAACTTTGTCATTGACAAAAAATAATATAAAACAAAGTCTTCCCCCTGTCTGTCTACCCTTATGTATGCATAAATCTTTAAAACTACGCAATGGATCTTGATGCCATTTTTTTTACTGGATAGAGTGTTTCAAGAGGAAGGTTTATAAGTATAATACATTGCGCCCGCGCCAAGCCGTTGCGGCTGGCTGGTAAATCTATATTTATTATCCTACTAATTTCAGGATTATCTACCGATAGTCAGATCATCAGACGAATTGTTCGACAGTTCGCGTTTCGACGTGAACTCCTTCTGCAGCATGATCAACCGAGCCATACCGAAAGCTGTGGAAGATGGTAGGTTTGTCCTCGTTGAGCCTGGACGCGACCAGATCGGGTATGGAGACTCACAGGTTCCAGTCGCGGTATCGCCACCCAAGGGTTTCGTACCAAGATTGGGCTTGCACAGGCTGAAATCTCCAAAACTGGGAATACCGAAAATAAGCGTACCAAAGCTGATGCCGTCGACGCGTGGCTCGAAGCCAGCACCGTCGATAGGAGCACCAATGTCATTTGTCCCATTTAAACACAGAGCGGTAGAAGAATCGAGTGCGGAGAGAATGGAGAAATTCAAGAAGGGTGTGCAGAAATTACTACACGTTGTTAAAGTTCTCGGTCAAATAGATCACTATCTATCTGAAAGGTCCAGGATATTGGTTGATAAGTTGTCCAAAACTTTTTCTGATTGACACGCTCTGTCGAAATATGTTTTTACTAAGGTTCAAATATATTGTAAATAGACATAATTAGTAGTATGTTTTGTATTTTTATAATAAATTCAATTTAATTATTAACTTGTTATTCTTCTATGTACCTTAAAAACAAGTCTAGTTCAGTTACTTTTATTTTATTTTATTTTATTGGGGATAACAAACACCTACAATATATGATATAAATAGATCTGTTGCGTTGATGTAGTAATAATATTGCAGCCCACTACATTATCCACGTATTAAACATACAATATTATTTTAATGGCAGCTACTAGATACGTTACAAAAATAAAAAAAGTTATAATAATACAACAGAAACATCTCAAGAATACAAAAATACAAATTATTAAAAAGTATAGCTTAACTTATTTAATTTGGAAACTATTTGGTTCTTATACTTAGATTTAGAGCATGCAAATATATCAATATCAACAAAATTGGAGTTATATGATATAAGTATACGTTGTATAGGACATCGTAGTCCTGAATTTGTTCGGCAAGTATTGATAGCAAAGAGCGTGCCCGGGCGAACTGTTCTTTACTTTTTACTAAAATTGTTGTGCACCATACTATATAACACATTAGCTTCTAAATATGTACGTCTTGCCTCAAGTGATAGCAATTTATAGTTATTTAATAATTGTAAATATGATAAATTGGATTTCTTACATCTATATTGCATGGAGCGAAGAAACTTTCGTTGGACCTTCTCAATCTCGTTTACATATTTTTAGTAAAACGGGTTCCAAATTGGTACATTATATTCAAGTTGGGAGCTTATAAGAGTTTTAAAGAGATACAGGTATGTTTGTGGCCTCTTAAACTCCGTCGATGATCTCATTACAAAACCGTACATTTTATACGCCTTATTAATATTAGACTCGATATGCTGGTTAAGTGAAAGTTTACTGTCAATCAAAATTCCTAAATCTCTAACTACAGAAATATTCTTCAAAACAGTGTTACAAAGATAATAATTAAATTTAACAATATTTCTATTTTTGGTAAAATGAATGTAGTTGCACTTAAGGGATACTAAGTTGAAGTTTATTTTCCTTGAAATAATTTGTGTTTCTTTAAAGAGGTAAGAAAGCGGTAAAAACCTAGCATTAAGTGTTAGTTAAATATCGCAAAACATGGAAGCAAAATATATGTTAAAAACATACTAAGGTAGGACCACGCAACAGTTTCTTAAAAGGCCGGCAACGCATTTGTGAGCCCTCGGGTGTTGCAGGTGTTCATGAGCGGCGGTAATCACTTACCATCAGGTGAGCCTCCTGCTCGTTTGCCCCTTTTCTCCATAAAAAAAAAAAAAAAAGTGTTCGCTGTTGCACGAATGGACTGGTCCGTCCGGATTAGTACCACGACTGCACAGAAGACCGGCGTGAAGAAGAAGTATTACACTTCTGCGTTTCGCCAGTTGAGTGTCTAGTACTGGTAGCCGGGGTCAACTTTGTTAAAAGGTGGCAACGCATCTGTAACCCTAATGTGTTGCAGACGGGTGTTGCAAATGTTCTAGGGCGGTGATTATCACTTAACATCAGGTGAACCGCCAGCTCGTTTGCCACTTTCTCACATAAAAAATACTGTTACAATTGATTAATTTCATCGGCGGACTACGGTCCTCCAGGTACTATATAATATAATATCTAATAAATTAGGCAAGGCTGGCATCCATAAAATGTAAGAGAATACTGAATCATTTTTTTTTTCAAAAGAAAATTGTATTGAATTTAAAGTAAACAGCCTATACATATTCCACTGCTGGGCAAAGCCCTCTTCTTTACAGAGGGTATTAGGGTATAATTCACCACACGGCCCCACTGTGGATTGGCGGACTATTCGTTATTCATCATCATAATCATCATCATTTCAGCCTGTTTGAGTCCACTGCTGAACATAGGCCTCCCCCATAGACTGCCATGAAGTACGATCCTGAGCCACCTGCATCCATCGACTTCCCGCACATTTGCACAGGTCGTCACTCCATCTAGTGGGGGGTCGTCCTACACTGCGATGGCCAGTACGAGGTTGCCACTATTCGTTATTAATAATTAATAAATAAATAGTGGTTAAATAAATTTGGATGTGTCTTTTGTACCTAATTAAAATCACTTTTACCTGTACCACAAACTTTTTCCTAATCTACTAATGCAAGAAGCGGCTTTTGAGTTATTGCTGTAAATTATGCGTCTTTACACGGACTTTTAAGCCCCGTATTGTATATTAATGAATGAATTTTTATTTAACGCATTCTGTTTTGAATACAATCGTTATTTATTCATTCATTTATTGATTCTTCAGTTGAAGATTAAAAAGTGGAAATTTATATTTACATGCACTTTGCATTCCTTTTGCTTAGCGTTCGCTAGAATGAAATTAATAATTAAAGGAGGCTTAGGGGACAATTATTTCTCAAAAGCTTTCCTGAGGTTAGGGTCACTGGATCATGTCACACAGCCCTTATTTTCCGTGTATCTTAAAGCCTGTATCTTAAAGGCTGTATGATTACTCAAAATAGGGTTAATTAATTTTTTGCCTGTTTATCATATTCTGTTGTAAAAAAAAAACCAAATTAAATCACATTCGTTTCTCATTGACAAAATGAAATTTACCCGAAAATAGCCGGAGAGTCGATTGTGTGTAAATGCAATGTTGTTGAACTCTTTTACATTATTAATTTCTTCACATTAACAATTGTGACAATAGGAATTAGTTTACAGTCATAATATATTATAATGATGTTAGAAGAGGAATTTTAGTATAAAAGTAATTCTACATACGGATGGGTTTAGTGCTTTGTGGCTGTCTAACGCGACCGTAACATTGATAAATTAAATAAAAAAAGCTCACGTCATTGAAGTGCATACCAAGGTTTTTCTATTGTTACACATAATATTCTTCAATATTAATTACTAAAGAAGGTATAATAGTAAAATAATTGTAAATAGCGTTTTCGAATTGTTATAGAGTAGACCATGGTACCAACTCCGCAAGAACTACCAGCGTCACGGCAGGGCTTAGAGGATGGCAGCAAATCCGGTGAAAGGGTGGTCATCTCAGGCATGTCTGGCCTCTTTCCAGACTCCCACCATGTCAAGGACCTTGCTGATATTCTCTATAATAAGGTAGAGGAATGCCACACACCATTAAATCCATACAACTACAAATAGTTCTAACAATTAGCAAGAAATGTAAATCAGTCTATTGATGTTAACGAACTTACGAATGTTATATTATATAACTATAAGGGTTAGGTTAGATTAAATATAAAACACGATTTGTTGATAATTTCGGTAATGGTGCAGATTAGTGGTACAGACGTTTTACTTTTATAAATATTATTTTAAAACGATAAAAAACATGATAGATATTTAAATTGTTTATAGTGCTTCAAACCTGATGGTATTACCTCAACCTTCTTGTTTTTTACTTTCATATTTTATTTTAACTTTCAATTAAGCTTCGCAAATACTTTATAGATACTATGGCTTGTAAACAAAGTGCAAACAAAAAATGAACTTTTGCATATTTTACGATTTTATCATCATGAAATGTAAATGTTTACAAATAATGCATAAACAATATTTCAGGTAATACTTACTAATAATAATATTACTTACGACTTTAACTAAAATAGCATCATTACCGAAGTTGTTCCTTGTAATTGTGTTTGCAGAAGAATCCCATTTCGTCAAATCCACGCTGGAAGTACAATCATCCAGAAGTGGCGCAGTATACGGGCAGAGTGCCGAATCTGGAGTTATTTGATGCTCAGTTCTTCAAGGTGCACTATAGACTCGGTCACACGATGGACTCGATGGCTCGCAAAATACTCGAACAAGCGTATCAAGCTATTTACGACGCTGGTGCGTTACATTCAGATCCCTGTTTTTTTTTGTACTACAAAACCTCTTGCCTCGAACTGTGGTAGGGCCACGCAACAGTTTTCGCTGTTCCACCACGACCTCACGGAAGACCGACTTGAAATGGGAGTGTTATACTTCTGCGTTTCGTCTGGTGAGTGAGGTAGCCAGGGCCCAAGTTATTAAAAGGTGATGCATCTTCAACCCTACCTGTGTTGTAAATGTCAATTGGAGGCGGTTATTACTCAACATGAGGTGAACTTTTCACATAAAAAAAAAACTTACTTTTAGAAAATTGAAATCTTTGATTTGGGGCAATAATCAATAAATTTTGTTATGCTTTCCTTGACACCTGACACATCCTGTGATCACGATGTCTCCACTGGGGCTTAGGGGAATCGAACATTTTTCACAGGGGAAATTTCCGATTGCATACGGCATATTAATATATATAAGCGTGATGAGGTGATTTGAAGGTTTGAACATGAATATTTCCATTTTTTAGGCGTGAGCCCGGAACACCTCTCTGGGAAGAAAGTTGGGGTTTATGTAGGAACTTGTTTCTCTGAAAGCGAAAAAACTTGCTTCTACGTTGCAAGCACCAGAACCGGCTTCGGGATCGCGGGGTAACTATAAGAATATAAGTTGATTAAAAATGACGTTATCACTGCATTGTATAAGTTACAACCTCAATGGACGGCAGGGTGACACGAGGATATATTTTAAACCCGTGACACGAGGAAGCTGTGGGATAGGATCTGCCACCACATGGTTAAATCACTTAATTCTTGAGTGTATCGATTCCCTGTGGCATACTCGCCAGCGGATTAACATTATTCGCAAGCTATAAGAATAAATTAATTCCAGATGTAACAAATCAATGTTCGCGAACCGCATTTCCTACTGGCTGAACGCCAAGGGTCCCTCGATGTCCATCGACGAATCTTGCTGCAGCTCCATAGCGGCCCTTGAGCAAGCCTATTTGGCGCTAAGTCGCGGTGACTGCGAAGCGGCCATTGTTGGCGGTGGCAATGTCTGCTTACATCCTCAATCGTCAGTGCATTACGGAAGGTAAGCTATTGCTTCCAAATACCCGTTTGACGTTTGCATTTAGATATTTTTGTTAAGAAAGGGGTCACAATTATTTGTTATTACACCGTATAATGTGAAACGATGTACTTGATAAATATTAAATAGTTTTAAATGAATTTTTTTAACTATTATGTGATATTGAGGTTTATAAGCCAGTAAAAGATTAAATATTTATTTATTTATTTATATATACATATTTAATGTGACATAAATATTTAATTTAAACTTAATAATAATTGCAAAATGATATGAGTTACATATTAACTTATCAACTTATCATGCTCATATTTTGCGTTTATTCATTAAACATTAAACTACGTTTATACAAATCTGTTCTACATAACTGTCAGATAGCTCCATTTGCTGCATCCATAAAAACCAGTGAATTTACACAAATCTCAATGACACGAATAATAAAAGTACACAACACTTCATTCCTTATTTCCAGGATCATGAACATTAGCATGGATGGAAAAACAAAATCTTTTGATGAAAATGCCTCTGGTTGCGCAAAATCTGAAGCCATTAATGTTCTTTTTCTACAGAAAGCTAAAGATGCATTAAGGTAATTGCTTATTTGAAAATAAATTTAAAAATTTTCAAATTATTACAAAATTTTCTACAATGACCTTAAATTACTCTCTTTAATATTCTTTTTGTGGCTAACAGTTTTACAACCCCCAATATACCGATATTAATCTTCTTGTAGAATTTATGCCGACGTCATTCACGTAAAAAGTCAGTTCACTTCTCTTTTGGAGGGCAAGTCTGGTCCGAGATTCGGCTTCTATCGTGACCCTGTGAACATGGCCGAGTTTCTAAACAATTTCTATAAAGAGGCTAGAGTTCCACCTCAGGCCGTCGAGTATGTTGAAGCCTTCGGATCAGGTACTTTTAATCATTACGTATAAAACATTTTTCAAAAGTAAAATGGAACATTGAAATAATTTTGCGATAAGTATATAGAATAACAACCCTTTAATTGTAAATTTCAGCTGTACCTGAAGCTGATAAAGCTGAACTAGAATCTCTCGATTCTGTTTTCTGCAAGAACAGAAACAATGAACTGCTTGTTGGCAGTGTCATGTCCAATATCGGTTATGGTGAAGCAGCATCGGGGATATCTGCAGTGACCAAAGTAATAAATTTTTTGATATTTTGTGGTGATTGAAATGTGAGTTAATTTTCAGTGAAGGCTGTTATAAGTGCCTATTTAAATGGTCCGGAATTTTGATAAAAAATCATGGCTATTAATCGTGATAGTTATTTGGAAGAAGACAGAAATTGTGAAAAAATTAAGATGTTTTATCTGCTCTGTGTAAGGTCTAGGCTACACCTTCTGCTGTTGTACGCATGGATAGCCTCGTCCAGGAACGTACCATGGCCAAACAGATCGGTTCTACGCGTTTCGTCTGATGATTCAGATCCGTCGGGGATCCCCTCTTTTATTAGGGATAAACTTGGGCGGCGAAATCGGTTAAAATTAGGATTTACATAAAAAATAAATCTACTCAGTAGTAGGGTCGCTTTGATAATAATGTAAATTTGTTTGCTTTTTACATTTTTATGTTTCTTATATCACTCTATCTTAGATCGGCGTTTTAATTAACGTCAAAAGTAATGTTAAATTTAAGTTACAATAAACTTTTCCAGGTCCTTTTGGGTTATCATAGCGGCACATTGGCGGCAAATCTGAACTGTGAAAATCCGAGACGCGATGTGGCCGCATTACGCGATGGTCGCATGCGCATCCTTACCGAGCATCATAAATTCGGCAGAACCTACGCTGCCGTTAATGGCTTAGCTATCACAGGAGTCAACGCCCATATCCTGTTGCATGGCCATTACAAAGCAAAGGTTTTTAATAAAGAGAACTTATCTGATTAACTGTCATAAAATTATTACAAACAATTGCAGTTTATATCAAAAGAAAATTGGGTTTCTGTGTTCCAAACGAAGTAAATAATGAGTAAAACACAAAACCTAAATTCATACTTTCCTCTTTCAGGACCTTTCACGCTACAAGTCCGATATTCCACATTTGGTAACTATTTCCGCAAGACAGGACTTTTCGGTAAAGAACGTTCTAGCCAACCTAAAATCCCGTCCCATTGACCCTGAGGAACTTGCTCTGCTACACAACATTCATGAAACGAGAATTTCTGGCCATCTCGGAAGAGGTTTCATTATTCTTGGTATGTTGAAATATTATAAAAATGTAGCTTCCAAGAAGGCGGTGTTGCTTTTTTTATGTGAGAAGGTGGTAAGTGAGTTAGTGGAACCCCTGACTTTAAGGGATAACAGTCGCCTATTGAAATTTTTAACACCAGTAAGGTTGCAGATGCGTTACCATCTTATAATAAAGTAGGCCCGGGCTATATATCTCACTCGCCGGACAAAACGTAGAAGTGTAACTTCACGCTGGTCTTCTGTGAGGTCGTGGTACTTTAAATCAACATCTGTTACATTAAATCAACCGTAGGCAACTGGATACTAATGGAAAACCAAGCTGTTTGTGTTTTGTTTTGTATTGAGGAAAATCATGTACTGTGTTTTTTACTTCAGCAGCTTATATAGCATTATTCATAATGTGTGTATTCACGTTAATAAATAATCGTCACCCAAGGTAATATTTGGATATTTTGATTTTTTGTTAATATTTTGTTTTAAATACGCTATTTTAAAAACAAAAACTTTGACGTGCTATGATTCACATTTCTGAGGGCGTGCGTGATCGTACGTATTAAGTGATAATATAATGTTGCCAAAATAAACACTCTTTCAATGGGAATAACATTCACACATCCCACTTTATCCCCTCAGTTCAAGCAAACATTGCTTAATGGTATTTACATACGTTACTTAACTTTTTTTGTATAATATATTTTTAGATACCAATCAAGAGCAGCAGACAGTGAGTCTATGTGAGAAGGCCGATTACTTCGATGATGCGCAGCGGCCTCTGTGGTTCGTGTACAGTGGCATGGGTTCGCAGTGGGTCGGAATGGGCACACAGCTCATGCGCATCCCAATCTTCGCAGCCGCCATTGAACGGTATTCTTTCATTTGCAACCGACTAAAACATCAAACACGTTCGATTGCATTTCCGGTGTAAAAAGTAAAAAAGTAAAGTAACAGCCTATACATGTCCCACTGCTGGGCAAAGGCCTCCTCTATAGAGAGGGTATCAGGGCATAGTCCACCACGCGGCCCCACTGCGGGTTGGCGGACTTCACATATCTTCGAAATATATTTTTTTTTTGTTATTATTTCGAAAATATGCAGGTTTCCTCACGATGTTTTCCTTCACCGCGGAGCACGTGATAAGTCAGCACTTAAAGTTAAAAAACTTCATTGGTGCCGGCACCGGGGTCGAACTCAGGTTGCTCGAGTATATTGAATTAAAGGCGAGTGCCCGGACACTGAGCTATCACGGCTCCGGTGTAAATAGGTTTTATAGCAAGATTGTGATTTCTTTTTATGTAAGAAGGTGACAAGCAAGCCGGTGGTTCATCTGGTGTTAATTGATGACCGCCGGCCATGGACATTTGCAAAATGCGTTGCCACTTTATAACAAAGTGGGCCCCGACAACCTCACTCACCAGACGAAACGCAGAACTAACACTTCCACTTCACGCCGGTTCCTGTGAGTTCGTGGTACTTACGGACGTGGTACGGATGGGCCTGACCATTCGTAGCCCCACCACCAACAATTTTTATAATCAATAATTTTACGAATATTTATCTCCATTTACAATTAAATTCAAACCACTTCGGCAATTGCAGTATGAACATGAACGTTCGATTAAGGATTCTGTTCAGATATCAGAAATGAACTTTCGTTGCAACTATGACGATGTATGTTACCATGATTATAAGGTCCTCAAGATATGTATCCGAAGACTCCGTTGGTTTTTCCATACTATAGTATAATAATCAGTTTTACCGTGTTTCACTTAACGGATTGTATATTTATTCTGCCTAAGGATTCGACCATACAAGAGTAAATCTTAATCTTAGAATAAATCGTCAGTTAATCGAGAGTAAATCAATTTTACGTTTTACCATCTACAATTCTAAGAATAGTGGGCCTATTCGGGAATTGTTACTATACCGCCGTTTCACATGGAATAACGGAGCTATTCCTAGAATAATGTAATGGCGTCAGAGTGTAAGTGTAATAGTAATAGTCCAATATTCTGTTTTAATTTCAGTAAATAAAATAAATGTTCAACTATTGTACTGGTCTGCAATAATTTGCCACTGAGCTAGTTTTGATTTTATAGTCAATTCATCAGTTTTATTTTATTTTCTATAACATTTAAATGAAAGTCAACTAGGCTCAACAGAAGCTCCTTTTCAGACGACAGCCAATTAGGACTGTGTTTACGCTTATCCACACTCATTTTCATTTGAAAAAAGATAAAACCGCACGACAAAACTTGATAATTCCCTCAAACAAACAACAAATAAAATTTACACGTTTCACAGCTATCTAGCTTACACTACAGCTACTTTTTCACACTATAATACGGCAAAATCGAGTTGACATGATGTATGCTCTTACACTATCCAGATGTAGAAGAACATTTATTTGCCAAGTTTTATTCGTTCGTTCACCATTCTATCGATTACGTGGAGAAACGACTATGGATTTACTCGAGATTAAAATCACGGAATAGATTATTCCTGGTATACTTAATCGTGTATAAATCTAAGTTTGGTTGAATCCACCCTAAGACATGCAGCCGGGATAGCTCAGTGTCTTTTATTTTTAATGTACACGAGACTTAACGAAACTTACTCAAATCCTGGCGCCAAAGAAATCGTCAATTACAATTTTAGGTTTCGATTTATCATGTTCTTAATAAAAAAAAATATGAAGTCTCCCAATAAGGTTATAGCCCAATAAGGTTAAAGTTAAATTTATCCCTTAACGCCATTTGTACAGAGGAGGCCTATGCCGAGATTTGGGGTATATCTAGGATGTAAATTTTATTTATATTATAGGTGCCGTAGGGTATTGGAACCTAAAGGCGTCGATATCGTTAATATAATTACTTCTCCGGATAAGACAACGTTCGACAACATACTCAACTCCTTCGTCGGAATAGCTGCTATACAAATTGGACTTACCGATATCCTACGTGAGTTAGGCCTTGTACCGGATAACATTATTGGTAAGTTTAGAAGTAATTTTGATTTAATAACTAAAACATATTACTGTGTGAAACAATTTTGCAACTTTCTGAGCCTTCGTGAAGAGCTGCGTAAGAATATTAAAATTAAAAATTTTTTGCAATTTGAACAGGCCCAAACAAAATATATGATCAATAACAGCGTGGTCATTTTTAAGCATTTTTCAATACTGAGTCACTACAAATAAAAATAGAGAAGACGTCGTTTACTTGAGATTTAAATAAAGGATATTTAAAATATTAGCACAAGTTAATGTCACCTTATCGACCGTTATCGACGACAAATAAAAGTCAACATGTCGAAGATAAAAACAAAAATAACGGAATATATACTAAAACATTAGGATTTAACACGGAGAATATAATCCAATATGTTTTAATGAAGATTACAGCATAGGGAAATACTTTTCAGGTCATAGTGTTGGTGAACTGGGGTGTGCATACGCGGATGGCTGTTTCACCGCGGAGGAAATGATATTAGCCGCGTATTATCGTGGGCTTGTGTCAGTTCAAACCCCTTTCATTCGAGGCTCCATGGCTGCCGTTGGTATTGGATATCAGCAGGTATACGTTTATGTGAAAATGGTCAAGTGCGATGCGAACTTGTATGCCGAGGGTTCCGTACCCACCCACTATAAAGCCTTTATAAAATTGGTAAATATTCGCCACCGATTTTCTCAGGGTTCATCTAGCAAGTTGAAATGTATACCAGATACTGAGTTCTAAAGTCCTTATATATATTGTATAAAATCACATTATATTACACATTTATAGACTATAAACCTCACACGTTTCTGAGAAAATCACTGGTGACGCACGGACAGACAGACGGACAAGAGAGTGAGATCTTATACGGGTTCCTTTTTTACCTTTTAAGTACGTAGCTCTAAAAAAGATGAAATTAAATTTAATGTCCAGAAAAAGATTTGAAATTTAAAGTCGTGTTCGTTTTCTAAGGAAAAAATAGCAGGCTCGCAAATTAAAATACATGTTACCATAGCATAAATGATACCATATTTCATAGTTCCATAATTGACTTTTATTTTCAAAGAATCGTTCCGGAAACTTTACCCCACGCATTCAAATAACGTATTCGTCATGTTATCTATACAAGGGTATTATTATAAACAATCGGTAATATTATATTGGGCTATCCTTCATATAACAACAACTATTTTATTACAAGCCTATTCTAATTCATCCTGTTTTAGTGTTTTATCCTGTAGATTGTTACGTATGATGCCTGAAATTCACTGTGCTTTAAACGAGGAAAGAGTAATTAAGGCATTTTCATTCATAACTAATGTTTATTTAGAAAGATCCGATTTATAATGCGAATTTAACTTTGTCTATTAAGGTTTTAAAGATGTGCCCGCCAGAGATAGAAGTAGCTTGTCATAACGGTCCAGATTCCAGTACAATATCTGGCCCAGCAAATGTTATGAGGGAATTCGTGGCCGAGCTTACATCCAAACAAATATTTGCTAAGGAGGTTCCATGTTCGAATATTGCATATCATTCGAGGTACATCGCTGAAGCAGGTGAGCATGAGCATACTATTTATAATTTTTAGTACATAATATATACTTGGTATAATAGAATGACATATGCGCATAATTCCATGTTATTTAACCTGATGGCTTACAAAAAATAAAAGATACCAATCGTATAAGATTTTTTGGACTGGTATGTTAAATGATTTCTATAATACGATTGAAGTTGTTGTGTGTATGTATTATAAACGTTATATGATTTTCAGGTCCGGAACTATTGAAATATTTAAAGGAAGTCATCAAGTCACCGAAACCGCGCAGCGAGCGATGGTTATCGACTTCTGTTCCGCAAGGAAAGTGGAATGAACCCAGTGCAAAATACTCTTCGGCAGAGTACCACACAAATAATCTGCTTGTAAGTACTCTATGCTCCATTGGAATTTTCTTTCAGCTTTTGTTACTGTATTTAAAATCTATTTTATCAAATTCAAATGCTAACTAAATGACAGATAAGTTAAGCGGAGCAGACCTTTCTTAACAGTTTTAAGATGACAATTAAGATGACAAATAACTTAATTAAGATGACAATCAAGAATTTGTTTATAAATAAATAAATATATAAAAATTTTTAGGACAAATTTTTACACAACGTTCTCTAGTCCAAAACTAAGCAACGCTTGTACTATGGGTACTAGATAACTGATAAACATACATAAACATACTTTTATTTTGTAAATAAATACATATTATACATATATAAACACCCAGACACTAGAAAAACACTGTGTTCATCACACAATATTTTTCCAGTTGTGGGGATCAAACCCACAAAAATGTTATAAACAAGTTTATAAAGGCAACCTTCGAGGCAATTTGACATAGTATTTCATTGGGTAGGGTTTTTATGTATTAAACAGTCATCATTTCTGCCTTTTCCACTTCCAAGTACATCAGGGGATAAGGTATCGTGTTCTGCATTTTAGAATTCGGTGCTGTTCGAAGAGACCTCCAGACTGATACCGCCCAATGCTGTGCTAGTGGAAGTAGCGCCGCACGGCTTGCTGCAAGCCATTCTTAAGCGCTCCCTGCCAGATTCATGTCGCCACGTGCCTCTCACGCGTCGTGGTCACGCTGACAATGTGCAGTTCTTACTGGAAGCCATTGGGAAGTAAGTTATACTTTCAACAAATGATGAAAACGATCAACATCCGCTTGATACCTCGTTTTTGCGTGATAGAGACCTGCCACTGTCCGTGCATCACGGAAAAACTAATGGATGTAGTTCTTTTAATTCTTGTACATTGTATTTCTAAGACACCATCTAAAAAAACATGCGTGTACGTATGTACGCACGTAAGAAGTTATACTTTTTTAACGTAGCAAAAGAATGGAATTAAAAATTCACTTCAATAAAAAACGACACAGAAAAAGTTATTTAATACTTTGAAAATGTAACGCATTACAAATATCACAAAATAAATATCGTGAATACAGTAGTCAGCTCTCGCGCAAACATACGTGGATGTGTAGCTTACTTTAGGGTGTCGGTTTTTCGTGACCATGTGCGCGCGCATCGTAAACATTTACTCTAATCATTTTTCCCTAACGCGCCAAAAGAAGTATAGCTCCAAAAATGTGATACTTTCTTTTAAAGTCTTATTAAAGTCTAAAAACGCAACGATTTTTATAGCACTATATATTATATTATATACACTGTGGTAGAGCCACGCAACCATTTTCGCTGTTGCACGAATGGGCAGGTCCGTCCGAGTTATTACCACGACCTCACAGAAGACTGGCGTGAAGTGGAAACGTATACTTTTGCGTTTCGTCTGATGAGTAAGGTAGCCGGGGCCCACTTTATATAAGGTGGCCAACGTATATGCATCCTTACGGGTGTTGCAAATGGCGACGGTTATCGCTTAACATCAGGCGAACCACCTGCTCAGTTGCCACCTTTTCACATAAAAAAAAGTTGTTAATATATTATATTGTTTCCGCGACTTATGATATGCTATGAATGCTGCTTATTAGCAACCTATTGGAAGTCGCGGCTGTCAGATTGTATTAGATACAATGAATTCATCTCTTTTCAGGCTGTACATGGAAGGTTACAATCCTAAAGTACAAGCGCTTTATCCGAAAATAGAATTTCCCGTATCTACTGGGACACCATTCTTGTCCCATTTGGTAGAATGGGCTCATCACGAGAGATGGTAAGCTATTCGTATATTGAATACTAAAAGTTTATTAATTGAAGAAATAATCAGAAATAATTCTCCTTTTTTTAGGAACATACCGTTGTATGTGTCAGCGCACAGAAAAGTTGCGGCTTCGTGTAAATTTGTATACTCGATTCATGACTTAGAAAATGAGTACTTAACAGGAAACATTCTCAGAGGTACGAAGAAACTTCATTGCTAAATAATAAATCTGTTAACATTTAATGAAAAGTATAGTTACTTCCGTTTAGAGCTAGTATAAGTCTCATTAGATTTCCCTCTTTTTTGTATACAATCAGTCACTAAAAGTTTTAGTTAAGCGTTTTTTTATCTTCTTAGTTTATTTAGCGATATTCTTTATTTTAAATACTTCTGTATCGGATGCAGGGAATAAAGCGATTTACGGAAGCGAATTATAGATTATGACTGACCATTTAGAATAAACTGTGGGGAATCGAGAGAGGGAAGGTTTAGTTGAGAAAAAAAACTTAGTAAACATGCATCTGCATCATCAAAAATTATGATTTGCCGCTTATTTAACTGTATATGCATGTTATCCGCATTGTTCAGTGGCCTCAAAGCTTATGAAAATATTCACAGGAAAGAATACGTTCCCGTTTGCTGCAGCCTTGGTCGCTGCTTGGGATATACTAGCGATGACAATTGGAGTTCCCAAAAAGCAGATGTCAGTTCAATTTCAAGACGTAAAGCTTTATTCACAGCCAATTTTGCACAATCAGCGTCAGCTACGTCTTTTTGTGTCCCTTCACAGAGGAACTGGCCTGTTTGAGGTAAGTCTATGTTTTCATGCCTGGAGTATTTACAACAATAATATTGACTAGTTGAGAAAGAACGTTAACAATTTTAGAACACTAACGTGATCGGTCACTGAATGGTTGCATAAAATTTGTAAGTTAGTGTTTATAAGTGAAAGGTATTATTTTTTAAATTTTGGTCTATCTTTCATTTTAACTTGTCTACTTTAATTTTGTTTTAGACTGAAAGTTTTTTTATGAAAACTATAAATATATTCTATATGTCTCGTCCATATGTCTATGCTTTGAAATGGTGGTCATTAAATTTAATTAATAATTATGGAACTTATGTCATTGCGGGTTTTTTAATAAAAGGAATCTATACTTTCACTGCTTTCAGTGCACATGTATTAAAAATATGTAAATGCAAGTTTTATAAAATATGTATAAAATTATTTTGATTATGTACGTTATTTTCAACCCATGAACTTATTACAACCAGTTGCTCGATATTTATTGCATATTTTAAAAATAATTCCGAAAGTTAAAAATATGTTTTAATATTGTACAAATTCTTCACTTCTATTGCAGATCATGGATGAAAATACTAAAGTTGCAACAGGATATATTGTGGGGGAGGTAGTCGATACCCACCCATTCTCTAAAGAATTTACCTCATCCGAAGAATTGAGTTTAAAATGTGAAGATATCTATCAAATACTATGTAAGAGAGATTACGACTACAGGTAATAAATACCAATTACTTTATATTCAATCATAGACTTCCTTATTCCTTACGAAATTTATGGAAAAAAATATTGCAATAAAAAAAGTAAAGAACATCCGATATATATGCCCCACAACTGGGCAAAGGCCTACTTTGTACAGAGAGTATTAGGGCATCGTCCACCACGCGGCCCCACTGCGGACTTAGCATAATTTGAAAAAATCTTTTTATTATTTCGAAAATATGCAGGTTTCCTTCACCGCTGAGCACGTGACAAGTCAGCAATTAAAATTAACAATTTCAATGGTGCCGGCATCGGGGAACGAACTCAGGTCGCTTTAGTTTTTTGAATTAGAAGCGAGCGCCCGGACAGTGAGCTATCATGGCTCTAAAATTAATGTAAAAACGTTTTGCAGTAATAAGTACTAATTAAATTACACTCACATAATAAACTATCCACGGCAGGTGGCAGTGTGACAAGTAATTTAAAAACAAATAATTTAAATTAAACTATGATCGAGAAACGAACCTGTCCCCTTATCACCAGTCGCAATAATAAATTCAAGACAAAGGTACGACAAAAGCCTTTAAGGTATTTATTTAAAATTGTATGTATTATTTTCAGGGGCGAATTTCAAAGCATCTATAGTGCTAACAAATCCCTGACCGAAGCTCAGTTGTATTGGCGCAACAACTGGGTGACTTTAATTGACGGATTGCTGCAGCTAAGTGCTTTAAGGCACCAATATGAATCTGTATCGGAGCCTACTCACATAAGAAAAATCATCATCGATGTCGAAAAGCATTTAAACAGCCAGATAACTCCGATAGGCGATAAAAATGTCATGAATGCTCACGTTTTCCAAACTTACAATTTAGTCAGGTTAGTTATATCGTCAACAAATAATATCGAATGGATGAGTGTAAGGATACGTCATTTATATGAAGCCCTTTCCATGAAGACGGTAGGGTGACACGGGTATGGTCGAGAAAGCGCAATAACCTGCCTGCACTAGTGTTATATGTGTCGCGTTAATGTTATACATGTGAAAAAGGGAGAAGTATAAACATTCCGTCACTATTTAGTATTTACGTCTCGCTCACTTTCTAGTCATACTTACCAATTTGGTTTTGCGGCTGATGATGATGATGACTTATAAAATCAAATGGAATACATGGACTGATTTCAGATGCGGTGGTGTTGCAATAGAAGATGTGAAATTCCGTTACGTACCTATTCCTTCAGCGGAAATAAAATTAATGGCCTCTCAATTCGTACCATTCTTCCAACAAGCGGAATCAGATGTATGTAAAATCTAGCTAAGAACAAATAAAAAGTTTTTTTTTGCAATGACATACTAGTAATTATAGAAAAAAACTTATTTCTTATGTTTCTAGATTGCAACAGCTCTACTAGTATATTTGCAAATAGTAGCTGAAAACCTGAATAAAACATTCATAAATATATTAGAATTATATGACAATGGGAACGATCACTCGCATTTCAGCAGTGTCATAGAAAGTTTTGGTAACATACCTAATATCGACATTCAGCACAAAACAATTCATAAGAAGAAGGTTTTAGAAGAACGCGTTCACTTTTTAACAGATGTGGATTTACTATTAGTTAAAGATCTGTCAAGCGACGACAAGGTACCGCAGTTAGTTTGATGTTTAGAATAAATTTGAATTAATTTATTAAACTAGCACTAACGTTTTCTTACTATTCCAGTTATGCCAAACACTATACCGCGTTCTTTGCCGGAACACGTTTTTATTAAGCAATGAGACTTGCGTGGCGGGTTCAGCACTGAACAGGCCTTCAGCACTTTACCGTGTTGTTAGCTCGCAGCGTGTTAAAGGCCAGCGCCTAGAACTGCTGCGCTGGAGACCTACGTCTAGCGCAGCTGCTACAAGCGCGTTCACCGTGCGATCAACTTCAGATCTCGCTATGCTGTCTTCTACGCTGGCGGCGTTACCGCAGCGACACAAGTTTATCGTTATCACGCCCTACCCTGCTGTAGATGGACTGAAGCAACTCGTTCAGAAGTGGAGGAAGGACCGCAGCCAGATTTACGTGGTTATGATCAATCATAAAATTGCGGAAGACCAGAGTATGAATCAGCTGCCGAATTTAGATTTAACGTTTAACGTGTTGGATTGTGTAAGTGACTTAAAACTATACAGCAGATATAACGAGTCTGAGGTAATATATCACAAAAGTATATGCAATTCAATTTATTTACTTGCAGGGACGCTGGGGCGGTGTACACTTCGTGCCTTTACAGAAAAAAAATACTGCATTATGTGATATATCCCTAAAATGTTCCCAAGTCGGAGACTTTAACTCTTTACATTGGGTTGAAATTCCCAATGTTGATGGCGATGGTGTAAAAGTATCAGTAAGTCTTTTATTTGAATTTTTTTAAACATTGTCCTTAATTTAGGATAGGAAGATAGGACGTTTTACAAACATAAATTACACACGGACAAACAGATGCGAAACAATTATGTGTGGGTCACACAAATAGTGACTCACAGATAGTTGTTTCAATCCCGTGTGGCAATCGAACCCACGACCCCAGATGCCGAAACGGATGTCTTGGTGACTGCGCCTCGGAGTCATCAAAGTCTTAATTCTTTCATTATGAATTTGTTGTCTGTATCGATGATACATGACGATGATGAGGTTTTTGAGGTTTCTAGAACATTTGGTGGTAAATAACAAACTATAACGTTTTACTCGTAGGTACATTACGCAGGCATAAACAATATTGATGTCAAAAGGTGTGCTGGAACCATTCCACACGATGAAAATGACAGTAGCTTTGGAATGGACTTTAGTGGCATAACTGAACGGTAAGAAAAAGAAAGATATAAGTATTCATATAATTTTGATGCTTCTTAAAATTTATAGTCATTAAATAAAATTATTTTAAATCGTTTACAGTTCCGTATTTCCGTATTTATTTATTACAGTGAGTTTTCCGTTTATCAGAATTGCTACAAGTAAATGCTTCTGTGCCTTATTTAAGTCCTGTTTTTAGAAACAAAATATCCATTTCTCTCCGCTGAAAAGTCGATAGGTAAGACTTGCATGATTTGAGTTATCGACATTCGATCTGTTAAGGCCCTTGAAAGCTTTTGTTGATAATTTTTAAATAAATTATACAATTTTGATGCACTTATATTAATTAATAAAGGTTTTCACAAAACTTCGTGTTTAGTGTGATAGTTATACCACCACATTTTCTCAGCTCAAGTGATGTTTGAACTTGAAGGTAGTTCTTCTTTATTGACAAGAATGGCGAAACAAACGGGAATTATTTTTTTATATGAAAAGTTGGCAAGCGAGTTTCACCTGATGTTAAGTGATCTTCGCCTAAGATCATCTATAGATTCTGAGTACTAAAAATTGTTAACGCATTTGTAATCCGCACGGGTTTCCAACATTTAAGAAAGTGAGTTTCGGCTACCACCGTCACCAGACTTCCACTTCAGGCCGACCTGTGTAAGGCTGTGGTATATATTCAAGTTTAACGCAGTTATCAGCCATCGAGGTCACGGTCTGTACGAACCTCTATGGCCCGTAGTGGATGAGAAAATATCAGTTCACTTTAAGACACAAGTGTATGAAATGTTTTTTTTAGCGGGGAGCGTGTGATGGGCTTAGTCAGTGGTGGCGCGGCGAGTTCTTGCGTTATAGCGCGGCCTGAACTACTTTGGCCAGTACCCGAGTATTGGGACCTAGAAGCAGCGGCAACCGTGCCCCTCGCATACTGCCTCGCATTTTACTGTCTCGTAAGTCTGCTAAGTATAATAAACGTTTTTTTAATAATCGATATAAACAATTTTGTAATAGTCCCTAAAATTAGAAACTCTAATGAAAATGCGATATGAACTATAACCGGACATGTTCTTACGCATCGTTTTCTATTCTCTAACTAAGGAAAGTAACCGAGGAAAGTGAAAGAAGTAAGAAATTGTTTACGAGTTGTTGATAAACATAACCAAAATCCATTTTGTTTTGAAACAAATACCCGTAACCAGATACTACAAACTTTTGTGTTCATTTGTTTATATACATATTTCTCTACTAGTCCGGATCGTATTCACAAGAAAAAGGTATCCACTGCGCAAATGTGGTCGCACTATATTATTTGTGGAAGAGGTTTTTTGAATGAGGATTTTTGAGTGATTATCCCACAGATCATTGTTCCGAATTTGGGTGTTCTTAAGGAGGGTCAATATGAGACAGCTCTTAGTCGTAACTAAAAACTTAGCGAATGCCATTAGTAACATCTTTGATTAGGATATTAGTCTTGTCTAAATGGAGCAATGCTAACAAAAAGCGACGAGCTTAAACTGTCCCTGATTGCGTGATGATAATTTGAGATGTGTGAGATCGATAATTTTCGGAATAGTTTTCGGTGAAGTTTCCACTGGTCTTCATTTCACGTTCGTTGTTTAATGTCTCTCCAACTTTAACTAGACTTTATTTGCGCCGTTTAGTAAGGTTAAGGTAAATGTGTCATCTAGACAACTATATGATCAAAGAGTAAAATGTTTCACGTGTTGTTTGGACCCAAAAGTTGACTCGAGTGAGTAAAAGTGCCGCGGATGTCTGTATTGATGGTAAATAAACTTTTAAATGTGTGTGATGAATTAATTTCTTTAATATTATTTCAGTCTATTCGATACAAGCTTTATCGTGGGATGACCGTGCTTGTTCATGGCGGTGCGGGAGCTTTAGGTCAAGCAGTGATATCGGTTGCTTTAGGAAACGGTTGCAAAGTTTTCACTACCGTTAGTGATTACAGTAAAAAGAGGTTCCTGCGAAAATTGTATCCCGAACTTAACGGTGAGTTAAATTGAATTGTCTGATCGTGTGTGGAGTACTGCTGCCATATCTGGTCTGGGACGGCAAAATGCCACCTGGCTGCCCTTGACTCAAGCGAGAGGCGTGCGGAAAGACTCATTGGTGACCTTGATTTGGTTAAACCAATCTCACCAGCCTCGAGCACAGGCGCAGAGTAGCCAGCCTCTCGGTTTTTTACAGGATGCATTTAAGAGAGTGTGCGTTGGAGCTGCACGTATTGCTTACTCTCGCCGCTTTCCATGATCGGACAACTAGATGTTCGGCGGGGCTTCATCCTTTTGCTGTCAACGTTCCACGCACAAGGACAAAGAGATTCGCATCGTCATTTGTCATCTGTACGGCTAAGGAATGGAAAAACCTGCCGACGTGGGTCTTCCCATCCGACTATAACGTAGGCGTCTTGAAGGCAAGAGTGAATAGGATTTTACTGAGCTAGCGCGCTTACCATCCACGGCTGCATCGCCACTTACCATCAGGTGGGATGGCAGTCAAGCGCTAGTCAGTTCCATATAAAAAAAAAAACTTAAAATAATATCGTACACTTTACATAGATTTACGGAGTTCCTAAGAAATAGAAACTTGATACTGAATATATATGATGGTACTGCCTCATTCCAAAATCTTTGTGTTCCTGAGATGCGAATGGATGTCTTGGAGATTTAAAGATACAAAGATATTGTTTTCATTGATATAAGTTAATTATTCAAAAGGGGTAAATTTAGTAAACGTTCCACAGCTCGTTATGTTGTATTTCGATCGTAATGTTCTAATTTTCTACATTTATTTTATTTTATGAAACATGAATGATATGTTCTGCTTTGTAGAAGACCAAATTGGTTATTCACGTGACCACACTTTTGGTGACGAGGTATTGACGGCTACAAGTGGTAATGGTTGCGATATCGTAATAAGTTGCGTTCCAGATGCCCTTAAAAATGTAAGTTGTAACGATTAGCAAGTGGAGAGATAACATTCAGAAATATGTGTTTATTTTCACAAGTTTTAATTAATTTTCAGATATCAATCAACTGTACAGCAGCTTCTAGCGTAACGTTTGATTTAACCCAGATAATATCACGTGACAACTTTTACTACGGAATGTATAATATGACCAAAGACAGAAGTTATATCGCCATAGATTTTAGACAAGCTCTTAACCAAGGAATTACTGATGATCTTAAGGTCAGCCATGTTTGACTGAATAATTTTTCAATGTTATATGAATCCCACAGCCATGATAGCACAATGTACTCGCTTTTAATTCTATATAATCGAGCAACCTTAGTTGAAATCCCCTTACCGATAGCAATGAAATTCTTAATTGTAATTTTAAGTACTGAGCGGTTATCACAACAAAAGAGCAAAACAGCATACACAACATATCGCAAAAAATCAGCAACACAACAAAACAGAAAAAATCGAAACGAATCCTGCATATTTTCGAAAATATTAATTAAAACATATGTGAAGTCTTCCGCAGTGGGGTCGCGGAGTGAAGTGACTGTTACTTTATTTTATATGAATGTTTACGATTTATGTATTTGTCCATAAGTTTTGACTGATTAAAAATAATCATCATACCTTGTACAGCAGAAAATAAGGATCGACTTAGGTTTTAAGTTGTTGCACTGATTATATGTATTATTAGTTAAAAATTATATATCTACATCGGGAGGATATCCAATATTAAATTTTAAACTAATTTGATTCAACTATTATATGTAGTTTATTAGAAGATGATTGATCTTGATTAACATATTTCTATTACCAGTTGGAAGAGCTGCAACTGCCATCATTGAATGTCGTCATCTATACATCACAGCCGTCGTCATTTTTTGTTGTAGAAGCTGCAACTGTTGGTGACAGAGGGCATTAAGCGCGGTTACGTGAGGCCCCTATCACGAGTGGTATATTCTCCATTCGACGCACCTCGCGCCTTCAGACTTTTGGCCGCGAGCCGACACCGTGGTCGTGCTCTTCTTCAAATGCGTGCAGACGCCAAAGGCGGACTTGCGCCGCAACCTGAACCCAGGTACTTATAACTTGTGTTATAAGCTTAACTATATCTTCATTCATTATTCATTTAAACGTGGTAGGACCACGCAACAGTCCTTGCTAGTAAGTATCACGACCTCACAGAAGACCGTCGTAAAGTGGGAGTATTATGCTCCTGCTTTTCGTCTGGTAAGTGACAGTGACACATCTGCAACCGTGCGGGTGTTGCTAATGTCAATGGGCGCCGGTTATCACTTAACATGAGGTGACTCGCCAGCTCGTTTGCCACCTTTTTACATAAAAAAAAATTATTGCCCTTATCCAACCAAGGTGGGGTCATATAACATGTGAATCCCTGTTGTTAGTGGTATTGGTTTTGGTCACAAATACTTGTACAAATACTTGTGCCATATGGAAATTCATCTACGGCGCCTAAATCGATCTTAGCAACTTCACTACTGATTTATTACTAAAAGCTTTATAAGCAATTTTTTTAATAGGGTTCCGTACCCAAAGGGTAAAATGGGACCCTATTACTAAGACTCCGCTATGTGTTTGTCTGTCTCATGAATCGTGATATTAAGACCGTTGAAATGTTCACATGATGTATTTCTGTTGCCGCTATAACGGCGAGTTTGGCTTGTACTTGGCCGATTTTTCAAAATTTACGTTTCATTGTATGTTGTGTGGAGTTTCTACAATTTTTCAATTATTGTTTCAGGCTGCATTGTGCTCCAGATTCAAGTCACCTTATTTTATGCAACAATAACTATTTCGGCCTACGACTTGTTGAGAGGCTGGTGAAACGTGGAGCTAGAAAAATTTACTTGCAGGGCTTGAATCCTTCTCCCTACCTTGATTATGAAATTCGGTAAGCTTTTTTTAATTGTAACTGATCCATTTGTTTTAAAAATATCTATGTATTTTATATTAACATTTTAATATTTTTAACAGACGTCTAAGAGAACTAGGAGTCGATGTCAGCATTATTACGAAATCTTTGGAGTGTAAGAACGACGTTAATACCCTTGTAAATAATTGCATTAACTTAGGACCTGTTGAAGGTGTTTATTTGATTGAAATAACGGAGCAACAACCTTCTAGATCATTTAATATTATACAAGAGTTAGATTTAGTCACAAGAGAATTGTGCCCTCGTTTGAAGTAAGTATCATAATTCCTAATGAATTTTTTTTAATTTTAAATATTATTATAATTGTGTAAATTTTTTATATAATATTTACCTTTTGCAGGTATTTCGGAGTGATCAACAGTAGTTTGGATGATGGTCTACTCACGTGTATCAGCAGATCGCAAGATAAATTACCAGTGACTAAAATAAATTTGCCATCAATCGTGAAGGTAACACACCTTTGGTTAATTCGAAACTTTTTTAGAAACGATTTTCAAGTATTATGTAAATCGAAAACTGAATTACAGTTTATCAGAAATCTATTAATTTGCTTTGTGTAATGGATGGTTTTCCAGCACTTGTTAAAGGCTTAAAAAGTGGTTCTTATAACACACCAAGATATATAATATGTAATATTAATTTATAAGTTTATTTATCATCTTATCACAATGAATGCTGGTTGTGTTTTCCAAATTAATTTTAAAAGTTATTTAACATCTAAGAGAGTCGAAACGAATGCTTTTATTTATTTTTATTTATTTATTTATACTTTATTGCAACCTTTAAATAAAAAGGATTACAAAGGGCGAACTTAATGCCTTTTGGCATTCTCTCCCAGTCAACCCGGGGCGTGGTGAGAAATCGTGGTAGGTGCAATTATTACATTAATAAATATTTATAACAATTATTATATATTAAATATTTATATGTATTACTATATAATTACCTAAACATACATACATAATATATATATATATATATATATATATATATATATATATATACACACATACACATCTACACACATAAATATATATAATCATACAAACGATAGTGGCACAAGGATAACATCAACATTATAGGTTATAAGGGGTCATTTAGAAATAAATCACGGACCAAACGTTTGAATGATGTCCTATTAGGGGCTCTACGTATGTCATCAGGCAAGGAGTTCCAGAGGAGTGTAGCCTGAACAGTGAAAGAATTACTGAAGAAACTGGTATTATGTGAAGGGATAGTAATCTTTAGAGTAGCTGAGGAACGGAGATCTCTTTCATTGTTCAGCGAGAGGTATTTAAATTTATCTTTAAGATAATACGGAGTAGCAGAATCGTTTAAGATCGAGAAAAGAGTAAGGAGAATTCTAGAGCTACGCCTTTGTTTAATTGTTAGCCATTTGAGGCGAGAACGATAAGGAGTAATATGGTCATATTTTCGAAGGTCAAAAATGTATCTTATGCAGTTGTTAGAGAGGCGCTCTAGCTTGTTACGAAGGTCACTGTTCAAGTCCGGACAACAAACATCCGCGTAATCAATTATTGGGAAAATTAGGGTTTGCACAAGTAAGAGCTTAATCTTAAAAGGGAGAAAATTCTTCAGACGATAAAGGGTTCGCAAAGTTACAAAGACTTTACGGCTAACTTCAGTGACTTGTACTCCCCAATTCATTGTACTGTCCATAAAGAGGCCAATTGAGTTGGATAACGGAATACGTTTATTGTTGTAGTAGACAACAGGCAGATTTGCGATGTCTATTTTAGCCAACAATCTACTGCTTCCGACAAGCATTGCTTGGCATTTATTTGGGTTAACAGATATTCCATAACGCATCGACCAGTTATGAATGACGCTCAAGTTTGAATTTAATCTAATGAATGCGTTAGGGAGGTCACCAATATCAGCCTGAAGGTAAATCTGCAAGTCATCCGCATACAGATGGTACGCACAATCAAGACATGATGTGATTGAGTTTATAAAAACTGAGAACATTATGGGAGAAAGAATACCGCCTTGCGGTACGCCAGAGTCAATATTAGCCCATTGTGAGGACTTTTGTCCCACAATAGTCGACTGCTGACGCCCGCGAAGATAAGATGAGAACCAATCCAAAACTGTGGGAGCGAACCTTAGTTGAGCAAGTACAGCGAGGAGGATATCGTGATCAACTGTGTTAAAAGCGTTAGAAAAATCGACTAGCACCATCACTGTCACTTTCTTATCATCCATACCTAATCTAATATCGTCGGTGATTTTAAATAAGGCAGTTGTGGTGCTATGTCCAGGACGAAACCCAGACTGATACTCACTCAGTAGGTTATTTTTATGTATGAAACAAGAGATTTGCTTATAAACACAGGCTTCCAAAACTTTAGAAAGGAAAGGTAAAATTGAGATGGGGCGAAAGTGATTGGGAAGTACAGGATTAGGGACTTTAGGAAGTGGCCGTACAAATGCTTTTTTCCATATCAATGGATACTGACCTGATTCAAGAGAAAAGTTTATAATGTGAGTTACAACAGGAACAAGGATATCTAACAAGCTTACTATCATAATTCTACTCACATCATCACAACCCACAGCTCTGGATTTGATTGCCAGAATGGCTTTCTTAGTCTCATCTTCGGTGACTGGAGAAAAATGAAAATCCTGAGAGTGTGGAAGTGGAGTGGAAGCTATATAAGCTATAGTATGAGCACGGTTTGTAGGATCCATTAGAGAAACAGAGATAAAGTGTTTGTTAATATCATCTGGAGAAATAGAAGAACCACAAACATTAGATGAATTAGACATACCAAAAGATTTATTATATTATTATGGATATAGCGGCGTTTAGCTGCACGTACCATCTGATTGCACCTATTTCTGGCTTGTTTGAAAGCTGCCCAGTTTTCTTCAGTACGATTATTCTTAAACCGAGAGAAAGCTCGATTTCGCCTAGCCATTGCCTTTCGCACATTATCCGTCATCCAAGGGGCCGGTGGCCTTTTCAATTTGACTTTAATGACCGGAGCATGGGCATTATATAAACTATGAACAATATTATTGAGTATAGACACCTTCTCGTCAGCCGTAGAAGCCATTGCCAAGGGAGTAAAATTTGTATTAACCGCATCCTCAAGGAGTCTTTCCATGTTCAAATTCCTGAAGTTGCGGTACTATATATAATCGAGGGTAACTTTAGGAGGTTTAATCTTATACGAAACATAAATTAGATCGTGACGAGAGAATCCTGGAGCGGAAAGTTGACCATGCGTTTCCACATGGTCAAGAGAATTCGTTAAAATAAGGTCAATAAGAGAGTCGTCAGTTTTATGTTTTTATAACAAAAAAACATCAGGTTTTTGTATTTTTTAGATGGGAAATATGATTAAAACGCCAGATACAATTTCTGAAGCAGATGCCATTGATTCTTTTGAATATGCCTTGAAATGTAACGAACCTATTTTACTTGCTTACGTACTCGCCAAGAAATCCCTATCTCTTTTAGAAGAAATTGCATGTATTGCAGGTGAGATTATTATTGTTTTTGATTGCTTTTTTTTTTTCATTATCTCGAAAGAATTTTCTGTTAGTGAAACGAGTAAAATATTAGAATAAAATTTCATTATTTTTGTTATTAATTCTTATTTTTAGTACGAGTATAATTCTGTTCTGCACTCAAACTGAAACTTTAAACTGTAATTTTTTTAGATAAATGAACATAAATAGAAGTTTGAATCCCGTAGCGCTGAAAGTTTTTGTCCATTTATATACAAAAAAAATGACAGTCTAGAATTTTATTCTTCAATTTTTGAGTATGGATTTTAGGGATTGATATACCAGAAGAAGCTGCTGAAACAGCCACTCTAACAGACTTGTATGTTGGATCGGATAAAATACAAATAATTTGTAGTTTTCTCCGCGATAATCATAATATATCTCTATCCGAAGAAGATATACCGAAGTTAACAATTCAAAGGTTGGTTTTTTTAATTATCTAATATACAAAATTCTCGTGTCACGACGGTGTTTGTAATTGAACTCGTCCGAAACGGCTCGACCGATTTTCGTGAATCGACCCGGGTGGAGAATCGGACAACATCTATATTTCATCCCCGTAAAGGTTAAGGGTGGTCCACCCGAAACATTTTTTAATTTATATGGCAAAACAGCTAGTATTTTTATATTTTTTTGCACATTTACGTGTTTTTCACTTTGCACCGTATTTTCTTTCAGAATAAGAGAAATTCAACTAACCATGACTGATTTGGAATTTAAGGAGACAAAAGGATTGGCAACGTTTTATTCGTATGTAGACCCTGACGAACTTCTTGTGACGACCGAGATGATGTTTTTGCCAACATTAGTGAATAGTTCAGCAATGGTATGTTAGTAATGATAACATCACAAACAACTTAAATTCGATTTTTATCTATCAAACATTTGATCTAACGATTGCACATCGTTGCGAAACAAAAAGAGAGAAGTAAGGCAATCGTAATTATTCATGTTTTTCACCTCATTTTCAGCGCGATGATGAATTTGATGTGACGCAAACATACTTGTGCCTCATCCCTGGTCTGGAGGGTCATCATGGGCGTTTCCACACTCTGTGTGAACGGCTGAAGGTACCGGCGATCGTACTACAGCCTGGACTCGAGACGCCCGATGAAAGCGTTTCCGATCTGGCAAAAAGATACGCCGAGGTAAACAATCGAAGTTTAAACGCCTTAAATTCATGCAAATCTAATTATCTGTATTAAATGGAAACGCATACAGAAGCTACATCCCTATTAACGATTTAAAAAAGAAACAAGTATACACATTGATCACATATACGTTTACGTTTTTTATCTTTCTTTTAGTTTCATACACTTTTTGTTCCAGATTCTTTTAAGGAAGACCTCGCTCAAACGAACATTCTACCTAATGGGATATGAAAGTGGAGCTCTGGTGGCGTTAGAAATGGCTGCTATACTAGAAGAACAAGGTGTATATTTTATTTTATTACATAGACTAACAACAATGACTAATCATTAATTTATAATTAATGTTTAATAATTGTTGTATAATAAATGTTGTAAATAATTGTGTGTTGTTGTGTAAACATTAATTCATAATTAATGTTTACACAACAAATAATTGTTGTTAATATTTTTTACCCTTGACGTTTGATTTAGAACGTATCAGTAAGACTCTTAAGGAAGGATACAGAGGAATCAAATTCCTCTTCTTATCTCTTCTGCTCTTGCCGAAAGCTGGGTTGGCACAACAAGTCCTTTCCTTCTATGCGTTTTCATGTCCTGTTTGTCGATGCGTTTATGTAATTGATTTTAATAAAATGACCGAGTAAATTTGCATTATCTGATGATAAAAATCATCATTAGTTTTGTATGTAATAAAAATAATTACTTATTTGTTGTTGTCCATGTGTTTTCAGTGATGAAAGCTACATTCGATTTTATTTGGTTTATAATTTGAAATTTTTACTTTTTCCACAATATAGCCAGTTGCAAAACTAGTATATGCAACGTTTACATTTTTTATATTCCCTATAATGTGGCATATCATAAATAAGATACAACTCACCGCTGATTTTATTTTTATACAGGATTGACGGGCACAGTGTTCTGCATTGGAGAATCGCCGGATAAATTACATGAAACTCTTAACAAAGAACTCGAGGAGTACGATGGCGATGATGCATTGCAAATTGCAATTGCGAAGCACATGTTTAGTTTGATGGTGGGTGGTAATACTGATGGTCTGGAAGATGAGCTGCGTGGTGCCAAAACATGGCCAGAGAGGATTGAAGCCTGCGTGCGGTCAATTTTGGGCAGAGTGTCGCATTCCGCACAGTACGCGCGGGAATTAATTGAGTGCGCATATGGAAGGATCAAGCAAGTTCAGGCCTACAGATTGACTCCACGAGCACTGCGCTCCAAACTGATTTTGATTATTCCCGCGTCGTCACTTGGAAGCTCTGAGAATTCCATGCAGCGCTATTCCCAACAACCCGTCACTGTTTACCACCTTCACGCACCATTGGCATATTCTGCGGCGGATTTGCGTTGCTCCGCTATAATTAACACTCACCTGGATTCCGAGTTATTGGAGGCTTTCGAAAGGAAAAATCTATGCGACACTTACCTGCTTAATGCAGATACATTCATGACTATGGATCCGACTTATGCCTCTAACTATGAATAATTACTTTGTGTCATATGTTTATGTTATCAATATTTTTTATTAAAACTAAATATATTTGATGGTTGTACTTGTATTACTAAATTGTTATTATTTCACTATCTCAAATCAATTACATTCAAAATCAAAAATATATTTATTCAAATAGACGCCTGCGCGCTCTTATGAATCGTCAAATTTTACATCAAAGATTATGTGTATAGGTTCGTAAGGTACCACCGGTTCGGAAAGCAGTTTCTGTTGAGAAGAGACCGGCAAGAAATTCAACAGTTGCTCTTTTTCAAAAATATCAGTGTACAATATAATATACAGGTATAATATATAGTCTTATTCTAGCCTACGTGAGTATCAACAGTATTAACTCCATACATTGGCTTCGTCGAGATATTCCGAAATGGTAATATGCTTTAATCATAAGTTGATTTTTAATTTTACACTTAAATTGGTCAAGCGACAGACTTAATATCGACTGTGGGATTTTATTATACATGCGCACACTTTGCTCCATGAATGACCTATTTACTTTTTGTAGACGAAACAATGGCGTAGTAAGTTTGTCCTTATTTCTAGTGTTTATTTTATGTCTGTCACTATTCTTTAGGTAATAATTAAGGTTATGACGTATATACAAAATATTAAAATAAATTTATTGAGAAGCAACAGTGAATATATTAACCTCTTTGAAAAGATCTCTGAGTGAATTCCGGGCTCCGATATTGTAGACTGCTCGGATAGCTCTTTTTTGAAGAATAAATATAGAATTTATATCTGATGCACTACCCCACAACAAAATGCCGTACGACAAGATGCTGTGTCGATGTCTGTTAGCTGCCTAACCTTTACTGCTGGTACCATTGCTACTACCATTACTGTTACTTGAACGTACTGTTCATTTGCATAATGTAAATGAACAAATCTAGACTATAAATATTGTTAAAATATAATGAAAGTATAAGCGAAAATACTTTATGACACCCAAGAAATTAAGAGAGCTGGAAGTAATCCTGAAATCCTTTGTGATACAATAATAAAATTACAAACTTATTCAATCATAAGCATCTCCCTACATAGATGATCTTAAACAAGCCACTAGCAGTTCTGTAACGAAGTAATGGGTTTTTTTTTTCATATCAGATGAACCTGATTTTAAGTGATAATCGCCACCCATGGATATTTGCAACACCTGTAGGGACCATGTGCAGATGCGTTGCCACCTTATAATAAAGTGGGCCTCGGCTACCTCACTCATCAGACGAAACGCAGAAGTATAACACTTCCTTTTCGCGCCAGTCTTCTGTGAAATCCTGCCCATTCTACTCCCTACCTAACATTGTATCTTTCCATTCTACTTGTCGTTTTGTCTGGTTTTGTTGGTCCAATTAAATAATTTCTATTAGAGATCGTCTACAGACTAATGCTGCTACAGGTTGGGATGATATACCGACATGTTTGAGTGTCTTTCTGAAATTCATTAGAAAACACTATAATAACATCAGTTTTTAAAAAGGAAGACGGGAGTATAATAAATATTTATTACCCTACTAGATGTTAAATCGGCTTCTCCCGCGCAGTCAAAAGGAAGTACCAATGAGTTTTTTTATTATATACATAGCTCGCAGATGGCAGAATTTTTTCGTACTTACTCGACACTTGTCGTTATATTTTGGACAATTATCACAAGATCTTTATAAATTGTAAAGTTTCATTAAAATCCATTAAGTAGTATTTATGTGAAAGAGTAACAAACATCCTTACATTCATATACACAAACTTTCACGTTTATAATATTAGTAAAGTAAGGAGTAAGGATAAGGATTACAGTACTGTTTCATCCAAAAATACTAGAACGATTAGTGAAAACCAACTTGTTTATTACCATTTACAATTCAATTTAATTTGACAACAACAATAGAATAAAAAAAAGAATAGACTTAATTATATGGTAAATTACATTTACCACTAGATAATATAAACAACCTAGAGAGTTAAACGTATGTAATACCTTTAAATGAACAATTCTTGTATATAATATATGTATTATAAAAAGTAATGGACCTAAGATGGATCCCTGTGGTACACATCGGTCCACAAATCGCTCTCCAGAAATAGTTTTGTCCCTTCCATTTAAGTGCATTTCAACCCGTTTTGACCTATTTTCAAAGTAACTGGCAAACCAATGAGTTGCGCTTCTACTAATTCCATAAAAATATAATAAATATAATATAAGAATATAGAGGGTTTCAAAGGCGCGTGAGAAATCAAGAAGCGTTAAAATCGTGCCTTCCCCACTCGCCAGTGCAGTCAATACGACATCATCATCTTTTCATCAATCATCTACGACCGCATTAAGCGCAGTGGTAGTGCTGTGCTTTTTCCGGAATCCAGACTGCAGCTTAGGAAGGATATTATTCGATTCAAGGTACTCTGTTAGTTGATTACATGCAAGCTTTTCAATCACTTTAGAAAGGCACGGTAGGATGCTAATAGGCCTACGATCCGACATATAAACAGGGTTACTAGTTTTAGGTATAGGTTTCACGATTGCTTTTTTCCAGAGATCTGGTATGTGTCGCAAATGATGTATTAATTATACATGTTATTTCTGTAATCTTTAGGTAATAACTTTAACATATCAAGTGAAATGCCATCGCATCCCACTGCATTAGACCGCAAAGAGTTTATAATTTTAACAACCTGATCTTCTGAGACTTCTTTGAAATGAAAAGAGCTCTCATTAGTGTCATTAAATTCAAAGAAAATGAGAAGGGACAATGAAACATCATTTTTTACATTAGGGTCACTAAATTGAGATGGTAGAGAGGTATCCTTACTTTTTAATTTATATAATTAAGTTTTGTGATGTATTGATCTGGTTTATTATACTTATATTATTTGTTTATAATTTATTGTGTAATTTTTTATTCTTATTTCCTTTTTATATGGCAACTGAGAACGGGCGTGCGTTGAATTTAAAATAAATACGGGTACAGTCATACGTGCTTCCTCCTTTGTCCATACGCGCGCTCTGCTAACGTTCACTGTGTCCACGTAACTCAGGATGAGTTCTAAATTGTATTTGTACTTTGTTGCAAATAAAGAACTGTTAACCTCAGTGCACCAAATTTTACTGCGATACTTCCTCTACATAAAGTATTTTATATTTTTGTCGCCCATACAGTAGTGCCAATTATAGGATTTGTGATTGAGGCAACACCCTCACTAAAAACTAAAAATGGCGGATTGTTGCTTTGCTTTTATTTTGTTCGTTACCTAGTTTTTTTTTCGTTTAAGTTGTGCTGAGTTAATAATAATTATAATAAAGGCGTAGGGAAGTGACGACCCCATCGCCCACCGGCGTAACAGTTTATGTGACAGAACTGTTACGTCGGCGCAATTAGTCAGCGCCTTGCCAACAGGTGTTTGCACCGTACCTAGGCAAAAGTGAGGGTGCATAGGCCCGTCTGTGCGTTCGGCCACACTACCGAAAACGGTGCCGGTCTGGGGGCGTCTTCCGTTAAACGACGCCCTACTTAAAATGGATGATGGAAAATAGAAGAACGCGCATAGGGCCGCTGCCTGGGGGCCGCCAAGGCGCGTCTGGAGCTGGCGCTGGACGTGGCAGCATGCGGGACGCCAGCCCAGCGCGGGGTACTGCACGACCACCAAGCAGTACCTCGCATCCATCATCTCCACCAGTTGGCTTGGTGTCGGCAGGATCCTCTCGGATCCAGCAATCGGCACCCGCCGCTGGTGGAATACGCCGCGTGCGCTGGACGTCTATAATGAATCAGAACGCAATGCGGGCGTATTTTAGGGAGCACTGGAGGCGTACTGGAGGGTTTGCGTATCGGGCAAGGATGCATCGCGTTTTTGCTAAGCTGGAGCCATCTTTAACCGTCACCGAGCAAAACCTAGCAGACAGAGTTCGGTACATCATGCGTTCAAAAGTATTTGATGATGCCGAGCTCGAACGACTTCGACGTGAGGCTGTTCCCTCATCGAATGAAACTGCAGTGGCTGGAAATGCGACCCCGCAAGCTGCGGATCCCGCAGGGTTACAAGCGGAAGCGGACGCCGCGTTTTACCCCCCGGCTCCTGTAGATTCGTGCGATGATGGAATGGTCGCCCAAGAAATAGAGCAGATGAGAAGCATATTGGAAGAGGCAATTCTGGAGGTGCGCGAAACACGTCTCGAGAATAGACCAAGACTCCCCCGCATACCCCTAAGTAAGCGGAGTTGGTCTGTCGTGAGGTCTCTTAACCCGATGCTGGCAACCTATTTGGAAGCCATCAGGGATCTTTGCGATACGGACTCAATTCTCTTTGGCGCTGCACTGGCAGTATGCCGAATCGTTGGCGCCAAACTTCCAAAGACTGGACGTGCTACTAAACCAGGTAGCACTATCCCAGCATGGAGAAGAAGAATTGAGGACCGTATCGCAAAGGTAAGGGCCATCATCGGCAGGCTGATAAGCTTCAGGTCGGGCAATAATAGGCCCAGAATTGTGCGCACCGTTAGGATGGCGTTCGCTGGGACCAACATCAACTTGTCCCAGCCGGATATTATGCAAAAACTAACGGAGCGCATAGATGACCTGAAGCAAAAGGATCGCTGCTTGGGGGAAGCGGATTCGGCGATATACCGACAGGACGGCGCGGTTTAGCCAGAATCGCTTCTTCCAGAGTGACCAAAAGAGGCTCTACAAATCTTTGGAGCGACCAATAAACTGTGGAACGGGCCAAGGACCGGACCAGGCCGACACTGTTGCCTTCTGGCGCAGCCTGTGGTCAGAGCCGTAGACCACAGCGAGGGCCCTTGGACGCAAGTCGTGGCGAGTCATAACACCCGACGACGTATTTGAGGCAGTCCGTAGAGCCCCGAACTGGAAAAGTCCGGGATTCGACGGGCTGCATCACTACTGGCTGAAGGGGTTCGTGGTGTGTCATGCTGTGCTCGCCCGACAGTTCCAAGAGGCTCTCGATCAGAGGTCGCTTCCGAGCCTCTTTACTACTGGGGTCACTCACTTGGTTCCGAAAGATCAGGTTACCACAGACCCGAGCAAGTACCGCCCCATTACGTGTCTACCGACCATCTATAAGACACTGACATCTGTTCTGACCATGAGAATCACCCGACATATTAATATGAATCGGATTATATCTCCTGCTCAGAATGGATGTCGGGGCGGTGGTCGTGGAACCAAGGAACCGCTTCTCATCGACGCGGTCATTGGCAAAATGGTTAAACGCAACCGTCGGAACTTCTCCGCCGCCTGGATAGACTACAAAAAGGCATTCGACTCTGTGCCCCATACATGGCTAAAGAGGGTCCTCGAACTGTACAAAGTAGACTGTACAGTAAGAGACTTCCTCGGGCACTGTATGGGGCAATGGAGTACGATCCTTTGTCATCTAGGCGAGCGGATGACGGCTGCGGAATACCGGATAAGGATACGACGGGGTATTTTCCAGGGCGACTGTTTGAGTCCAATATGGTTTTGCCTCTCCCTGAATCCTCTCAGCGTGTTACTGGGGGGCTCGGGGGGAGGATTTCAGCTTCGGAGAGGAGGGACAAAAGTGACCCACCTTTTCTACATGGATGACCTCAAATTATTCGCCTCCAATCGCTCCCATTTGATGGAATTGCTTAAAGTCACTTGTGATTTCAGCAATTCTATCAAAATGGAGCTCGGGACGGATAAGTGTGCGGTCCTTCATGTCGAAAGGGGTAAGGTCACTAATACGGAGGGCATAGACTTATCTATGCCCGTTAACATAAGGACCCTCTCTGAGGCTGAAACATACCGATACCTGGGTATGTCACAAAACATGTGTATCGATGAGGCTGGCATGAAACAGTCAGTTCGTGATGTGGTTTTTGCACGCCTGACAAAGGTGTTTAACAGCCATTTGTCAGGCGTGAACAAGGCACGCGCATTTAACGACTGGGTCATGCCAGTCCTCATGTATACCTTTGGCATACTCAGGTGGACTCAAACTGAGCTCAATGCCCTGGACCGAAAAGTCCGCACAACTATGACGTCCCACAGGATGCATCATCCGAGATCGTCAGTGATGAGGCTGTACCTGCCGCGGAAGCATGGCGGGAGGGGCTTTTTGAGCGCCCTTACCATGCACAATCGCGAGGTGTGCAGCCTCCGTAACTACTTCCTGGCGAGATCGGATGATTCAATCTACACAGACGTCATTAGTTGTGATAAAGGACTTACCCCTCTATCCTTAGCCAACGAGCAGTGGCAGGACCCGGGAGTACTGAGCGTTTCCGACCGGGAAGGAGATTTCCGTATGGAAGGAGAAAGAGCTCCATGGGAGGTTCTACAAGGCCCTACACGAGCCTTTTGTAGATACTACTGCCTCCCTCAACTGGCTACGTTTCGGTGACCTCTTTGGGGAAACCGAAGGTTTTGTCTGTGCGATACAGGATCAGGTTATTAAGACGAACAACTATCGGAAATACATCCTAAGGGATGGCACCGTCGACATCTGTCGAGCTTGTCGCCATCCCGGGGAGTCGCTTCGGCATGTTATTTCCGGTTGTTCCATGCTTTCTAACTCTGAGTATCTGCATAGACACAACCTAGTAGCCAGAATCCTACACCAGGAGCTCGCTCTGAAATACGGCCTCGTGGATCGGAAACTGCCGTATATGTTTATTTTTATTCATAATATTTATTTTATACATATATGCAATATGTATCTATATTTTTATTTTTATTTATAAACCCAACCAGACGAGAAAACAAATGAATATCACCCCATAATAATAATAATAACGTTTATTTGCAGTTAATCACTGAGAACGATTATGAAGTGGACGATTTCGTGATTTTGGTGGAAACTGTGTTGTTATTTGTGAGAGACTACTTTGCGATATTGATGCTTATGTTAATTTAAATCTTAAGTTGTACGATAAGGATGCTTTGATAATGAAAGGGCAAGAAAGCATCACTTGTGTTAAATACGGAATTGTATCGCCTTTGTATCCTAATCTCTTTGTATCTAAAATGGAGAGAATCATTGAGCAATACTCGATACCACATTTTTGTGAAACAAAAATATTCATAAATGTGTTATATTATTACCTACCTAATTAATAAGTAATTATAATGAATTCAAAAATTAATTAGGAAAGTAGAAATTTAAAAGTTGTGTTGATACAATTACTAAAGTAATTGGTTTGTACCAATTACTATAGTAATTAGAGTCAATTACTATAGAAATTCTGGCCCGTCATAGTTTGGTACAAACTATAGTACAAACTATAGTTTGTACTATAGTTTGTACCAAACTATGACGGGCCAGAATTACCAAAGTATTATAAGACCAGCAGGTTTTCTTGGTGGTATTGTCATGAGATAATGAGGAATAAATAATACAAAAGACAATGTTTCTTATTTATGGAATATCTAATATTATAAATGTTTTACTTCGAAGATAAGAGCCCTTAATGGTACCTAAGTAAAAAAAACGTAAAAAAACTGCTTCATTTTTCTAGCTCTTTTTCATATCGAGGCTTATTTCTAAGTTTTTTTTTAATCTGTAAAAGTCGAAATATATTGATAGTATCGTTAAGGAAAATCTGTTCCCTATTTTGGTAATCGTTTTTAACTTCATCACAATAAAATATAACAGCCGTTTAGAATTAACTCTCTGTCACATCGATTTGAATAGAATATTAGAGATGTAATATGCTACCCTGTAGCTGCTGGAATCTTCTATGGCGTCGTTTGGTTTATTATAACCTTTTTTACATAGAGCACATTCTATTTTATTATAGATTGTTTTTATTATTATTTAAACTAATAGTACTACTATACGACATAACCTTAAAAACTTTAGACCGAAATATCTTTAATTCCACACTTCCTTTAATAACAATATGTATGTATTATATATTCAGAACATTAAATTCTATATTTTTAAATATTTTTCGTGTTAAGACGCAAAAAAATTTGATCAACAAAAAATTGTATGGGAGTTCTCCATTGTCCTTTCGTAAAAAAATATATGATAATAAAGAACCAAAAACTTCGTTATTTGAACTTTTCACATAAATTTTGAGTTTATGTGAAAAAAGATTTATAAAATAAGCAACCTATTTCCCATTTTGGTAGCACTGACACTCGCAGGTTGAATTAAAATACAAACAATTTGAGCACCTCTTTATAATTTATATAAAAAATAATGAACCCCATATACAAATTTTGCAGTAACATATTATTAAAATATTATAAATGCTACATATTAGTAATTAGATTTACGTAGTCATGAACTTTTCTGCATTAAGAAGATAAGTATCGCACAAATTTTTATTATCGAATGCCTTTAACAAATCATCACTCAGGTGATCGTTGATAAAAGCGGTGCACCGCAGATCCGCAGATGAATGTGCCAAAGGTGCGCGAAGTTGGTAAACAGTAACAGGTTGCTGCGAATAAAGTTGCAAGGATTGATCAAAACTTGTAGCAGATGATGCAGCGTTCATCAATACTAGTTTAGAGCGCAGCACTCGTGGAATTGGTTTATAGGCTTGAACTTGCTTAATTCTTCCATATGCACTCTCAATCAATGCTCGCGCATACTGTGCAGAATGAGACACCCTTCCCAAAATTGAATTCACACATTTTTTAACTCTTTCGGGCCATGTTGTGGTACGACGTAGCTCTTCTTCCATTTCTCCAGTATGGCCACCCACTATCAATTTGCACATATGCAGAATCACAGCAATCTGTAACTCTTCGTCATTTTTATATTCTTCCAGTTCTTTCTTCAAGGTGACTTGTAATTTATCTGGTGATTCCCCGACACAGAATATTGTTCCGGTTAATCCTGCAGAAAAATAATTCAGGTTAAGTAAATAAACATCTATGGGACCATAATACATTTTCATCAAACAACGCGTTTTAGCAATGATTTTGCTGATAGTTTAATTATTTTCTTTCACTCTGTCTATTTCCAATAAAAATTACGTTATATAAATTAAATTAGAAAAAAAAAGTATTATAAATATACAACGTGGCGCTACTACAACGACCATAAAACAATACACATATATGGGTTAACTTTTTAAAATTGTATTAAACATTTACTTTCTTTAAACACAAACATTTGCCGAGTTATTAAATTTTCCAAAGCAAATAATTTTACAACACCCGTACGCATAAAAGTGTAATGTAAGTTTAATTTGTAAAGATCACAAATCATATAAATTTGTTGAATGAATTTAAAAGAGATAAAACATAGAAAACATAGGGAAAACTTGGAATGTAGTGTTGTTGCGAGGAATGAAAAAGTATCCGACCGTAGCAATCAGTCAGTTGTATAGTTATATAGTAATATATTAATATCTATATAGTAAATGTTTACTAGTTAAGCCGGCTGCGCTTTGCTGAGGACACAATTTAGTATAGTATATTAATCGTTTATTTCCAGTATTCTTTAAAAATGTTTTAATTACTTTGAATGCTATTAACAAATAATTCTAATTTAATTAAGAACTACTTGAAAAGTAATGGTAAAAAATTGAATTAATGATAGATGTGTTCTTACTTTATGGAAAGAATAAAAATGACACAAAATCATAATGTAATTATTATGTGAATCTTAAAAACACGTGCAATAAATTGTAACAACAAGGGAAGGTATAGGATTAAAAATGACGAAATAATATTAATTTGTTTCTCTAACTGGCATATGTATTGATTACCTTGATCTTCTAGAAAAGCCGCCATTTCTAACGCCACTAATACTCCACTTTCGTATCCCAGCAGATAGAAGTTTTGTCCAAGCGCCGTTTTCTTTAGAATCATCTGAAATAACAAAGATCGTTTAATGTACATACATGTATGTGCGGTATATACCATTAAACATTTTGGGTATACTTTAAATGCACATATTGTTAATTGACAAAAACCTAATCACCCTTAACCGTGAAAGGGTCGAAGTTTAACGATAGGTTACCTCTGCATAACGCTGTGCGAGATCAATTACGGTCTCATCTGGCCGATCTAGTCCAGGCTGTAGTACTATTGCAGGCACTTTCAATCGTTCACAAAGAATACGGAAACGTTCATAATTCCCTTCTAATCCGGGTACTATGTATAAGAACGTTTGGGTGACATCAAACTCATCGTCACGCTGAAAATAATATGGAGTTCATGATTAGAGCGAGGTCTAGTCACACACGTGGTTTAATCGATTTTTCGTTCTTTTCCCTTCTATCGAGTATGCCATCACTGGCAATAAAACATGAAATATTCTAGAGTTATATTGCATAACTTACCATTGTTGAGTTTTGCATTTGAGTTGGCAAAAATACCATTTCCGTCGTTGCAAGAAGTTCATCAGGATCTATGTATGTATAAAATGTTGACAATCCTTTGGTACTATTAAATCCGGAATCGATGATAGTTTTCTCTATTTCTTTTATTCTAAAAAATATAAAAATCATCATCAAAGTCTTTATATGCGAAAACAATAAAACCAAAACTTTTAAAAAATAAAAAAAGACCTTTCAATCGACAAGTTCGGTATCTCCTGTTCTGATAAAGATATGCCATGAGTGTCACGCAAGAATGTACAAATAATTTGTGATTTATATAATTCTAATCCCAAATCGGATAGAGTGGTTGTTTCCTCGTTGTCTTTTTGTAGTTTTATCCCTAAAATAAATGACGAAAAATAATAAAATTATATGACGAAAATTTCAATAACTGGCTTCCTCAATAGTTTCGAAATGAGTAAACAAATATAAATATCATAAAAAATACAATCTTAAGTACAAACTTTTTTTATATTGTGGAGAAAAGCACGAAACGTTTTTCGCCGTTGTGGGAATCGAACCCACGTCTTCAAGATTCGCGCTGAGACACTAATCGTTAAGCTAAACGACTGATAGCCAAACCGATGAAAATCTCAGTCTTTTTGTCTACATTGTTTTTTCGCATTTCAAGCAATGATTGGCGCATCCATTGCTATATCCTTTACAAATGATTTATTCTACAAGTTTAAATGTTTCTTCTTAAGTGTATGGATTAGCACTATAAATATTTAAATTTACAAATATTTTGTCACATTCTATCATATAACCCGTAGCCGACAAGCAGGATGGAAAGATAAATGGGCGAGGGAGGAGCGACTGAGATTGACTTGTACAAATCTTTTGCCTTTAAATCGTGAACGTTTGATATCCGTGATCTCTGTCTAATCACTAAGCGACGACTAGAGTATAAATGTATTTTGAAGTTATACTTTTTTTGGGAAGTTTGGAAAAACTGATGAGAGTAAAATTTTTCGATGCGCGCGCACGCCGAACCCAAAAAAGCGACATGATTGCAAAGCAAGAAACTTCACGGTATTACCGTAGCAACAAATAACAACTCTTTGAAATTTACCTATATTTTATTTATGTAAGGAGGTGTCAGATTAACCGCCAGAGTTCACCTGATCTTAAGTGATAACCGCCGCCCATTGCATTTAATGTCTTTTTCACACACAAAGAGTATTGGCACAGGGTATAAAGTATTTAGTTATTTTTCTTTTGTGTAATAATCAACGTAATGTAGCTAAGGTATTTGATTTTAATATTTCCATTGCTACTCCTGGATAGCTTTATTGAATGAAAAATTGAAAGATTTGGTAGATATTTAATATTTCCTATTGAGTACAAACATTTTTTTCTTTATTAAGTAAATATTTTGTTATCAGTACAAACGACGCTTAGACTATTTATGTTGGTCAAACCGTATGACAGCAACCTTTCCACATTCTTGGGCAGACCAGCTTTTGACCACGACCTTTTTGCACGTTCTTGTCGTGCATGATCCACTTTTCATCACCAGTTATCAGGTTTTTCAAAAATGGTTCGGTTTCTTTACGTCACAATCATCATCATCATCATCATCATTTCAGCCTGTTTGAGTCCACTGCTCAACATAGGCCTCCCCCACAGACTTCCATGAAGTACGATCCTGCAGCCAGCAGTGAAGGACCATGTCTCGGTTCCGTAGGTCATCACTGGCAACACACATTGATTGAAGACTTTAGTCTTCAAACATTGAGGTATATTCGACGAGAAGATTTGCCAAAGTTTCCCGAACGCTGCTCATCCGAGTTGGATTCGCCGATTGACCTCTGCGTCGAAGTTGGACTTACCTAGCCGGACTAACTGTCCTAGGTAAACGTACTCGTCAACAACTTCGAGCTCAGTGCTCCCAGCAACAATAAATAATCACAATAAAGAATCACAATAAATAATCACAAATGAGTACACGGTTTATTAGGTTTCTTTCAGTGAGTTCATTAGGCACCAAAATATCGTGTTTTTTTGTGTACCCAGCTTTTTTCAAATGCGCCAAAACTGTTTTGTGGTCAACTACCAGTTCTTCAGCTACATCGTAAGTACTGATATGCCGATCTTGCTCCACTTTTCAAAAATGGCATCCATTTTATCCGTAACAGGGTGCCCAGAGTTAGGTGCATCTTTGACATCAAAATTTCCGAATTGAAAACGCTTAAGCAAATTTGTGTTACTCTCACAGACACTGCACTAGGTCCGTAAATATAAAAAATTTTTTTGCGAGGCTTGTGTTGCATTTTTACCTTTTTTGTAGTAAAATTGTAAAATGTATCGAATTTCTTCATTACAATCACTCATCTTAACTAAGAAAAACAAATGAAAATCACACATTTTCCTAATTTGAATTTTTAATTATCTTTTTTTTTTAATTTAAACTTCTTAATGATAACAAAAGCAGATACAAATGGTATAGGCAAAGAGATTACATTATAAGTACATAACATAATATAAAGAAAATATTTAGCTATTAATTATTATATAAAATTGGTAAATTCTATGCATTCTTAATTTCTGCTGACTGAAAACTTTAACTAATGAATCGCCTAAAATTTAAAATCAATTTTAATCCGCGTCCTGTAATTTGACAAAAAGAATCAACAGTAATAAGAATTCGATGTTTTTAAATTTTTTGTACTTATTTTTTATACTTTACATTTGTTTGTGTATTATTATTCCTACAAAAATATGATATCGTGACTAATCATGGTTTTATAAAACTTGCTGATGGTAGCCTGGTGGTCGGATTTCGATCTAATTAATTGTACATGGTAGTGTGTAAGGTCTGTTTGCCAATTGGCAAAGGCCTCCTCCAACCTCTTCCATTCCTGTCTGTCTTGAGCTACTCTATTCCACGTCACTCTGATAGATGGTCTGTATAAAGGGCTTTGTTATTATTATTTGTGTGTTATTTTTTTATTGATTTAAAGTATTTTTGTGCATAATAAAAAAATATTAACATTATGCATTGCAAATGACAAATGAAAACAAATTTCATACTCCTCCGTCCATTTCGAAAACTTCTACACTTCTACTTCTTACATCTGCGAATATTTTTCGAAAGCATTTCACGATACTACCGATAGCAAACAATGGCTCGCCGCTAATAGATATAAATAATCTAACATAAACATTTTTACGACCTTTTTAAACAACGTCCTCAGCAACGCTTGTACTATGGGTGCAAGACGTACATAAAATATACTTTTCTTTTGTAAATGAATAATTATTAAAAATATATGTCTGGGACACTGGTAATGTTCATCACCCAAATTTTCCAGTAGAGTTGATTGTCCTCCACTTCTGCTTCCAGTCGACCCTATACCTTTTTATGTGAAAACTTGCCAAGCGACCTGGTGGATCACCTGATGTTAAGTGAATACCAGCGCCAATTAACATCAGCTACACCCAAGGGTTGCGTTGACAACCTTTTAAAAATTGGGCTCCGGCTACCTCATTCACTGGACGAAACCCGAAAGTATTATATTTCCACTTGACGCCAGTCTTCTGTGAGGTCGTGGTATCTACCCGGACGAGCCTGCCCATTCGTGCAACAGCCGAGGCTGTTGCGTGTCCCAACCGCAGTTAATAACCTAATACACACATTGCGAAAAATTAAATAATCCTACCTGCTATAGTTAGAATTCCTTGCAATAAAGATTGAGATTCTGTTGAAATCTCATCAACTATTAAAATGTTTTCTTCAGACCTTAAAGCAAGTTCAAACGAGTTAATAACAGCTAGTTCATCAAATGTTTTCAAATCCGTAGTATGTTCAACATCGTCCATCTAAAAAAGGAGAGTGTGTGGGTTAAACATAATTAATTAAATTAGTAACGCTCAATATGGGTTTTATAGTCTAAAAGGATAGCATTCTGCAAGGAAGTTATAACATATCATGGATAACGAGAAATGTTTATAAAAATGAAAAGGAGGAGATTAATTAAACTATTAAGTAGGCGAAACTCAACAAATATGACAACCTATTATTAAACAGGTTTATGCGACTTTTCCTGCTTTATATATTAAATAGGTCCATTCCATGTTTGGATTTTTTAAATTTTGCCTTAAAAGTCGTATCACATGAGGAATAATAAAATTACCTTTTTTGATTTTAGTAGCCTTAGAATAGTCAATGGTAGGTTATTCTTCATCCTGGAGATACAACTCGGTATGCCTTTGACTGAGTAGTCACTGATTACCCCAAAATATCTGTAAAAAGCAATTTTAAGTTCTGTTGCTAATGATTTTAAAAATAAAATGAATTTTTCATATTTTTGATGTTTGGTTACAAATTTGCAACATCTCAGATGAACCGCGTCATAGCTCACCAATAGCTTCACATAAAAATAATATATTTTTTCTGTTTTAAACAACTTCCTGGTTTTTACTTCAAAACTTTTTCAAACTTACTTCAGACGTGGGCATAACTTTCTTGTAGTCGTGTCTAATTCTTGTAGTACATCAAATGATTTAGACGTAGATTGTTCATCAAATCTGACCACATAAATACCCTCTAGTTGGCTGAGACTGATACAGTTATTTATCAAGGCCCTGACATCTTCTTTATTTTCCAATGGAGCATCAGAAACCTTTATTTGAACTCCGAGTTTTTCTAAGCACCTGTGTAAAATTAAAAGTTTTTTAAAATATAAGCGGAACAACATTAGTGTTTTTTCACTAAGACGTTGATAACCATACCGAATTTCGAAGTTAAGATATCCAGATTTACTCAAACAATGTAGGTATATTTTTCTAGCGCCACGATGCACTAGTCTTTCTGCAATTCGTAAGCCGAAATTGTTGTTATTGCATAAAATAAGATGGCTTAAATCTGAAGTGCAATGAAGTCTGAAACGAAAAAGGTTTAATGCAGAAAAAGTTGTCAAAAAATTTTCGTATGGCAAATCTGTTTTTTTTTTCGTTATCTATAATATCTAGACTAAAATAATTTAAAAAAAAAAAAAAAAACTTATATTGTAAAATTTGCTGACGATCTTGCATTACTTTATAAATTATTTTGCCTTCAAGGCTGAAATAAAATAATGAAATTTATTAATTGTAAGATTAGATCTCAGTCTGCCCCGTGACCATCATTATCATCATCCTCCTGCCCTTATCCCACCTAGATGGGATCGGCACAACATATGAATTATATTGTAAGTGGTTTTAACTATGTTTTTTTTCGTCATCAACCCTCCTTGGGAAACAAACATCCAGATCCGTAACAATTATCTGTGAATCACACATATAATTGTCCCGTGTAGGAATCGAACCCAGGACCATTGACGCCGTAGCCAATAGCTTAGAAACGGCGGCAGCGAGACACAAAATAAAAACAAATTAATGTATCGCGATAAATAGATTTATTTAACCACGTGTAATATTCGCATTTATACTAGAAATATTTCATAAAATACTTATAATAGATACTATAACTAGTCACACAAACCTCGGTTCAGATCGTGGTGTATGTCCATTTTTGTTGCATGCTTGGAGTTGGATTAATACACGGCCACAGTGGCGGCCAGCTGTAAGAAGTCTGAAGGCACGTGATGCCTCGAACGGAGAATTGACTAATCTGGAAAGGGGTCTCACATAGCCACGTGTGATTCCCTCCTTCATTAAAAGTTGCAGCATCTATGATAAAATACTTTTTTTATTGCCATAACACATAATCGACCCCTAATACAGTTTATAATTTAAGTTTGACATGTTGGTATGTACGCTGTAGGGACACGAGTGATACGACTGCTTGCTGTTAACACACTGATTTATTGCGTTATAGACAATACGCACGGGCGCAGCCGTGCACAGATATAACATTTCCTCCCCTAGTTAACTAATACTAAAACTGCATACAAATCTATAGTCTAAACATGTTTAAGGTAAAAGAACCGACGATCCTCGACCCTGGGCAAGGTCCGCATCTGTATCCGAGACATAGGATTGTCGCGTGCGATGAATGTTGGTAGTGGTTCAGTAGTTTCCTGTGCATCCAGTGGAGATGACTCAGATGGGCAGTCATTTTCCTCACTGTTCACATCATGGCATGATGTATCACTTTGCGGTGATTCTTCCTCCCCTGTAGTTTGTTGGACTTGGGGTGAAGGGGAACACTCCGGACTGTTTGGTCCGTTTCTACTATTTAATGTATTCAAATCGATGTCGCAGTATATGTAAGTATAAATAGGTAAATAAATAAATATATATATATAGATACGTACATATATAGAAATAAATACATACATAAATATATATACGTATAATAAAAATACAAATGGAATAAGTGAAATAAAGTCAATGATTTAACAAGTATTCTCGAATACATTTTTTGAACATATACTTATTTGGAGCTGTTTTGATCTTAACACTCCGGACTGTTTGGTCCGTTTCTACTATTTAATGTATTCAAATCGATGTCGCAGTCCCAATATTGATAATTATTCTCACACTTTTCCTGAACATGAAACAACTGATTTTTATGTTTCTTTGTACATGCTGAAGTAGATAAATCCTTGATCAGATACGTGACTTTGCCCAGTCTTTTTATTAGGCTACCTTGGCACCAGCGATATTTATTATTTTTTATATATTGCTTATACATAACTTTGGCTCCTATTTCGAAAGGTTCCGCCTCTTTCCCCCCGTGCGCCTTAATCTGCAAGTACTGTTTATTTTCCACGGTATTGTTTATGGATGTGGATGACGGCGGTACAACATTATTCATTAAATCCAGACGTGACCTCAGGTTGCGACCGTACACTAATTGAGCTGGTGACCGTAACGTTGTGCTGTGAATAGAGTTTCTATAATCAAATAAATATTTAAGTAATTTTAATCTACATTCTTTACTGGTATGGCCTGAGAGTATACATGATTTTAACCCCTTTTTTACTATTTTTACATAACTTTCTGCCTGGCCGTTACTAGAAGGATGATATGGCGGCGACGTAATATGTGTTATGCCATTACTGACACAGAAGCGTTGAAACTCAAATGACGTGAACGTTGTCGCATTGTCGGTCACGATAGTTTTTGGTAATCCGAACCTCGATACATATTCATAAAGTTTTTCAACGACGGCAGACGAAGTTGACGGCATTTCGTATACTTCTAACCATTTTGTAAATGCATCTACGATAACTAAATACATATGGCCATTTAACGGTCCCAAAAAGTCCATATGTATCCTATAGAAGGGTAACGGTGGATATTTCCATGGAGATATAGGCACTCTGGGTGGGGATGGACGTAGCTGAGTGCATATTTTACATGTACCTATCATATTTTCTATGGCTGCATCAATACCCGGAAACCAAACCCTAGCACGTGCTTCCGCTTTTGTTTTCACAACACCTAAGTGAGAATTGTGTAATTCGGATATCACCTTTAATCGCAAGCTCTCCGGTAAAACAATTTTATGACCTCGCATTAAGCATCCATCTTCCAAGGATAGCTGCGTTTTGCATGAAAAATATGGTTTTACATTAATATCATGGACCTTACTAGGCCACCCGTAAGTAATATATTTTTTTACTGTTTTTAGGATTTTATCCTTATGTGTTTCATCACGTAATATTTGGCGTGTAACAGGTAAGCTAGTATCCGTCACAAAGATAATGTAAGTTGCGCGGTCAAATGAGTCAGCGCCAATGCTTGCACTATCTTCCCTACCCGGCGTGTCGGGCAAGCTAGCCCGTGAAAAGAAATCGGCGCAATTTTCAGCGCTATGAATGTATTCTATACAATAATTATAGCCACTTAGAAACAACGCATACCTCTGCAACCTATTCGCAGACACTTCTGGAATACCTTTACGTGGGCCGAAAATAGCGATGAGCGGTTTATGATCGGTCCGTAAGGTAAATGGTTCTGATCTACCATATAAATATTGGTGGAAGCGGCGCACGCCGAAAATTATTGCGGTGGCCTCCTTCTGAATTTGAGAATAGTTTTTTTCTGCCGAAGTCAATGTGCGCGATGCAAAGGAAATAGGTCTCTCACCCCCGTCTTTATCCACCTGTGACAACACTGCACCGAGCCCGGTGGGTGAGGCGTCAACCGTCAGAATGAGTTTACTATGAGGATTAAAATGTGTAAGAACCTGGTCAGACGCCAAACAATTTTTTATTTGTGTAAACGCCTCATTGTGCGAACTCGACCAAACCCACTTAGCTCCCTTTTTCAATAAATCATATAAAGGGCTTAATATGCTAGACGCGTTTGGAACAAAATTTCTATAATAATTAACCAGCCCCAAGAAAGATTGCAATTTATTAACGTTCGTTGGGACTGGTGCATCCTGTATAGCCTTTACTTTATGTAGGACTTTTTTTAATCCCGACTTATCAATGGTGTACCCTAAATAGTTAATTTGTTCCTTAAAAAATTCGCATTTATCTTTCTGCACTATTAATCCCGCGTCTTTAAGCCTCTTAAATACTGCATGCAGTCTTTCAAGGTGTTCGGTTTCACTTTTACCTGTAATTAAGACATCATCTAAAAGGCATAAAACGCCGTCTAGTCCCGACAATATGCAATCCATTGCTCGTTGAAATATTGAGGGCCCACTCGATAGGCCAAAAACCAGACGTGTATATTTATATAACCCGCGGTGTGTGTTTATACATGTAATTTTCTGCGATTCTTCATCTAATATAAACTGATTATATGCCATCGATAAGTCAATTTTAGAAAAATGTTGTCCACCATGTAGTTTGGTGAATAACTCGTGTATTGTCGGCAATGGATACTGTTCAACTATTAATTGCTTATTTATACTCACTGAATAATCAGCACATATCCTAACAGAACCGTTGCGTTTTAATACCGGCACTATCGGAGAAGCATACTCGGAATGCTCAACCAAATTTACCAGACGGTCAATTTCATTGTCTATGTCTATGTCTATTTACGGTGGTAGGGCTTTTACGGTGGTAGGGCCACGCAGCAGCCTCGGCTGTTGCACGAATGGGCTGGCCCGTCCGGGTAAGTACCACGACCTCACAGAAGACCGGCGTAAAGTGGAAGTATGACAAATACTTTCGCGTTTCGTCTGGTGAGTGAGGTAGCCGGAGCCCAATTTTCAAAAGGTTGTCAACGCATCTGTAACCCTCGAGTGTAGCAGATGTCCATGGGCGGCGGTATTCACTTAACATCAGGTGAACCGTCTGCTCGTTTGACAACTTTTCGCATAAAAAAAAAATGTGGTTTTTTAATGAAAACGGTACGGGGCGAGCCTTAAAAATATCGGTTTCGAATTGGGTTTTAATAACAATTTGATTCTATATTTAGTGAACGCACCAAGTTTATCTGAAAATACTTCTGGATAAAGTCGTTGAAACGTTGACATTATATTTTCCGTGTTAGTTACGTAGTTGCATCTAACTAATTTCAATTTGAATACGGACATGAAGTCGCGACCTAATAACGGCGGGCCGCCGCCCGGCACTACGTAGACATTAAGTTCACTTGTATGTCCCGAGTACGCGAGCGAAACCTGTATTAGCCCAGACGCATTAATTTTGTTGCCGGTATATGTTATTAATTTTTTCCTAGTACGTTGCAGAGAGATATGTTTAAAATATATGTCGTACATATCTTTGGGGATTATCGTAACTGCCGAACCACTGTCTATTTCAAATTTTAACGGAATTCCGTTTACGGTCACCAACTCAGTTAAGGGTTCACCGCGTATAGACTGTATGTTAAACAACTTACCGTCGTCTCCACAGTCATCCACATCCCCGTAATCTACGTAGTTCACTTGACTGCACATTTTTTGTAAGTGCCCCTTTCTATTGCACTTCTTGCATTTATAATTTGCAAACCGACACTTTGTTGACACATGGTTGGAGCGACCACACACTGAGCGAGCACCTTGTCTTCCGGACACTGTTGCACGAATTTTCCGCGATGTTAAACAGCTGATCGGCTCGCGCTGCAGCCGTTGACCCCGCGGCGGCGGTGGACGCGGCGGTACGCGCACACCGCAGTGACTCCGCCAGCTCGACTGCCTTTGCCATCGTTAGGTCTGCTAGTTCCTGGGCAAATAACTTGTCACGTTCAGGTCCCGGCAACATACCCATTACGAATCTATCACGCAACGCTTCTTCTACATTGCTGAATGAACAGTGAGCTGTTAACCCGCGTAGTCTAGCAGCCCAATGTGTATGTGACTCGCCATCATGTTGTGTTGCCGAATAGAATATGCTTCTTTCACTAAACCCGAAGTTCTTTGGAGTAAAATGGGTGTCCAACAAGTACAAAATATCTTCGAAAGGAACATCTTGGATGTCCTTAGGCAGAGCAAGGTCCGACGCTAGTTGGTAGGTGCCGTCGGCCATTGCGCTCAGAAGTATCGCTCTTCTCCTCTCTCCTCGGACATCACTTACTGCTGTGATGTTATTTGCGATAAACCACTGCGTTAATCGACCTTTGTATGTCTTCCATGATTGTACATTATGGTCAAAAATCGACAAAATTCCGAACTGAGATGTGGCCATTTTTTATTTTTCTAACGTGGGTATTTGTAGATCCTCGTCGCCGCTGGTATGTACGCTGTAGGGACACGAGTGATACGACTGCTTGCTGTTAACACACTGATTTATTGCGTTATAGACAATACGCACGGGCGCAGCCGTGCACAGATATAACACGTGCACTTTTATTTCTAATTAAATACTTATATTTTTCGTTTCTATATACATATTTGTTTATGAGATCCAAATAAAACCTATTGTCTTAGAGTACAATTAAGCTATACAAGGTTATTGCTTATTCGACGTATTCCCGTTAGGAGGTGATATGGGTGACTATTTGGAATAATTTTAAACCCCTATATAGCCTTCAAGGAGGTCAAACATTTGATTTGTCAAAAAAAATTTCGTAAGTTGTAGCATTTAGATTGTTGAGTAAAAATGTGGTCCGATGAAATTTTCGTTAATTATTCACACCCACACATTGTCCAAAAAACGCCGATGCGATCATTTTGGCTTCTTTTTAACAGACTTCAAAAAGAAGGAGGTTTCTCAATTCAACCGTATATTAATTCCGTATATTCATTTCTCATTTTTATTTTTTTTATGTGTGTTCGCAGATAACTTCGTCGTTTATGAAACGATTTTGATGATTCTTTTTTTGTTGGAAAGGAGATAACCATGATAAGGAAACCCAAGTCTGATGTTGGCATCGAAGAGAAATCGAGGGCAATTCTCAACTGTTATTGGTATTACTAATGTTTTTTTTTGTTTGAAGTCGGTTTTTGCTTTGTTAATTATTACGATATTTACGTTCATTCTTCCTACATAATCGGACTGCCTTCCTACATAAATGCACTATAGATCACGCTTCCTATTGTGTTACGGAGAGTTGTGTGGCAACGTTCTTCTTCTTCTACCTGGTATTAATCTGTCTTCCTACATAAAATCCTCCACTTTGCCCGTTCAGTTTTGAGTTCACTTTAGCATAATGGATATGGGGGTTAAAATTATCGCAAATAGTAATAGTATTATTATTAGTAACCCTATTCACCTCCTAACGGGAATACATCGAATTACCTATTGGTAGTAAAGGGTTATTACCCTGTAGTTTGTGTTTTCAGCATCTGCAATTTTTTTTACTCCATAAAGTTTTTTTAAATAAATTCCACTAGTCACCTTATGCTGACAATACATATATATTAAAATACAAATGAAAATTATAAGCTTCAAAATATCACGACGAAATATTGCAAAAATTGGAAAACAAGTATATAGTACCACATACAAAACATCTTATGTTGCGATCATTAGCAATGTAACAGAAATCCATTACGTTCAAATTTCAATGCCTTATGTTTGAAATACGTATCTGAACTGACCTTAATGGTGTCGTTATTTCCTTGCAATAACTCAGGCAAATCTACGATTGAGTAAGACCGTCCTCTTGTCATGTTGTGCATTCCATACGAATAATCATTATGTGTTGTTATATGTTCAACATCAAACATAATGCCGAAACTTGCCGTACACTTAAGAGATGTCTGAAATAAAGAAAATACTTGTTTATTCAATAATCTATTTAAATTTCTCACTATAATTAAAAATATTAGTAACTTACATTTTTAAGGTCATCTGCGACGCAACTTATTACTACGTCGCATCCTTTTCCTTTCGTGGCTGTCAATACCATATCTCCAAATGTATGGTCACGCGAATAACCGATTTGATACTCTGTTATAACAAAAAAATGTAGTGATTTTTTTGTATCTGTATTTATATTATCTGTATTTTTTCATTTCCGTATTCTATTCTAAGGACGAAAAGAGTATCGTTGACTAAAGGAAAAAAGACTCTAATCAAAGGGTATCATACTAATTCTATCTTTCTTTAGACAATGTTTAATTTCTGCTTAGTTAATTTCCAATATGGAAGTTAACAGTAATTTGAAGAAATTATTGTAATATTGAAAGATATAAGAAAAAAAATCACCTTGAAGTTCTGGGAACAACTTTCGTAAGAACCGTTTTTTTCTGGCATCACTTACAGTTGTGAACACTTCGCAACCATTTCCTAGTGCAATTGATATCGCTGCTTGGCCTAAAGCCCCTGCACCGCCGTGTACAAGCACATTCATTCCACGAGAAATCTTATAGCCAATGCACTGAAAAAATATTTTTGGTACAATTGTTAACGTGGAATCATTTTCAGAACATATATTTATTTTTCGACAATTTTAAATTTCGAATTAAAAATGTGAGTATAACAAATATTCGGATCATGACTTCGATTACTTCCCAATATAAAAACTGTATTTTGGTTTAACTTACGAGGCAGTAAAAGGCTAAACTGTAAGCAAGAGGTACAGTTGCAGCATCTTCAAGGGACCAATATTGTGGAACGGGCCACAGCAGTTCGGGTCGCGCTAGTACTCGTGAACTCACAGCACCGCCGTTGATAAGGCCCATCACACGATTCCCTCTAATTACCCGAAAAAATAAATAAATTGCAACGTCACGCAAATTATAATAATTGGTGAACTAGCCGATTTACTACTTGGCTTAGTAACTTGAAGATCGAATCTTGATCTGTATCCCAATGCTAGAACTTGTGGCACTTTCCCCGTTTGGAACATTTTAAGCATAAAAAAGGGATATGAAAAGTTTAGTTGCAAATTTGCAAAAAAAATACAGTAAACTTTTACATAATTAATAAACTCTTAACTTCTTCCGACAGAAACTATATTACAAGCATCAATATATATAAAAAATCACTTCAAACACACAATAAACATACAAGATAAAAAACAGGCGAAAGAAACACGGTAGATATTTTCTTTTTTTGTCATTTTTTCCCTCACAACATTAAAAATATTATACAACTTTTTTTATTTTAGAAACAGCTTAGAAGCGATCACCTCATTCCCAGGGTCATTAAGTAATTAGTATTAAACCTTCTTATAAAGTTTTTCTTTGATAAATTTGTTAAACTATGTTAGGCAGACTTTGCGCGATTACTGATTTTGTTATAGAAATGTATGTACACCGCCGCATGAGCGAGTTACTTACTCTATCGAGTCTAATTACTGGCGTTACAAGCTCGTGTTTCTTTCTAGTACTTATGTACATCAGTATTCTTATTAAAATTATTAATATTTCTACATACATACATTAAACTTTCATATAGAGGGTGGCTTTTCTAAAGGAGCCCAAATTTAAACAAGAGGTTCAGACTTAGTAGTATAATCGTTTATCGAAATAAAAACACTTTTTTTTTTCAAAGAAAAAATTTCATTCTATTTCCTAAATTTAATTTTAAAAAATGCATATAGTTAGAAAAGCCTCACTGTGTATATTGAAAGACCAAGGTTAATACATTTATTTCATTAAATTTTTCTTTCAGAGATGCTAGATTATAAATTGCTTTTATAGACGTTTTTTGCAAAATAAAAATTGTTTCTATATCGGCTGCATGACCCTTATAGCAAAATACCATATGATATTATGCTATAGAAATAACTAAAATAAAAAATTCTAGCTGTTTTAACATCTTATTTTCCTTATAGCATATGCTGCAGTATTTGGTTTATAAGCAAGTTTGGATATATTAATATCCCTCTAATTAGCCCCCAAGCGTCATTGAAGCTTTAGATCAAAATTTATTACAAGAAAAGCAGTCGTATCCCTAATGCCTAACTCTTCCTCATTTATAAGTAAACTTTTACTACTGTTGTTATGTTTAATATTGGGAGTCGAAATTTTATACATTTAGTTTTATTACCATTTAATAGTAAATTTTTAGCCTTAACCCAATGAACGAAACCACGAATAAATACCACGATTTAATAGAATCTCTTGCGGGAGCTCAATTTATCAAAAAGTGGCAAAGCATCTACAACCCTTGGGTTTTGCAAATGTTATTGTGCAGTGGTTATCACTTAACATCATGTGAACCGTCAGCTCATTTGCCACCTTCCACATAAAAAAATACAGATCATACATAATTATATTTCATACAAATAACGAATAAGTCAGTTAGTCGGTTAAATATGAGAACAGAGCTTGTCAGTCAGACCCAATGTTTACCCTGCTCTCCGTTGAATTTTCAGGGATTAAATTTTTACTGTGTATTACGTAATACCTTTTGGTTACTCCACTGAACTCCATTCCATATTTGTTGTTATTTTTATTTGATGGTAAAGCACCCTCAAATCTTTGAATATCTATTTTATTGATTCCTGCGTAGTGTACCTAAAAGTTCAAGTTACGAAATATAATTGAAAGAATATGTATCGTTGAAATTATTCAATGTACTTGAAATTAAAATGTTTAAGTCCTATAAATATACATACTATCACTTCCACACCAGAGCCGGTTAAATCGGGCATTTCAGTCCAATGCAGGGAGTTGAAATCACCCATTCGGGAAGTTTGAAGTGTTATATCAGGCGTTGAGCCTATTTTTAGTTGCAAAGGTACAAAGAACTCGCCGCCCCATCGTCCCTGCAAATAAAAAATAAGGTACAGTTAAAAGTACGATGAAATTTGTGAAATTTTATCATTATATATATAGAATTACTATGCCTGTAATTTACTTACGTTATCGAATATGTTAAAAGTTAAGTTAACATCTGGTAATTGGTCTATAAATTGGTCTTCGCTATTTTTATTAATCATAAGCACATAAATTTCAACGTGATCCTTTCTCCACTTTTGCACGAATTCTTTAAGTCCATCGATAGGAGGGTAAGATGTCAAGATGATAAATTTGTGTTGCTGAGGTAATGTTGCTAGCGTAGAAGATATCGTAGCAAGATCAGAGGATGAACGCAGTGTATAGGTACTTGCAGCGACCGCAGAAGATGTTGGTCTCCAACGCACTAGTTCCAAACGGAGACCATTAACATTTTGTGCACTAACAACATGGTAATGGGTTGATATTTTTTTTTTAAATTCTGTACCATCTTCTATATTCACCAAAAACATGTTAGGACAAAGTATACGATGTAGCGCTTGGCATAGCTGAAAATAAATAACGTAGTATAAATTTAATTCATAGAAAAGTTCACGTAAAATAGATAAATGAAGTAGTACCTTATCATCCTTAGACAAATTTGAAACAAGTAATAAATCAATATTATTAAGCATGCTTGCTCGTTCTTCCAAAATGTTTTCTCTAAATAGGATGTCATGATAAATTTTGACAAAAGGTATTTTATTGAGGCCATTTAGGACGTTCCCGAAATTTGATCTCTCTGTCTTACGATCAGATAATTCTAAAATATTAATGGACGTTCTGTTGAGATTCTCGGCAACGATTTGCAAAAATACCAGTAGGGATGTCGTTATCTGGAATATGTATAAAAACCTTTTTATTTTATATCGGGCTATTGGCTTGACCGGAAACTTAATTATAAAAAATAGTTTTTACTAACATCACCCTCATTCGGCTCGAAGTAAGGAACAAACTTTAATGTCATTAAATTGGGTTCAGCAATTAATGCGGGCAGTTTACGAAATGTAACATCTTCAATAACAATGCCTCCACACCTGAAATACATGATTAGAAAGTTTTTAGTATCAACAGAACTAATATTATGTAAATAGGACAGTTTTTTTATATATCCTTTCGTTTCTATGGAAAGTAGTAGTCCTTTATAGACCTAAAAGGCCGAAACGAATACAAGCGTACAGCTTTATAGCTGGGTTACGAAACCAGTAAAATATTTTTTCTTTTAAACAGAACCAACAAATAATTAGGTTACACCATAAGCACATGAGAAAATTCTTGTTATTAAACGTTTTAAGCCAATAAATAATATTCACTGAACATTAATTGTTTATTTTGTTTTTTAAAATTTTTACCAATTTAATATTTATCGTATTAAGAAAACTTGTATATAACTAACCTAATCACATGATCTATCTCGGATATTTGTGTAGTCATGACTGCTTCTTCGCCTATCGGAATCATTTGGTTATTGTGGTTTTCTATATCAATTGTTATTTTTCTTATGCGCATGGGTTCTGCCACGAAGTCATGAGGGTATTTTAGAGCATTAAGCTGCAGCATGCCATCAATGAGGGTCACCCAGTTATTTCGCCAGTAAATCAATGCGTTAGTCAGTGAAGTGTTTGCACTATGAATACTTCTAAAGTCATCTCTAAAAAAACAAATGTGAATACAAGCCTTGTAATCATCATCTCTAAACTAAATCTATTTTAAAGATTAGATAAGGATTTAAAGATTAGATAATATATCACCAACGCATTGTTATTCTTTCTTCAAGTGATGTTTAGTTGTTTTCGATCGATAATATGAAATGGATTATATTACTGACCTGTATTCATAACCTCTTTTGGATAATAATTTATAAATATCTTGAGATTTTAGATCTAAATCGTCAGTTAAAATAGGTTCTGTTACTAATACTTTGGACTCAGCTATCTCACCCCCAATATAACCAGTGACGACTTTAACCTTATTGTCCATAACCTGTGAAATCAACATAAATCATGTTTAATCATTAATAAACAGTATGCTTTGCTCGCAATAGATCACCAGAAACGATTAAGACCTTAAGGCTACATTAAAACTACTTAGATAGTGAAAGTATAATTGAAGATACATTTGACATGGCACTTACTTCAAAACGTCCAGTTCCTCTCTGTAAGGATACAGTAAGACGTAACTGACGCTGATCGTGCAAAGTTGGTTGAGAATGAAGTTTCAGATCACGGAATTGAACTGATAATTGTTTTTTGGGAACTGAAGCTGTCATTGCTAGAACATCCCAAGCAGCCATCAATGCAGCGGTAAACGGGAATAATTTCTTTCCTGTCAAAAATGTTTTTATTTATTTAAATCTTATTTCATTACCTTCGAGATGAAGAACAAAAAAATGTGAACTTAATTCTTTAATGCATCCAGTACCATTCAGATAGTACTTGGAATTAACAAATTCACACCACTGTGTTTATTTGTTAATTCCGAGTACTTATCGAATAGTAATAGTTTAACAGTGGTAGGGCCACGCATCAGTTCGCTGATACACGAATGGACAGGTTCGTCCGGGGAAGTACCACGACCTCACAGAAGACCGGCGTGAAGTAGAAGTATTATACTTCTGTGTTTCGTTTCTTGAGTGAGGTAACCGGCTCCCCCTTCATTAAAAGGTAACTCAAGGTAGGCTCCTTTGCAACATGCATTGTCTCATAAAAAAATCGAGTAGCAAAATGGATTTTAGTGTCTTAAATTAATATAAGTAATAATTTCATAGGATTTCAATAAATAACAGGTGTCATGAGAAGGCAATGTAAAATAATTCATTAAAAAAATTTCTACCCCATATTACACCCCATTTCAATATTAGTGATTCAATATTTCATGTTGTTTTATTGTAATACGTAGTGAAACATGAAGTATTGACCATATATCGGCCTGATTTATTTCTTGGCCACTTGTCAGCATTTCCGCAGTTTCTCAAGACTTGACCCATAATTATTATTGAGAAGTCAAACCTAATACTTTTATTTGAAAATAATTTCTTAGCCTATTTGAAAATCTGTGTGGGTTCTCTCAAAGAATAAAAGAAAGCTAAGAAGAGGGAGAAATATGTAGCCTAGTTGAATAAGACTTTAACAAACAATTTTGGTCAAAGTTTGTTATTTTTGTTACGTTAGTTGGATATACAAGCAGTAACACACTATTTCAATGATATGTATATATACCTAATACATAATTTTTTATTTATTTTTTCGTCAAACGTCACACACCAAAAAAGTAAATAGTAATTTCTAGTTACCTCGTACAACATTCCCTGTCAAGTATTTATTTTCCACATCATGTATCGAATAAATTAATGTACAAGAAGCTGTCAATTTCCTATGTGCAGATAAATAAAGTGGTACATTCCTGTAAAATATTACTGTTATCAACAATCCATTTCATTGCTACGTGATTTTAACCAGATAAGTTAATCTTACCATTTATCATGGTGAGCCCATTCCACCAAATGTGATAAGAATGGAGTTTCCGTAGAAACAGGAAATTCAATTTGGGGATAAAGTACTTGTACTTTAGGATTGTATCCTTCCATGTAGAGCCTGAAAAATACTCGGAGAGTTCAGAGAACATACGGCAACCGTTTAGCTGATGATAAAACGATTATAGGCTATTTCATGATTTATTTATTTCGAGAAATATTACCGAAAACATATTTTGGAACCAATGACCCATTATGATATTTTTGCTACTTTTTAATGCTATACAATTTTGTCAAAAAAAAAACCACCTGTTTTTACTAAATACAGCGCCTTAAGGTATAGTTATGTATAAAGGAGGAAATAGAAGTGTTTTAGGTGGAAATTTTTATAAAGACTTTTACTGACTTCCCAATTGCTTCAAGTAAGTGTTGTACAATATCAGGATGTCCGCGACGTGTAAGCGACACATGGCTGCAATCCGATAGGGAACGTTTCAAAATAGGTTGCAGTAAGCCGTGCGGTGCAACTTCTACTACGACAGCGTTAGAAGGAATATAACGAGAAGTCTCTTCGAAAAGCACCGAATTCTATGAAAATAAAAATATTACAATTTTAATGAGAGTAAGTGACTGTTTAGAGGTTGGGACATAATGTGGATATTATAATATCGATGTATTACATATTATGTAATCTGCGGTATTAAGGTCACTAATAAGTGAAGTAATAAATTTTTCACATTTTTTCTTTTTCTTTATTTCTTAGGTGAAACATTCACTTTCAATTTGTGTCAACTGTGCGTTACAAGGAAGAATGAAACGTGATCAAGGCACAACACCTGTTAAAGTTAAGATTCGAATGTAGTATATACTTAGTGTGACATAACTTACAAGATTTGAAAGTCTTTAGAGAAATAAAAATATCAAATGTAAAGATTATTGTTCTTAATATTTTTAATTTACATAATATCTGTCTGGTCAGTCTTGTTTAATATGTGTATGCATAAAGGATAACTTACTAGTAGATTATTGTATGATATTCGGCCGAGGACAACCTTGCGATGGGCTCCTGCCATTTTTCCCGCGGAATTGAAGTCGAGAGCCATTTATTACTACGTGGTTTGGGGCATTTGATGACTTGACTTAAATATTTCAAAAGTTCAGGACCTTAAAATTTATTTAGTCCAATAAAATTACATTAATATTATAACGGAAAGAAGAAAATGAATAATGGATTGGTTTAATTTTAGATTGCGTTCCTTATTTTCTACTTGTCCTAATACTGCTGTTTTCTTTATCCGGGCTTCTTTCTGTATATGCATATATTATGTTACGTAATTTATCCCAGTTTCTCTCGACTTTTGAAATACTTTGTAGCATATATGTTTACGAACCGGACCGGGAGTTTAACGATCGGTTGTTAATGTTGTCGTACTTCGGGCTACCGTCACAAACAAAATTTTAGTTAACTCGTGTCAAATGTTAATCTGTATGTTGATTCCTTTCGGTGCTAATTCGGACTAGGAATAAAATATGTTGTTCTAGTGTGATTGCTCGTATTTTTAATAAAAGCAATCACATCAACCTACTTTACGTGTACTTTAACAAAAGATTAACGGTAGATATTTAAAGACATTTTATATTCGATACTTATTCCGAGTACACAGTGAAAGTATTAAGAAAATCATTGGCATCTACTTGTCTTATGATATTATTGAATAAACTTAAAGCAAAAACTCACCTGCGTCCGCTATATACCGCGAGTGATACGCAATATTCGAACACGGCACCTCTTTTGCGAATATTTGCTTATCAGTAAGCTCAGCGACGAATTGTTTCATTATATCTGCTGGACCGGATATTGTACAAGATTCTGAACTGTTATGACACGCTACTTCGATTTCCGATGGGCACATAGTTAACACCTTAACAAAAAAGGAGAAGCAATGTTTTAAGAAAACCGATTAATGAAAGGTCATTCATTATATAGTCTTTTATTACTTTTTATGGTACACAAACCTGTTTGTATCCAAGGCCAACGGCAGCCATTGATCCTCTAATAAAAGGAGTTTGCAGTGAAACAAGCCCGCGATAATAGGCCGCCAATATCATTTCTTCAGGTGTAAAGCAGCCATCCGCATATGCACATCCTAATTCACCAACACTGTGCCCTAAAATTATATTTTTTTTCATGAAACAACTTTGTAAATAAGTATAGCATTTGCTTTTTGTATACGCATAAGAAAATGTATGCAAATGCATTATTTGCTGTAGTCTGTGTCTTGTATTGTCTTGTATAATGTGCTGGTTAAGATATGCTTATGAAGGTCATGTTTACGGAAAATACAAGCGTGTTATATTTATCTACAACCCTGTACATAAACGCAAACTATGAGAACACCGCATATTTTTTACATCATAGGTACATGTTTCAACATGGTTTCCATGACGGAGTTTTGCTGACCATATGGGAAAAGCGGACGCCGTGGACTAGAAGCGACGGGTGGTGTCAAGCGACACTGTAATTCACCGGAGATGCTTCCTTCGGATTTGATTTCGTTTCCAACAACGAACGGACAACATAGACGTAGCTTAGCCTTAGATATTAAACTAATTTTTATATTGTAATAATCTACAACCTTTCGGTTATCTTTAACACCAGGAACCGCCAGCTCCGTTGCTACCATCTCACATTAAAAAAACTTCTTAAGGTTATTTCATGATTTTATTTCTAACGAGAACAGACTGTATTGAATTCAATGCCCCATTAGGATGTAAGATCAAAATTAACGTTTTTTTTGCTACTTTAAAATGTACAGATTTTGTTAAAAAGACGTTGCGAAACCTGTTATTACTGCTCCCTATACAGTCTTAAATATTAAAATTTGTAGAAAAATTGACGAAATGCCAAAAAAAGAATGTAGATAAAAAACGTCGAGATTTTCGTTGGCATGGCAAGTAATCGTTTAGCTAGCGTCTGCGCGCGCTTTTGGAAAACATGGGTTCGATTTCCGCGGATTTTTCTTAAAAATTTACTAACAGGTTTATTAGAATTACCTATTATCTATTACTAGGTACTTATCTATTTTTCTTTATATTAAAAAAAATAATACTCTCTGACGTTCAAATTTAAATAGTAAGAATAAGTATTGTTGTAAAATTATTACCAATAATGTTATCTGGGACGAGACCCAATTCCCGCAAAATATCAGTAAGTCCAATTTGAATGGCAGCTATCCCGACGAATGAGTGGAGTATGTTGTCGAACATTGTTTTATCCGAAGAAGTGATAATTTTGACAATATCCACACCTTTGGGCGCCAGCACTCGATTGCAACTAAAATGTCAATCCAAAAACGCAAATCAGTCATTTTTAAACTACCGTAACATTGTATCTTTGGTCCGTAAATAAGTACGATAGAGAGAACCAACCGACAAATAGTAGACTTACATATCTTAAACCCACAAAATTTTGTAAGTTACGTTATATTTTTAAGCATCTAAATATAAACTTATCCGGCCATTACTGTCGCGTCATCGACAGCAGATGAAGAAGGAAGGCCTAGATTGGTTAGAAAGAAGGAGCTTTTATAAGGTGGTTGAAAGGAGCTGGAATAGGACAGGGGAGAACAACTTGTAGTAGAATTCATTAGAGAATATCTGTACCCAGCAGTGAATTGATATAAGCTGATGATTATGATGAAACCAACTCATTTATCGAAAAATCCTTAGCTCAAAGTAAAAAAGGAGTATACATAAGAATATAATACATTAATAACGATAGAAAAGTGTAAGTTAATGAAAATAATATATACCGTTCGATAGCGCTTGCAAAGATTGGTATGCGCATGAGCTGTGAACCCATGCCAACCCACTGCGACCCCATGCCGCTGTAGACGAACCATAGGGGACGTTGTGAATCATCAAAATATTCCGCCCTTTCACATAAGCTCACTGTTTGCTGATTTTGGTTCGTATCTGGTTGTATGAGAGACAATAATTTAATTTTTTTATTTTTCTTGAAGTAGAACTTCTAAATCAAACGGACGAAATGTTATCTAATGTGTTTATTAAATAATCTTTTAACTTCCGTTAAAAAATTTATAACATATGCTAGTAAAAGTAAAGGAACAGCTATACATGTCCCACTGCTGGGCAAAGGACGTAAGTCGTGGACTATGCCCTGTTACTCTCTATACAGAGAGTAACAGGACTCTCTATACAGAGAGTAACAGGGCATAATCGGCGGACTTCACATATCTTCGAAATAAATATATTTTTTTGTTATTATTTCGAAAATATGCAGGTTTCCTCACGATATTTTCCTTCACTGCGGAGCACGTGATATGTCAGCACTTAAAGTTAAAAACTTCATTGGCGTCGGCACCGGGGATCGAACTCAGGTTGTTCGAGTATATTGACTTAAAGGCGAGCGCCCGGACACTGAGCTATCGCGGCTCTATAATATACAGGGAGAATTTCATAAGTGTATCCATTTTTTTATTAAATTCTAGACATAAATAATATTATATAAAAAATGATGAATATATAAAATCACTCGTAATTAATTATTTACGTTCATTGGAACTTATCTCAAAATTTATTTCACGCGTGATCATTCATAACTAACACGCACACAAGTTCGTTTCAAAAGTATACGACGCATTTATTGTCATAATTTTCTGTTAATAGAAAATTATGACAAGTTTGCTGGTAGAGAACTCTTTTTAGGCTCTTGTTAAGCTTGCTTTTGTACGTTTTTTTAACCTTTACTTCGTTTTCAATTTTATGTTGTGTGCAAGAAAGAATAAAGAAACGAAGAAAGAATATTTGTAAGGCTGGATCATACCTAGAATTGTAAATCCTCTACCCAAATGACCAGAGATTCTAGTCTGATGAATGTTGTGCAATAAAGCAAGCTCCTCTGGATCAATGGGGCGAGACTTTAAATAATCTAAGATATTTTTAACGGAAAAATCTTGCCTTGCCGAGATGGTGACCAAATGCGGTATATTACACTTATATCGGGTCAGATCCTGTAATGAAATATAACCGTATAATTTACTTTTTACAATTTAAGCTGCCGTAAAAACTGATAATTTTTTTTATTATTTTTTCATTAACCCAGTAACATATAAAAATGAGAACTTGTAGAAGATAAATAGACATAAACCTTGGGTTTGTAATGACCATGCAACAGTACATGAGCGTTAACGCCAGTTATAGCTAAGCCATTAACAGAAGCGTAGGTTCGACCGAAGGGTTGGTGCTCGGTAAGTATACGCATTCTTCCATCACGTAATGCAGCTACATCGCGTCTCGGATTATCACAGTTCAGATTGGCAGCCAAAACACCTTTATGATAACCCAAGATGACCTGAAAAAAATGCTCAATTATATACAGCTTAAAACTTCACTTCAACAATTTACATTCTTCTCGAATATGGTGTATAAAAATCTTGTCAATTTTTATAAAAAAAAAAGAAACACGACGCATTTAATTACTTTCGTCACTGCAGAAATGCCCGATGCAGCTTCTCCGTAACCGATATTAGACATGACACTGCCAACAAGCAGTTCGCTTTTTCTATTTTTGCAGAACACAGCATCTAGTGACTCCAATTCAGCTTTATCAGCTTCAGGTACCGCTAAAATTTTAGAGTAAAGTTATATTGTTACATATCTGCGCCAATATGCAGTTAATACTAGAATTATGGTTTTAACAAATACAATATCAATGGGCTGCGTTTATTACTTAACATCAGGTGAACTGCCTGCTCGATTGCCACCTTCTCACATATTTTTTTTTATTTATTTATGTATTTGTTTGAATGCGGTATAAAATATTTTGACAATCATATAATACGGTTCAATCATATTCAACCATTTCTGGTATACAAAATTCAAAGTTACATTCCATACTTATCTTTAGTATTATTTTTTTAGTTAAGTTTGTCACAATTTACTTCATAGATGATAACAAAAACATTGGGTAATGTATTGTTAACAAACATCAAGAATTAATTGATTGATTTTTTTTTATTTTCTATAGACCCTGAAATTATGCTTATATTTATAGTACCTGATCCAAAAGCTTCGACATATTCAACAAATTGAGGTGATACTCTTGCTTCTTTATAAAAATTGTTAAGAAATTGAACCGCATCCACTGGGTCACGGTAGAAGCCGTATTTCGGTCCAGTTCTATCCGCCAATAGGGAATTGAACTCAGTTTTTACGTGAATAACATCAGCGTAAATTCTGAAAAAAGACATGTTATTTGCGAAATAAATAGAATTATTGTATTGCAAACAACGGCACCATCTCTTAAGCGGCCCGATGATGAAATTTCAAAGTTCATCGTTTGGCCCGGTTAATAGAAGGGTTCTTAAAAATTTGAGTTGTTCTCGAAATGGTCCTAAATGGTCAGTGATTTTTAGGTTGGGATAGGGACGTCCTTGAAATTTTAAACTCCCTGTAATTATTTTTATTTGTTAATCAAATATTGCAAGCTTCTGACCAATTGTGTGTTTTTCGTAACTTTCTGGGATCTTGATACTGCAAAATTATTATTTTGAGGTGCTCATAAGACAAGAAAAACTTAGATTTTTTAAAAATTTTCTAATACTTAAATAGCATTGAGCAATTATCAAAATTAATTGACTAATTGTGACCAATTGAAAAACTATTTCAATTGGCTTGTCTTTAGCTAAAGGATTAATTTGAGCCACAAAATTTTTCCGATCACCATATAATTTTAAACTCTCTGTCTTTAGTTACAAAGTATTGACATTTTTCTAAAAATCACTGACCATTTATTTACGCTACCTTTATATAACCAATTCGGACACTATATTAGATGACGCTGCAAACAACATATATTCCTATTAAAAACTGACTTGAAATAGCTTACTAGTTACAAATTTTCTATTTGATTTTGAGGAGTTCCTTGCTGTATCTCTGGAGTCCAAACTCCGATATCAATGAAGTTAATATGGAAGCTTAACAGAACCCAATACAAATAATTCTTAAACTCGGTTGTTAAATGACTGTTTTCTGTGGTACAAACAAAAAATACTACTGGGAGAACAACCACAAAAAATATTTCGGTTCAGTATGTACTACCATTTTATTATAATTAATTTTATAACAATATATTGATGGGAAAAATTCGATAAAATAAATTCAATTTTAGAAATACTTGGCGGGCCGCATAATCTTATTTACCGGCCGCAAGCGGCCCGCGGGCCGCGCCTTGCTCATCCTTGGTTTAAAGCACTGTGAATTTTGTAACTTTTGGGTAAAATTATTGGTGTCATACAGAACATTATATAATAAACAAAACATTTTTGTTAAAATTTACAAATGAGCTATTACCTACCGTAGAGCATCTTTAGCTTTCTGGAGGAATAAGACATTGACAGCTTCAGACTTGGTACAGCCAGAAGCATTTTCATCAAACGATTTTGTTTTTCCATCCATGCTTATGGACATAATCCTGAAAAAGAACGACCATAACTATGCATTTAATTCTACGTATCCTTTTTGAAGTAAAACCTTTGGCTCGATCTGAAAATTAACTCAGATCTTTTTTGGATGGAAACGCTTTAAAACCGTGATAAAGTTAAGTAGAGCAAGGGGGGAGGGGAAGGGAGAGCTCAAGTTTTCTTAAAAGCATGATAGGAACAAAGATCTTTTGAAACGAAGATCTTCTGAACAAGATAGAGCGCCTTTTTAATAATTACATAAGACATATCTTCAATCTTAGAAAACATGGTCATATCTCCCTATATCTTACACAGCTTAGATGACTTACTACTGTGTACTGTATAAAAAAAAGTCTATTCTCTAGAATTATGCCTGTTCTTTTCTCGATTTTAAATGATCTAGCTTGTCCGTTACATCTTAAAGATAATTTTCAATACCTTTCGTTAAATAGTGATAGGGCTCTTCGATCTTCATCTAATGAGAAAATTAGAATTCCTCAAAGTGCTTCTACTTTCTAAGGTCTTTCTACTTTCTAATACTGAAGACATACGAAGAGCGCCCGACTAACAGGGCCTCATTCAAATACATGTTACGGGACCATTATTTAAAGAAGGATAGAATTAGGGTTGTTGTATAGTTACTTCAAAATACTATAAATATACATCTTTATATGTATATATATTTATAGTATACAGGGTGGCTTTTCTAAGTGTATTCATTTTTTTTATTAAATTCTAGACATAAATAATGTTATATAAAATGATAAATATTTAAAATCACTCGTAAGTAATTAATTACATTCATTAGAACTTATCTCATAAAGTGCGTGATTTATACGCAACTCGTTTATTTTACGCGCGTTCATTTATAACTAACACGCACACAAGTTCGTGCACAGTAAAATTTAGGTATTTATGAATGACTACCGCATTGTCAACACGTTCTGTTTTTTAGGGAATAGAATGGCATTTTTTTTTTTTTGGAAAAAGCTTTGTTTTTAATTTCAATAAACGTTTATACTACCAAGTCTGTCTCTACAATTTTAACTGTCGTTTTTTGTTAAAAATCTGTTATTTTTTTATTTTTTTTATATTTCTTTCAGTCTTAAGACAACTACTGTACCAATCCTTTGTTAGCTTTGAATTTAATATAATGATTTTTTTAGCTGTTTTCAATATAATATCTGTTGAATGTCGTTTCACCTGTAATTGAGCTACCATTTAGTTTAAGATACTATGTACTTATTTATGTTATAAGTATGTTTTGATATGTATCTTGTTGGTGAAGTAAATATTATAAAAAAACTACGATTTAAGGCTCGCAGTTCCCGGTGGTTGCACTATTCCAGGTCATGGTAGCGGTTATGAAAACGGTGTGACAGTGGGCGCTTAGAATCCCCGGGATAAGGAAGGGCACCATAAGCGGTGCTACTTGGCTACATTCAACGGACGCTCTTTGCAGTTGAACCTTGCTGAACTGAAAGTAGAGCTAAGTCATATTAAATGGCACATAGTGGGTGTATCGGAAATCCGAAGACAAGGAAGGCGGAAATACGATGGCACTAGATGCTGATCACTTGCTCTACTTCCAAGAAGAACATCAACAATAACAAGGTGGCATTGGATTTCTTATACACAAGTCGGTCAGAAACAGCGTCGTAGAGTGAGAGATCTAGATCTCTATCTCATGCTCAACAGCCTGAATGACAAACAAGACAACAGACTTCGAGATAAGTGGGTCTCGGTATGAAACTTGACAGCTTGAAGTACACATACATATTGTTTAGTATCAGTTAGTTTCATTGCACTTCATACAATATTGAGCTATAGCTACAATATTTTATTCTGTTATGTTTTAATATTATTTTTTATTTATAGGTGGTATCAAGACATTCATTCAAGAGTGTAAGTATATGTAGGAACGGCTGGTAATTTTGACAACAAACATCTACAAGTTTAGTCAGATGTAGCACCTTAACGGGTAATGCGTACGCAAAACAACAACTTCAAAAGGGTAGGATAAAATTTCAAAAATATTTAATAATATTCAATAAATATTTTAGGACACATTTTTAACACAATATTCTCTAGTGCCAAACCAAGCAATGCTTGTACTATGGGTACTAGATAACTGAAAAACATACTTAAATATAATTCTCTTTTGTAAATAAATACATACATACTATACATCATTATATAAACACCTAGAAACTAGAAAAACACTATGATCATCACGCCATATTTTTCCAGAGTTGGGATCGAACCTACACCGTCCGACGCGGGAGGCAGGTACACTACCCACTAAGCTATTCGGGTCGTTAAACATATCAATTGATAATTAATCTTTATTGTTCTAATATTTACAAGATTAAATCTATCTAATTACATATTATCTAATAAACCTAATCCACGCGGCATAGTGCCAAGAACGCTAGCTGCATTTCCTCACTGAATAGTTATGCTTGGAATGCTTGAATGCTTATTTTATATCAGTTTTTATTATTCTTCTCCGTTATGTACACATTGCAAATACCACAAGCCATTGTATTTCTCATGACTGTGCTAATCATTTAAGGCATTTAATAATTATATAAATGAAAATCATCAATTAGACTGCTAAATAATTAGTCCTATAAATAGAAACTTAAACTCTGAATCTATTCAAATTTGTAGAAAAAGTATGAAAAGATTGTCGCCGCTGTGGGAAACGAACCCACGTCTTCGGCATTCGCAGCCTGACGCTTTAGCCACTAAGCTAAACGGCTGATTACCACAGCGACGAAAATCTTAACATATTTTATCTACATTGTTTTTTAGCGTTTGAAGCAATGCTTTGCGCATCCATTGTCATATGCTTGCCAGCATACAAACAATTTCGAAATTTTAATGTTTAATCTTAAATGCAGAGATTAGCACTTCAAGAAAAGAAATTAAATCTATAAATCTATCTTTATATACACGATAACATACGAATATTATCAGCTTGTGAATGTCACCTACGTCTACCCATTCAATGTTTTAACTGCAACAATACTTGCCGTATTGTGAATACAATACAAAAGTAAAAATTAAATACCTTCCGTAATGTACGGATGATTGTGGATGCAAGCAGACGTTGCCACCGCCGACGATTGCCGCCTCGCAGTCACCGCGACTGAGAGCCAAGTAGGCTTGCTCTAGCGCCGCTATAGAGCTGCAGCATGATTGGTCGATCGACATCGACGGACCCTTAGCGTTCAGCCAGTAAGAAATGCGGTTTGCAAACATTGATTTGTTGCATCTGAAAATTACTTAAAGATAGCATCGTTGTAACGTACTAAATATTAATTTACGAAGTAAATGTATATTTACTCCATTATATATTTTTATAAAAATATAACAAAATTTAAAGACACTATTCGACCATTTGCGAATAGTGTTTCACCACTGCTTTAACCACTAAGCCAAACGGCTGGTTGCCACATATGGTTTGAGTCAGGTCACAACTTTGGTACCAGTTTAGTTACATTTCCTGGCACATTGTTTTAAATAAACCACATAAAATACGATAAATGTGATTAAGATCATGGATTCATAAAAGAACTTACCCAGCAATACCGAAACCAGTTTTTTTTTCGGCAACATAAAAACAGCTTTTTTCACTTTCGGAGAAGCAAGTACCAACGTAAACTCCAACTTTTTTCCCGGATAATTGCTCTGGGCTCACGCCTAGTAAAATGTAATGAAATAACTGCAGCATAAATAGACAGGTAGCAAAAACTAACGTTAAATCAGAAACTCCAGTTAAAGATCGAACTGAATTAATATTAAAGGTACTTGGTTTGAATTGTTTTAATCTAGCACGTATGCTCAAGTATTGACTATCCAATGTTTGCAGCAGCAAACAAAGTTAAAACAAATAAATACTGCATGTGTCAAATGTTACACACATCAGAAAAATAATTTAACTTTTTAACCGACTTCAAAAAAGGAGGAGGTTTCTCAATTCGACCGTACATGTATTCTTTTTATGTGTGTTCGCGGATAACTCCATCGTTTATGAACCGATTTTGGTGATTCTTTTTTTGTCGGAAAGGAGATATCCAAAGAGTGGTACCATGATAAGGAAACCCGGATTTGACGATGGCATCCCAGAGAAATCGAGGGCTATCATTTAATGTTCTAGGTATTAACAATGTTTTAAATTTTCTGATTGAAACTTTGGTTTTTTTTTTTGTTAAAAATTATACTTGTTTAGTATCATGACGCACCCGCATCATAGATTGCTTGATACGCCTGTTCCAGTATCTTGCGAGCCATAGCATCCATCGAATTCCCGAGCAGGTAGTGCACCTTGAAGAATTGGGCATCGAATAAGTCAAGATTTGGCACTTTGCCCAAGTACTGAGCTACTTCTGGATGATTGTATATCCAACGCGGAGTTGGCGAAATGGGGTTTTTCTGCACAAAATAAATTTATAGTTTAGTCATGAGTAATTTTTTAGAAACAACTTTTATATACTTTTATATTTTTATTGTCTTCGTATACAGGCTTTTCTAAAGGTGCCCAAATTCACACAGGAGGTTCAGATTCGGTAGCATTATCGTTTATGGAAATAAAAACAAACATTTTTCTTTCAAAAAAATTTCCATTCCATTCCCTTAAAAACAGAACTTGTTGACAATGCGGTAGTCATTCATAAATGCGTCGTTTACTTTTGAAACGAACTTGTGTGCGTGTTAGTTATGAATGATCGCGCATAAAATGTATGAGTTGCCCTTAGATCACGCACTTTTTGAGATAAGTTCAAATGAATGTATTTAATTAATTAGAAATAAGAAAGAAAGAAAGAAATATATTTATTTGGTACATAAACGTAATAAACACATAAAAGACATAAACACAGTAATTTAGTTACAAAGAGGAAAAAATATTAGTGTTTAATTAGTGCTTATGCTTATTAGTGCACCAAAAAGGGTTTCCACTCAACGTTAAATTCACGAAGTTTAATAAGAAAAAAACTTCATGAGAGCTGATTTTCAGTGGAACCTATATATAAGAAGGTAGATGACGATACCGTCAGCTTACACAAATATCTTACAAACCAAGTAACAGATCATAAAACTGTGAAATAATAATGATAATAAAAAATAAAAAATAACGAAAACAACAAGGTTATAACAATCATAATAAAAACATAATCAAATATTTATCATTTTTTATATAACATTATTTACGTCTTGAATTTAGTAAAAAAAAATTAGATACACTTAACAAAGCCTCCCTGTATAGATAACGATACAACTTTTTGTACTGTTATCTGGTGATAAAAGATAAGATATTATAATACAGTGTTTGCGCCATTTTTCAGGCTAATTAATGTTATCAGGCCAATGCTAACTATTTACATAATTGTATACGCATAGTTCCATGTATGAAAGTCTTGGGATAAAATAGTGCGGAAAAAAAGCGGAAAACTTAAAATTTAAAAGCGTTTCTTTTTATTTTTGATATTTAAAAGCTGATATCAAATGCTCAAATATGCTCGGAGAGTGATGTTGAAAAAAAAAGACTTTACATTTCTCCCGTACAAAACGCCAATTTCATATATAAGGACCTAATATATTGTAAAGGGAAATGAGATAGAATATCAACTAATATAAAATATTTATGACTCTTTGAATTTCGATTAATTGGTATTTAGGTCATACAATTCCCACACAGGCCGTTTTCGACCTTGCCCTTAAGTCCGTAACTTTAGAAGCGTGGAGAAATTTTTTTCTACGTGCTACTGGAGAATAGCATAAAATTTCAGGTGAGAATTTTGATACAATATCAGAACAAATGATCATAAACATAAATAACTAGCTGACCCGGCAATAGTTGTTTTGCCATATCAATTATTTCTAGGGAATATGCAGGTTAGAAAAAAATGTTAGGCTGGACCATCCTTATCATTTAAGGGTATGAAAGGAGATTCCTGCCCGTTCTTAGAACAAACAAATATACAATATACAATACATAAAAAATTTCATAAACATTGATCGAGCCATAAACTCCAAATATATATGTACATCACCTTGTTATAGAGTATATCTGCAAGGTCCTGAACGTGACGAGAATCAGGAAAGAGGCCGGACATGCCAGATATGACTACTCTGTCGCTGGCTTTTTGCTCCATTCCTTGCCCGTACGTTGGTGGTGCTTGCGGTGTTGGTACCATGTTTAATTCTGAAAATAATATTATTTTTATATTAAACGACTAAGGTATTAGCAGCGTCATGTCGACAAATGTGGTAAATGTACCATTGTGCTTTAATTATAGTCACAAGTTTTTTGTCATTTATAAAATGTTATCTAGTTATAAACTAAGCATTGCTTGTAGTATGGGTACTAGGTAACTGAAAAACATTCATAATAATACTTTCCTTTTGTAACTAAATATTTATTTTAGATATACTACAACATCGATACACTAGAAACGGAATGTTGCAAATACGTTGCCATCTTTTAAAAAAGTGGGCTCCGGTTACCTTACTCAACAGATGAAACTCAGAAATATAATATTTCGACTTCACGCTGGTCGTCTGTGAGGCGGTCTGTCCATTCGTACAACAGCAAAGGGATTGCCCTACCACAGTAAAGGCAGGCACAGTTTTTAACGTGGTATAGCCACGCTTCGGCAGTTGCTGATGCTGAATTGGGCCGGCTCAAACCGGGGAAGTACCACGACCTCGCAAAAGATCGGCGTGAAATAAAGGTATTTATACTTTTGCTTTTCGTCCGGTAGCTGAGGTTGCCGGAGGCCCACCCCCCTTCCCCCCATAATCATGGCAGCGGTATTGATAACGAACATACCCCAGGGGGGTATCAGCACTCATAGTTCTGGAGAATCCCCATTAGTCCCCAGAAGAAGTCCGCGCTCAGTCCCCCTTCGCCATCAGGGCGTTAGAGAGGTTTATGTTAGAGAGGATATATGTTCTCCTCGTCTCAGCAGCCTTAAAAGTATGGGCCCATCCATCATATGGCATCATATGACATGTAGATATCGACGACCATCCTCGCGTCTATGCGTGCCTATATAGGTCCCATAGCGGCAATACCAAAACAGTCCGACTGATCAACCACGTCAGCTGTTTCAGTATTTTATTCTATGGTAACAGATACACAAATTGTCACAACTTAGCATGAAATAACAGGCTATTATTTTGTAACAGGTATTTGTGAAGTAACAAGAACAGGCGTAACAGGTACTCGATTTAACCTAGTATAGCTCACTCCTAAGTGTCATCATATGTAGACGGACGCAGCCTTGTGGGACACCAGCGTTCACGAATTTAGCTCAGAGCAAGCACTGTCAACAACGACCTTGATTTTTTTTATGTGAAAAGCTAGCGGTTCACCTGATATTAAGTGATAACCGGCGCCCACGGACATTTGCAACACCAGTTGCATATGTGATGCCACCATTTAATAATGTGGGCCCCGGCTACCTCACTCACCAGACGAAACGCAGAAGTGTAACACTTCTACTTTACCCCGGTCTTCTGTGAGGTCGTGGTACTAACCCGGACGGGCCTGCCCATTCGTGCAACAGCGAATACTGCTGTGTGGTCAGCCGTGGTCGCCCATCGATGAGTTAGGTTCACTCGAACCATACTGACACGACGACGACTGAGACGATGAAAACCATACTGACGATTGTTATTGAGCTGATACTCCTTAAGTCACATAAGGAGTGGCAGTTAATAATGGCCTACGTTATTTTGGAGAACAAAGAGGTTAAGGCCATAGGCCTATAGTTCGATGAATCGGAACGATCACAGTTTTTTGGGATCGGGTGCACTAAAGCCGTCTTCCAAGATTTTGGGTCAATACCTAGGTAGCAAGAGTGCCGGAAAAGACGCGTTAGAACCGGTGCCAACTTTGGAGCACACGTCCTTAATATAATGGGAGGGATTCCCTCTGGCCCGCTCGACTTTTGGATGTCTATGGAGAAGAGTGCTTTACGCATTGTGCTCTGCAGAAACCTAATTACTAACATTGTGGAAATAATAAGTAACATATGGAAAAGATGGCGTACAGAAGTTTCCTTGAACAGTTGTTAGCCTTGGCAAGAGACCAGAATGCACGAGTTCCCGAAGGAAGGTTTAGTAATCTCTCGCCAATTTTGCCAATGTGCTCTGACCTTGCTGATGCGATTGCTCCTTTGAAGGACCGAGAGGCATAGTTGTACTACGTTTTAAAGTGACTGGTATTTACATCCCTAGACGCTACTGCAACGGCCCGCGATGGGCACTACGCTCCGGACCAGACAGTGGTATGACAAGCCAATGGGGACATCAAGAGAAACCTGATAGCGGTCAGGTAATTATAGATGTCGCTATGTGAGTGACGCTTCGAGATATAGCGTTTTAGGGAGCCTGGCCTGTTGCGTTCGAGAGTAAGAACAGTAAACATTATAATAATAATTAATTATATTCTACAAAGTAAAAAGTAATAAATTAAATATTGTGCAATAATGTCGACAAGCCTAGATGAAATTGTGCTTTTGAACCTATGTATGAACAAATAAGATACCGTACGAATTGTGAATGAAACTAACAGAAAATGTTTAAATTCCCCTGTCAATAAATTCTTACTATATTTGGCATTTGAAAGAGTCAAGGGAAACAGTTTTGGTTGCCAAAGGACGGTACCTGCGGTAAACTAGTAGCCTATACATGACCCGCTGCTGGCCAAACTCCTCCTTTGTACAGATTATTCACCACGCGATCCAGGGCAGATTGGCAGAGTTCACAAATCATTAGTTATTATTTCGAAAACGGCCAGGTTACCTCACGATGTTATCCTTCAGCGCCGAGCGCGTGATAAGTCAGCACATTTACAATTTCAACAATAAAATTCTTAATGCGCTCGGTATCTGCCGATCGGTACGTAAATAAATAAATATTTGCTAAGTGTTTGAAAAAGTTCGTGAAAAATTTTCTTGCAGCAATTCCGTCCTTCACGTCCACAAATCTTGCTAAGATGAACGAATGCTTATTGGATAACTAAAGATCATTTTTTCCAACTGTTGACGCATCCGCCATATAACTACATCTGGCGGATAGCAACTTTTTTCTGAATATTTAAGCCCGGAAGCTGCGATGAAAGCTTTCGATATGTCTGATGTATATAATAATTGGGATCCATCCACGTAAAGGTACACAGCGCGTAACTACAACTACAAATGTTACTTGCTGTACTTATCGATTAGTAGTAAATTTATTTCTTTTGAAAAATTTTGATGTTACTCACAACGATGCGATGACCCAGCGAATAGAACCCTAAGTTAACTTCACATGTACTCTGTATATATGTATGTCCATTCAATTTGAATTTAATGCTCAACAGAAACGCTGATTTAATGTTACCATAAATTAATAAATTATCGTATTTACATATTCAGTTTGACGTAAGTTTAATTTCAAGTGACTTTGTTGATGCCATCAGCATTGTCAACCTTCGGGTAGCAATTGATTGATTAACTCATAACTTTACACTAACCACTTACGTTATTGACTCGAAATGGCAACGTCGCACCGCAATCTCACGCCCGATGTCTGAAACACTGATCATCGTAGAAATTAACTAATCAGCTGTCAAATAGCGTAAAATGTAGTAAAAGTAAATCTTTGAATTAATCATTGTGATCCTTAAGAAAATCATTTTGATCAATTCAGAAAGTTTAAAAATTGTTTAAATTTTAATTAGTTAATTTTTACTTGTTGAAAGTTTACATTAAAACCTTTATTACTTCTAAATTAAAAAACCAGATTTATTATACTTAATGGAGCTATGGAACTTAGCTTCTTATCGATATCGATAAAATATACTAGGTAGAAAGCGAGGTTTCCACTTAATATTTTTTTATTAATTTTAGGTAAGTATCGGGTCCGTATTTATGTCCAATGTTGATGAGGGGATATTTGGTACTAATACAAGATTTTACTTAAATGCGGACGCGAAATAAGATAAAAAAACGGGTTCTGATAATTCAAATAAAATTTTATTACTGAAATGAAATGTATTTCTTGTCTCTTGTCGTATACAGCAGGAAAACAGCCAACAGCTGTTCAAGCAAAACAGCTGTTGGCAGGAAAACAGCTGTTGGCTGTTTTCCTGCTGTATACGAGTCTGGAAATAATTGAAACATAAAAATAGAATCAAAATAAAAAATTATTTTAGTTTTCTTGCATACTCAGCGCACGAAATTAATTAAATGATGTATCAATATTACAGAGATTATGTTTCAAAATCCTGCAAAATTCACCTATTCTGATCCTTGCTCATTTATGTAGGCACACCATTGAAATATGTAAAACTTTGTGCCCCTACTATTTCACGCAACATTTTATTTCTTATTTTTTTTCAATGATAAACATTAACGTAGTTATCGATGTGTGGATAGTTGTAGTACATCACTAGCACACAATTTAATAGAAATAAATTTGTTAATTTTATTTGTTCTTAGCCTGCTATACTTACATATGGCTGCAAAGGATCATATTTAAGTGCTTACATAGGCTTCATCTAAGGGAAATCTCGCCATAAACATCCTTTTTTCAAGGTTCGAATGACTTGCTCGATTTTCACCAATTTCACCGGTAATAAACCGTCTTTTTGGCATTTTGAATTAAAAGTTAATATATTGGTTTCGAACAAGACTAAACTAATAATTAGACACTCCGCTTGAAGCTCATCGATTGGAACCGACTATTTATATTGAGTGAGAAGGTAATTCTAAATTAAGTATTTATAATGCCGCAAAACTGCAACGGTTGCCTCAAAACAATAGCTTGCATAGAATATATGCAATGTTTAAAATGTATATTTATTTTCGACCTAAATTGTGCTAATGTCACTGAGAAACGGTTTCGAATAATGTCGGAGGACACTAAAGCAAACTGGATATGCCAAGGGTATGCCGCAATATGATACCCAAAGGTGACAACTCTAATACTCCTATTCTTCCGGTATATCAGCAGGAAAGCCCTTCTCAAGTGTTAGATTCGCAAGTAAATCAATCTAGTACATCGCCAAAAAGTAATATTACAATAAAAAAGGCCCTGTGGTGATTAAAAATGATTCCGTAACCAATGACAGCATTCATGTGATTGTGCAGGATACAGCAAATACTCTCATCAAAAGTCTTATAAAAGAGCAATTTAAGAGAATAGA